TAGCAACGGGGTGAGGTTCGGTAGAGCCAAAGGGTCTACAACAATTAATACAAGCAAGTGTTCATATAGTAGTATAGACAACTATTTGCATTGCTTACTAAGAAATCTACTATAAAGCCCATAGGCTATAGAGATTGTAAACTATATACAGCTTCCTCCCGCTGGTTGTTCCTTTGGACACTTGTGCTCGCCGGAGACTATGGGCGACTATAGTCGCTCGTGCTCGCTGGCACCCCCGAGCGTCCACCCGGCACGCTCGCTTTGTGCCACTCTTCTATACCTGTTTCTGATTGGCGCTCCGGCCCGCTACATGGCCCTACCAGTCTAGGCTATATATTTAGTTCATGACAATATATCTATTGTTGGTGTTGAAGGTAGAAGCGTGTTTTATGTATTGAAGATAGCTTGGAATTGCTAATCTTTATACCTCTACTATATATATTCCTTTAGTATTACTACTGGAAGCTTGATACAAGCCGGGCTTATAACTGTTAAAAGTGCAACGTTATACCACTAAGCTAAAAACTTGGGCGCCTACAATTTCTTGTAGACTTGGTTCTGCACTTTAGCTTTTCTAACACACCTCTCTAGGTTAGACGATTTTCTCTCAGCTAAACTATTTTTCTAGTTGCTTTTTTTAGGTTTCTAGGGCTTTAACCATCTTGAGCTTTTCTCTTTTGTGCTCTAAAATGGCGCCCGATCTTTGGTTCGAACTTACGAACTTGAGGGGTGGCTCACTGCGTGCGCGCTAAGCCCTAGCCGGGCTCATATCTGTTGGAAGTGCAGCAGTGAGGCACGAATACTAGGCGAAATGCCCAGTGGTGATGGAATTCTTGGTGGATTGATTGATCAATTGTTGTTCAAAGTTATCCTGAATCGCAGGAGCTCTCCAGAGCCAATTTATCCTGGTGGGCGCGTAGGAGCAGTAATTCCCAACGGCACAGCACAGGCCACGAAGTGGCCTGTGCCCAGGGGTGGTATTTCCAACAGTTCTTCAAATGTAATAAGCGACTCCAGTCACAGAAAATACCACCACATTAGTTCACTCACTGCTTTTCCATCGCGCACACTACATTGAACCTCTCTACATACCTTCCCCGGCCCCTCCGACATAACTACATACAGGTCGGTAGTGGACATTCGATTGCACTGCCACCCCTTCATTCGGGTATCCGCTAAGGAACTCGTGCATGCCTCTACGACTTGGACTGAACTCTACGCGCAATAAACAAACCAGCATCAGCAAAACTTGCGCCGCCCAAAATCTCAAACAGTGGAAGGTCCACACTGAAAACGTTGACGACCCAGCTGCGAATCTCCACTGCTGACAGTGAATCGAGGCCGTACGAGTGCATGGGCTTCTGCGGCTCGAGGCGGTCTTCAGCCATGCCCAGCAGAGCCGACACGCGGTGGGTCAGAGCTTCACACGCCACCTCGGCGGCCTCGCCAAGGGTTGCCGCCGCGGCGACTCGGCCGGAGGCGTCGGCATCGGCGGCAGCCCGCTTGCTCCTGCGCCCGGCCGAGTTGCCGGCATCGCGATCCGAGTCCTCGGCCCGGGAGAGTACCGAGAGAGGTGGTACGTGATGCATGTGGCCCCAGAAGGGCCGCTGCATGGTCGCGGGGACCTCCTCGGCGTGCTTCCAGTGGGCGGGCGGGCGTACGCCGATGATGGTCTGGCAACCCGTCTCGTTGTCACGCGCGAGAGCCCTTGCGGGTCCGTCCGGATCGCAGTACACGTCCAATAAGGCGCAGATCTCCTTGATGTAGGTCGGCGCGTACTTGTCGGTGCGCTCCAGGCCGCGCAGGAAGCCCGAGTGCTCCACGAGATAGCCGTCGTCCGGCACGGGCCCGAGGTCGAGCGCCACCGCCCGCTCGCCCTGGGCCACGCGGTACCGTGCTAGAGCGTCCTGGTATGTATTCCCCGCATTGTAACCCGCCAGCGAGACGGTGCCTAGGATTCCCATGATGGACGACAGGAGGATGAAGAAATCTAGGCCTGACGGCAACTCCGCGTGGAGGTTCCAAGACCCCGCCACCTTGGGGTCGACGGACGATTTCCAGGTGTCGAAATCCATTTCCGGGAACATGGATTCCTAAGGAAAGGCCGTGTTAGCGCGCGGTAGTCCTCGTTTCTCAACAGAATCAGGGTTAAGTAGTGCTCACATTCATGACCATGCTTGACTGAATGCATCCTCTGATGCGCGGCATCCTCTTTGCGCAGTCGGCCAACACGGACCGCAAAGCAGCCCTGTCACTCACGTCGCAAGGTGGCGTCTCGACGTGGACGTGCTTCTCGGCGAGTTCGGCCAAGAGCGCACGCGCTTCGTCGGTTCGCGGCTTGCTCTGCCGCGAGATCAGGATCAAGAACCGGGCACCGCGACTCGCAAGCCAGCGCGCCGCTGCTCGGCCGAGACCCCCGAGCCCTCCTGCGATTACATAGGTCGCCTCTGGGTCCAACATGTACCGGCGACGGTTTGGCTTCCGGACCTATTGTCGGGTTTCAAATTCCGTTAGCGCGGCGGAACGCGATTGTTACCCACCTGGACAGGATGGAAAACGAGCCTCACTCACCTCAACCACATCAGGCTCGTCAAGCCGGACCACGATGACCTCGTGCAAGCCCCCCTTTTGTAAGCGTTGAGCGGCGCTGGCTAGATCCGAGGCAGGAAAGTTGGCGGCCAAGCTGCGTTTGGGGCTCTGCAGAGTCGAAGATTCCAACAAGGCAACGGCATGCCGAAGCGATCTTGGGGTCGTGGTCTCGGCCGGTGGGATGACGAACGTGGACACATTTCGCGGGACTCCGTAGGTACTACTACTAGTAGGGGCCCCCCTGCACGAGGGTTGGGCGCCGATGATGATGTGGCGGCCGCCTGGCCCCAGATAGCTCATCACATCCAACGGTGGCCCCATTGGATCCGCGGCGGGAGAAAAGACGACATCGAAATGCGCCTTCCACTGCGACATGACAATGGAATGGTTGTCGAGCCACGACTGAGGCAGGATGCGATCTTCCGACAGGTTGAAATTGCTCTCGATAAAGGCGCACTCGTCACTGCTTGAGGCTGTCACCCAGATATTCGTGATGCCCCGATCGGCCAGCAGCCGCAGGGCGGCTTCCCCCAATGGGCTGGCTCCATCAAGGACCAGCACCGAGTCGCTGTCCTTCACATGGCCAACCTCGACCAGACCATGATGCGCATCGGTTAAGATGGGTGCATCACGACACGCGTCAGAGAAAGACACGTCTTCTGCAATGCTGGCGACCGCGTCAGACGACACTATGGCATGCGAGCGCAGGGTGCCGGTGGTAGCAGCAATGACGCGATCGCCGGGTTGGAACTCGGCCTTGATCCCGGCACGGAGAACTAGGCCGGCACAGTAGCTGGCGCGGATGGCGTCCTCCTCCTCGTTCCTGGATCCGCGCTGTAGCGATACCGCCTTGACCAAGATCTCCACCTGGTGGTGCTCAAGGCCTTCTGCGGCGACATCTGCAAGCGACTCGACATAATGCGGCGTGTCTTGGGCACCCCGGGAACGCGACATGGACCTGTTGGACAGCTCGAACCGAACTGGGCCGCCCACCGGGGTGGGAGCAACTTCATAGGGCACGAGTTTCGCATTCATACTGGCCTTGATTGGCGAGGCTTCAACGAGACGCTTTGTGTGTAGGAGGCCGTCAAGTTCGATGTACTCCTCCTCGTAACTCTTCGCTGTCAGTTGGGACGCCATCTCTCGTACGACCTTCATAATCAAGCCGGCCGCATTCAGCTCACATTGGCCCGAGGCAAGATCCAATGCCAGCGTGACCAAGTGAAGCCCGTAGTCTTCGGATCGCAGCGTCCTGGCCAGACCGTCCAGCATACCGTGCTCGGGGGCGGGCTTGCGGCCCCCTCCCGAGCTTACCCAGAGGAGATGGCGCGTCCTTTGGATAAGAGACTGCAGTTGTCGCCATGTGTTTTTGTCGTTTATGGAGGCGATGAAGGGTGCTCCGTAGTCGGTTAGCATGATCACGAGCTCGTTGTTGGCCTGTCCAACGTGTTCAAGAGAGCCAACTGCTTCTGCCAGGCTCAAGACACGCGGCCCCACTCCAATGACCTCCCTTAGTGGAGCCTCAAGATGTTGAATCAAGATCTGTTGATTGAGGCAGGTTAGATTGGCAACGAGAGCCACTTTGCATGCTTTGACTTCGGGAAGAGGCAGCGCAGCATGAAGGCGCGGCGACTCGTCTACCGCCGTGGCGATGATCCAGGCCGCGTGATGCGCCACTTCATCGTCTGTGTCTCGCAGGATTATATCAGCGCCCGAGAATCCGTTCTGTCTCAAAAGAGTATCCCAGGTATCCGCATTGATGTGTGGCGAGAGCGGTCTGCCGTCGTCGCAGCCCAACCACCATCCCGGGAACACGCCAAACACAAAGCCTGCGGTCCATCCGTCTGGGGTGAGGAACTCATGCATGGCCAACTTTCCGCCAGTCTTGAGCGTCTTTCGCATGTTGCGCAGTGTTTTGGCGAGGCTGCACGTGACGTGCAGCGCGTTGTCGGCAACGACGATGTCATAAGACGCCTCCTCAAAGCCTTGTTCACCTGGATCTTGCTCCACGTCAAGCGTTTTGAAGCCCATTTGAGACTGATAAGGGGCAAACTCTTCTCGCGCCTTGTCCAAGAAGGCTGACGAGACGTCGGTGAAGTCGTATCTCTGACAGCGAAGAGACCCTTGGGAAGAAGATTGCAGGGCACGGATCAGGTTTCGCGTGGTCGCCCCCGTCCCTGCGCCGACCTCGAGAACAGTCAAGCCCGGAGTTTGGTGCGCCAGCAGGTCTAGGTATGCTGTTGCCTGCTTGGTACACTTGGACTTGGAGAGCTCCGCATAGTAGTTCTTGAGCATGCCAGTCTGCATGAAGAGCTCGAGGGGGTTTTCGTCCCCCTTGATAAGCCCCTCGAGATGAGCAGCTGCCTGGACATAGAGGCGGCCGATTTCGTTGGCGTTTTCCAATCTGTCGGCGAGTTTCTGTATATCCATGTCATACAGGCTTGTCCTTTGCATATCCGGATGTGGATCATCATCCCCGCGACGCTTGCGGCGACTAAGGGCGAGATGGTGCTCGGCCCATCTCCAGTATTGCCGTCTCCACGGGTCTTCAGCACTGAAGGTGCTAGGGTCGATGCACTTCGACAGCCTTTCAAGAGTGACCTCGATAAGAAGCCCAATGTCTCGGTAAAAGCCAGACAGGTCTTGGTCGGCTGGGTGCATGGCCTCAAGGAGAGAGCAGATCTGGCTTGGCTCAAGCATATTAAGAGCCACTTTGCGTTCAACACTCATGCAGAACTGCTTCGGGTTGGGAAGAGAAAACGCCGCCGGAGTGTGCGTCACGTTGGTTAGCTCGACGCCTTCGTACCACAGTCTCAGTTCCGTCAGGGTGTCGCTATCCAGGGCGGCGCCGTTGCACGAGAAACCGCGGTTTGTGATATTGGTGATGTCAGAGCAGGCCGTCACAGCCCGGCAGTCTGGCCAGCTCAGGCCCTTGTCCGAGATCCAGAGGCAGCCAATGCGAGAAGGAATGCTGGTGGCCATCGGCCGAGAACCTCCTGACGTTAAGCCGGTGAAGGCGAGGTGCAAGATGGCATCCAGCGAGGCCGGGTGGATAACGTGATCTTCGACCGAGTTGCTGAAGAGGGCGACTTGGGCGGTTGCCTGCCGCTCATGCTCGTTGTAATGCTGCTGCTGTGCTCCCTGAAACAGTGGGCCATACTCGTAGCCGCATTGTCTCAGATAAGCATACATTTTCTGGCAGTCGACTGGCTTCCGGCATGACCGTACCATGGATGAAAATCGCTCGGAAATACGTTGCCGCTGCCCAGTCCTTCTTGCCAGCTCCCACTCGTCTGCGGCACCTGGAATTGCCTTGAACTCCGCGGAGATAACTCCATTGCAGTTGACTTTCCACTCGTTATTACTCGTGTTATAGGTCCGAATGGTGAACTCGAACACCTGGGCCATGGGGTTGGAATCAACTTGGCGGAGACAAGTCTGGACTTCTACCGATCTCGTGTCACCGAGGGTCAAATTGATCGGACTAACGATGTCCACGTCACGAAGCGTGTAACCGTCAATGACATTGGTGCCGTTGTTGATCAGCTGCTTCGCGGCTTCGACGGCCATGACAATCATACCGGTCGCCGGGTACAAGGTCGAGCCGTTGACGACGTGGTCCCCGACCCAGGGCATCTCGGCAGGCCGGATGAAGTGGCGCCACCGAGCGTCGGCGGGATTCCAGTCCCGCGAGCGGGCTCCCAAGAGCTCCGAGGGTGCCCGGCTTCTAAAGCGGTAGTCCCGGCTCAGCCGGCTTTCGTGCCAGTATCTCTGGGAGTGGTCAAAGGGGTACTCGGGCAAGTTGACCAGCATTGAGCGCGCGACCTTCGGACCGGTAGGAGGCCCCTGGGGCTCATTGGCTGCCCTCAAGTCCAACGCGTAACCAATGCTGTACAGTTCGCCAATGGCGCGGAGCATTGTTTCCATGGCAGATTGGCCCCTCTTCAGGACCGATGTGTAGCCGATGGACTTCCCGCGAGGGAAACTCTTAAGGATGTCTCGAATCGGGCCTTGGAGTGCCGCGCGTGGGCCAAGTTCCACAAGGTGGTCAACCACGGACATGTTTAGATGGCTTCGGTCGATCTTCTTGACCAGGTCAGCCTCTGATTTGGCGCACATGGCGGTAATTGCCTGAGAAAAAAGGACGGGCGACTCCATGTTTTGGGCCCAGTATGCCGGATCCGACAGACGGCTAGCAACGACCCGCTCTCCTGTGACACTGGAGATTATGGGCACCCTATCCGTGCTGTCTGGGGGTGCTGATATCGACCCAATCATTGACATGTACTTTGGCGATATGGTCTTCATTTGCTGAGAATGGTAGGCCAACGGGACGCGAAGTTTTCGGGCGAATACTTTCTCGTCGTCCAGCCGCTCCTTCAGTCGGTCGATAAGAGCGTCTTCGCCAGAAATGGTCACGTTGCCAGGGCTGTTGACGCAGGCAACAGAGATTCCGAACGTGTGACCATCTCCGTTGATACTCGCGATCAGCTTCTCAGCCTCGCTTTGAGAGAGCCCTATGGACATCATTGCACCTGCAAGGCCTGCCTTCGAGGCCCTGGCGAGCTCCGCGGAGCAGAGACCGCGGAGGTAGGCGAGTTTCCACGCTGACTCGCAGGAAATATACCCTCCGGCATATCTATATATATGTTCCATGTCAGCCAGGGTGCTCAGGGGCTCGGAGCGTGGGGGCACTAGGAACGTGTAGGAGCGGGAGAGTCAACTTACGCAGCTGCAATTTCGCCGGAAGAATGTCCAGCCACAGCAGAGGGCCTTATGCCAAATCTGCGCAGCAGATTGACAAGTGCTACTTGCAAGATGGTGCACAGAGCCTGACTGAACTCGGGATCGTCGATCTTGGACGACTCCTTTGGCCTTTGCAGTTCGTCTTCTTCTGATCAGCATCCTTGGCAACAAACACATGCAGTGGAACATTATCGAAAAGGACAGGTCTCTTACCTGTGACTGACCAAGGACAGCCAATGCTTCCAAGATACTTATCGGCACGGTCCAGGTCCGCGCTGTAGGACGGGTAGGAACTCAGTTCCCTTCCCATGGCAAACCACTGAGCCCCTTGCCCCGTGAAGACAAAGCCGAGGCGCGGGGCCTTGGGAGATGCTTGGACCGGCAAGGACAACAAGGATTGCAACTCTCTCAAGTCGGCCGGTGACTTCAAGAGCGCAAAAGATCTCCACGGCAAGTGGCTGCGATGACTATCGAGCGTGTAAGCCAGGTTGCTCAAGAAGGTCCCGTCGTCCTTGATTGGGCCGTCCCAAACTCGGTATGCGTCAGCGATTCTGCCAATTCCTCCCTTATCGGCAGCAGACCAGACGAACAGCCTTTGCGAGTCATGGTCCGGCCCTGTCAGGGGGGGATCATCACTCGAGATAGATGTTGGAATCGAGGAAGTCCATGGCGGGGACGGCACAGTGCAGTGCTTGCCTGGCAACGACCGCAAGCGCAAATAGTTGTAGGCATCGTCGAGGACAATGTGGGAATTTGCACCTCCGTAGCCAAACGAGTTGACAGAGGCCCTTCGTAGGCCTGGGGTTGGCCAGGGTTCAGGGGCGTGAGGGAACTGTAGTACAAACATTAGCAAATCCCTTGCCGAAAGTACACAATGATGGCACAATCCAACCTTGAGTCTCAGAAACTCGGCATCGATTTTGGGATTGAGTCTCTCAAAATTGGCGTTGGGCGGGATGACACCCCTTTCCAACACAAGGACGGCCTTGATGACGCCAGCCAGGCCACTGGCTGCTTCGAGATGGCCTATATTGGATTTCACGGCACCGCTATTGGTGGCTGTCATTAGCCGCGCTGGCGTGATTTGCACAGTAAGGTACCGGACGGATGGGGCTTACACATAGAGCGGATCGCGCACCGAGCGGTACTTCCGGAACGCAGAACCGATAGCTCGGGCTTCGCGTGGGTCTCCGATCGGTGTCCCAGTGCCATGGGCTTCAAAGAATCGAGTGTGGGCCATGGAGAGGCCCGCTTTCTCGTAGGTCTCCCGAATCAAACGCTCCTGGGCCGCACCGCTCGGTTGTGTGATGCCAGGAGTTCGGCCGTCCTCATTAGAGCCGGTGGAACGGATCACGGCCCGGATGGTGTTGCCATCGCGGATGGCATCCGACAGTCGTTTCAGTATCATGACGCCGACGCCCTCTCCTCTGGCATAACCGTTTGCTCGATAGTCGAAGGAATGACTCCGGGAATCCGGAGATAGGAAATTGATGTTGGACATCCAAACATACGATTCCGGTGAGAAGGCCAGGTTGCAGCCCGCCGCCATGGCCTGAAATGTTGGGCGTTGTTAGCGCACTAGGTACTATCCAACGGTGATGACGGGAGGCAGGAGGAGACTTACCATGTTGCAAGACCCACTGCGCAGTGCCTGGCAGGCTATGTCGATGGCCATTGCCGTACTGGAACATGCTGAATCAAGACCGATGCTTGGCCCTCGTAGATCGAAGAACCAGCTGAGTCGGTTGGCAAGCATGCTCATGCCAATACCTAGGGCCGCATATGTTGGGGGGTTTTCCGGGTCTCGATTCAGTTGCAGCATGTAGTCCATGCTAAAGGAGCCTGCATACACGGCCGTCGAAGATCCCGCCACAGCCTCCATTGGGATTCCAGCTGCCGGCCCCGGCATCAGCCATCTATCCTTAGTTCACGCTTGGGGATGAGCTCGGCGTTAAAAACTCACCGTTCTCCAGAGCCCTGTAAGCCGTCTCCAGCAGCCACCTTTGCATAGGGTCTAAGGAGGCCGCTTCGGTAGGCGAAATGGAGAAAAAACCGGCATCAAACACGGCCTTGGAAGTACAGTAGTCAGTAAAGTAAGGTAGGTTAGTATAGGAGGAGTATAGCATAGTGCATACTAGATCGTCCTTCACAAAGTGGCCTCCTTTCAGCGGTACCTGGGTTTCCTGTGAGCGCATGAAACTTGCCATGGCAACGTTTGTTGGTTCTCACCGTATTCACTCTGTTTCGTGTCTGATAAAACCCGTCGAGGTTCATACGGTCAGCCGGAAAGGGGGTCATGGCGCAGCGTTTCTCTATTAGCATCTTCCAGAAAGCATCCGGGGAGGTGGCATCTTGTGGGAATTTGATGGAGAACCCGCATATTGCTATGGGATCTTCCATTTCATTGCCGTCAAGCTCAGGGTCCTCGACGCCTGAAACAGAGGAAGCCAGCGAACTCTCCTCGGCCTCGCTCAGGGTGGCCCGCGACTTCTGATCATCGTTGGACGCAGATGATATGTCTGAGACCTCACAGCGAGGAGTCATACAGCCCATGGCTAATAGGTTTGGCGATGCCATATCTCTTGCTTGACAAGGTGGCTCAATGGGCGTTGGATTGAGAGATTGCGTTTGGACTTGAGACTCGGAGTTGCGCTGACGACTCGAGAATGTGGCCTAGTCACTCTAGAGTCTCACAAGGCAATTCTTGCTGGACTTTTATTATAGTATACAAATTGACGACCTCGAAGGCTTCTCATTTTTCAAGCCCATCTCAGGGTACGGCAGTCTTGCCACGTTCATGTCACTATTTCCAGCCTAGAAGGGACTGGAGGTATCCAACGTCAGACGGCGAGGTCCCCATGTAGAGCTGCCCGTCGATCTGTACGACCACCTCACCAACATCTCTCGGTTGGGACACCACCAGCCAACTAAACCAAGGTCCACTGATTGTAACGGCTGTAATAAAACCCATCGTGGATGTGACGCTTTTGGGGATAGATGACCCGCGGTGCCGGGCACCGCCCCTGAAGTGACTGGACTCATTATCCCGCGTATCGCCGTATTGACAACAGGCTGACAACGTTTCTTCTTAGGCAACCAAGTGGCGCGGTTCTTGCGATGCCGTCCGGAGCGTCACATCGAGAAATCAGATGCTGAATATTGCCGCGCAAAGTGCGAAGCCTGAAAGGGAGGAAGAAGGTGGTAGTCCTACGTCAAACCTGCAAGCTTACTGCAAAGTGTAGCCACAGGGCACACCTACACCGACTGGAGGCGAGCCGTTGTTGGGAGCACAGAGAATGAAATAAGGACCAACAAGCATCACTGACCGTGATCCCAAGGATTGCTAGATGACCGGGATACATTGCACCGGGGAAGAACGAGCTAAGTTCAAGTTACCTGTAGGACCACGGAACTTTGGGCCAGCAAGCCTTCCAACCGCGTCCAACAACAACAAAAATACTACATTATCACTGTATTCTGGTTGTCTCGTTTGGACCGGGGCCAACAACGCCGACAGCCTGCCAACGTGTGGCCCGGGGAATGCTGTGAAGCGTAGTATTGCACTGTGAGTTCCAGCCTCCAAGTTGTATGAGACATACCTCCTCCCGCCAACCCCTTTTATTTGCCCCCGAGAATTAAGTACGTACCGAACACGGAAGGTTCAATGCCATGGGTAACCTAAGGACCAACTTTTTGTAAAGATGATGTGGTGTCGAGGAGGCTTTACCTATACGCCTACCCATATGTAAGTACTGTACATGGTGGTCATGAGTCCAGGAATACCTCCCTGCCCTGCCCGGGGATTAGTAGGTTCCGTGGGGATGAAGCCACCATAGGGCTGTTATAAGCCGCCCTGCGGCTACACTAGTGTACCTACTTTAGGCAAAGCCGAACCCGGGAGTGTGGCACAGCCAAGGATTACGAAGGCGGTCGAATGATACTTGATAGGACGACCGGCAATTGCAATTGCAACCTCAATACATCAACCTGTAAATTATCCAATCCAAAGCTTCCAGCCTTCCATGCCTTGGGCCGCCCCTCCCATCCCTGCGCAACCCTCAAAAAACCCACCGGGGAGATACGAAGCCCCTGATTGGACTCAGAGGTGGATAAGCTTGGAGCCTAGCCACTGGCGGAGCGAGGGGCCGGCTCCAGGGCGATTTGCTGGACACCGGTTGGCTTTATGTGCTAGCTAACTGCATAGTTCTGCGAATAACATGGCCGGCCTCGGTTAGATAATGGCGACGAGGAAGCTCGTGCCCTCCATCATGAACGAGGGTTTGACGCAGGGCGGGGTCGAAAAGCCTGGAAATATCCTCGCCGCCGCTCGGCGCAACGAGATCGTTGGAACCCCAAATATGCGCGGTGGGGAGTTGAATCGTGATGGCCTGTGCCTCCATGCCCAGGTAGCTGATCTCAGCAGCGCTCACGGCACTGGACAGGAACACGCCACATTTGAAGGGTAGGGCGCCGCACTGCTGCTGCTTCTCGGCCAAATACAGGGCGGCGAGGACGGCACCGGCGGAGAAGCCCATGACGGCATCGAAGGGGCCCCCGGTGGCGACATAGTGATCCAGGAGATGGAGAGACTGACGAAGAGTTGTGAGATCCTTAGGGTTGTAAAAGGAGTAGAATGAGCGGTCTTTGGAGGATATGCCCTCGATGCCTTGGGGACGGCAGGTTACGTCGTGTTAGCCGGCGGTTATACTCCAGGCACTCGGCATGAAAGAGTAGGGGTTGCAACATAGGACCTGCCTTCCGCCATGGGTGCCTCCCAAATCGCTTCAACAAACTCGTATTCATGGCCCCCGTCATGGTCTTCGAGCTCATGTCTCAGGGGCGCTGTGTGGCAATTGTTGGTAGTTGGTACCTTGATTTGGCAGTCGTATTGACGCCATGTTAGACGCGGCGTTGTATCTCACCTATCTGCAGCTCCATGACCTAGTAGCCAATTTGTCCTGTCAGCTCTCTTAGGCTCCTTGGAAAACGAGCCGTCCGCAGTGCCGAGAAACTCACGTTGCTGTTGGTCCCATTGCCGTGAATGCAAAGAAACTTCATTCTGGCACACAAGAACGGCCTGGTGGAAATTTCCAGCGGGTAGTAGTATGTGAACCTGAAAAACCTTGACGAAACAGAAGAGCAAGAATTGTGGTAGATGTACGAGAAACCCCCTTTTAGGGGCAGGCCCGGGCGAGCAGCCCGAGAACGGTAGGTAGTAGCTTGATACATGTAGCTAAACCAACATGTGACTCAACCCGGGCCAACTTCGTGGCGTACATGTAGTAGTCACCCTGCAAATGAGTGATCTTTGGTCCAGTTATCGTGCAGCACCTGTTGGTACAATCATGGCGTGATTACCTCCGAAATCCCTCCCGCCAAGAAGAAGGGGGAATCGATGGGATTCCACATGAAGCTCTGCAGCCTAAACGGCGATTCCCAGTGATGACATTGACAGAATATTGACATACCTACCTTGAACAGGGGGAGTCTAGGTTGTCATTCTACTTCCTAGGTATCTATGCTTCATCCTGGGCTAACACCCGCATGTTGACATTACAGTCTTCCTTGCTTGCGATGGGCACACCGTCAAGGCACCAGTTGTAATGCCCAAGAATCCCCCTCCCACTCCTAGACAGTTCCGTCTGGGCGGAGTAGCAAATAGGTAGTTCCCTACTGCGAGGGGCTTGTATTTCCCTTGCACACCGAAGGTGCCGCAGCTACTCCTGGTGATATTACTGGTAGATAAGATTGTCTGGATTCCATACATGGCAAATCTGCATGTACATGTTAAGTAGTACTAGGATAGAGTGCAAGAGTAAACAAAACTCCACAAACTACCGGCCTAAACACCTTATGGAGCTGGACTGGTTGATGTGCTAGAGCCGTTTCCTAACCCGATACTTGCACAAAAACGGGGGTGATCATATGATTTCCAAGATTCCATAGCTCCATCGTGCAATTACTGCGGATCCAAATTCAGCCTTTGACGCTTCATCAGGAGGGACATGACGAATCCCAGTGCCCCGCCAGCAACGTTGAGATAAAACACCTTGCCGACGTTGCGCGCAACGGCCTCGAGAACGCGTGCCTGGGTTTCAGGGCTAAGGTCCTGGAAAATCGTCGTCTTAGCACCGTCGATGGTCCACTGGATCACATCACGCGGCACGCCAGGAAGCAGGGCGGCAATGTCATCGGTGGCACCATTTAGAAAGACCGAGGTGGCGATCCCCAGAGACAAGGCGAGGCCAGACATCTGTGCGCATGTCAGGAAGGCACTGACATCAGGCACGGCCCGGCGCGGGACCTTGGTCTGCGCAACCGTGTAGCCCAGCTGCAGCACGGGGCCGCACGCAAAGCCCTGTATGACGGTGAAGCCGCAGACGGCCCCGCGGCCCGTGTCGTAGTTGATGGTTGACAGGAGGCCGTTGCTGACGAGCATGAGCGCGCTGGCCCCTGCGAACCAGACCCAGTAGACGGGGTACTTGGCGAGCAGCGGACCGCCGGCGCCGGCGCTCGCGACCGCGGAACCGATGAAGGGGAGGGTGTAAGCGGCGGCGCCCAGAGAGGAGTCGGCAAATCGGAACTGGAAAAAAAGTGGCAGCGAGTAGATGGTCACGACGACGTTGGCGATGGCGAGCGCCGTCCAGGCGAACATGATGGCCATCTCCCAGTCGCCGACGAGCTGGGCGGGAAAGATGCGGTTGGTGGTGAAGAGGTGGAAGCGCTGCTGGACGCAGAATATGGCCCAGATGACGGGCATGGCGACATACAGGCCGAGCATGGCGCCGCTGTTCCAGCTGTACACGGCACCTCCAAAGGCCATGATCATGGTCGTTGTGATGACACCGCCTAGAAACAGCACCGCGCCGAGATAGTCGATCCTCTTGATGCGGGAGACCACCGAGAGCGAGGTCGACGGGACCACGGGCGGCACGAGCAAAATGCATGCCGGGGCTGCCAAGGCCGCGATGCAGATGTTGATGTAGAAGGCCCATCTCCACGTGGCGGCCGAGTCGGCGAAGGCGCCGCCGATGACGGGGCCGAGGATGGTTCCCAGGCTCCACGACATGCCGACAAAGTTCAGGTACTGCGTCCGCTCGGCGGGGAGCGTGATGGCGGATATAATGTTGATGGTGCCGACGTAGATGCCGCTTCCGCCGAACCCGGCGATGGCCCGGCCAGCGACCACGGCCTCGATCGACTGCGCCGAGCCGATCACGGCGGACCCGACCTCGAAGATCAGAACGGCGGCTAGATAGAGAAACTTGTTGTTGAATTGATCATTCAGCTTTCCCCTGAGCAAACCGTGACGGTTAGCATCAATGTCATACCGGTCATGGTCAGGAGCGGTCTCAATGGAATGCCCGCGGACAGATAGCACAAACCATAAAGGGTTGGCGCCTACTTCTCCCATGGCGTACGACACCGAGAGCCAAGGGAGCATATCCATGCGGCGGCCAAACGTGTCAGTGATGCTCGGCCGTACGTTGGCTAGAATTACGTTGTCGAGAGCGTAAAGAAACGTCGACGAGAGGATGGCCAGTATCATGACCAGCCATGACAGGCCGGTCACACTGCGCTCAGTGGCATCCTGCGGGATATCCAGGGGCTCTACTACAGTTTGGTCTTCGATGGTCTTCAAGCTCTTCTCCGCTGTCGCAAAAGCGCCATACGACCGAGATGGGCGCGGAGACGCCGGGGGCTTGTTCTCTGTCGACATTGCTGTCTCCATGTCGGAACCCGCTCGGAGGGGCTAACAGTGTGGTGCGTCTTGGGGTGAATGAGGGCTGTGATGATAGGAGTCGAGGGAATCTGGGTCTGGTCAATGGCTCCCTTACAGAGAGTATGACTAAGGACGTCGAGGGCTAGGTGGATGATACCTACGATAACATAAAGTCAACAATGCCCGTCTACCCGTCGAGGACACGCAAGACGCATCGGCCCATCTTGCCCAAGCTGCGGTTGCTACTTGGCTGTGCTGTTGGTTTGTACTTTGTTGCAATCGGTTTGCTGTTGGCTCCTTCCAATAGGGTCAATTAAAACGAGATGGAGGCGCGGGCGGGATTGATGCTACCTACCCGGACCTGTATGGACGAATCTCCGTTGTGGTCGGGTTGAGACTGGAGACTGGACCCGCTGGCCCGTCATCATTGAGTGTTCGTGAGCCTCCCGTCAGGCCCAGCACGTGTATTGGGGCAATGGTTGGAGCCAAATCCAGCGGGTACTCGTACCTTGCCCTGTCGCACCCTCCATCTAGGCTCCCTCCACACAGGCTCCGATCTATCATCTAGGTACTGATCTCCTACATGAAGCACGCTTGGTTTTCGACTACCTGGCATACTGCCGATGCAGGGTGAGTGGGCAGGGAGCTAGGCGCGGGCCGCGTTGCTGCGGACATTTATTAGCCTGCCATTGCTTCATCGGTTCCCTCCAATGGAAGCTTACCTATGTGATAACACTGTGCCAGCCGCAAGAACGTCAAAATGCGGTTGGACCGTAGGACCGTTGTAGACCGCACCAACGGCCCGAGGACGGGTCCAGTCCCGGAGGGCGTCAGGGGCTGTCACTGGAACCGTCGGTCAAGACCAAGTTGTGCAACCGCACCGAGAATATGGTACTTCGTAATGCACTCGTATTTCGTAAGTGGCGCAATAAGTACCGAAGGTAGTAATGTATGTTGGTTCTTCGTACATCCCTACATAGTATTATCCGGCATATCCCCGAAGCGATTCCTGCCGCGCCTGGGCTGAATGGGCCTAAAAACGGGGCCGGGAACGACATGGACCGACAAGTGGCAGGGACGCAATAGGTAGGTAAGTACCCCTGTGGACACGGAGTACCGTACCGTACATACATGCCACCAGACTTTACTGTCCGACTTGACCCTGTTGGTGACGAACAGGCTCCCAACCGAGAAAGCGGAGTAGCAGTGAAGCCAACATCCTGTACTACGTATTGTTATGCGTACTCAAGTCATCGTTGCGCCATTCGGCGGCTCGTTGGTTCCAACGGTCGCCGCGGCGATGCTTGCTTATACTTTTACCGGCTCGAGTGGCAGCCCGCCCTTTGAAAGTAGGATGGACTTCATTTCCTCGTCACACCTTCTATGGTCTATTAGTAGTATTGGTTACCTTACTTAGGTCTTGTAGAAATATTGTTATCTTCCGTTATTCATGTTGGTATCGATGCGCTTACTATCCGAGTCACGTCTCCCTGCGGCTCCCGTGTCTCTGGCACGGGATGAGAAGCTGCCTTCATTCGTCGGCATTTATAAGCAAGTGAGGGGTTCAAACTACGTACCAGATCTTGGTTGGAGACCTGATAGCGGATCTGGCCCTTGCAAGGTACTTGTACCTCTGTTTCGAGTAGGTACCTACCTATGTCCTCTCTAGCCAGGAGGACCACAGTATGGTACTACCAAGACGTTAATATACAGCTGGAGATTGTAGGAGCAGGTCGTGGGGGTGAACATACCCCAATTGTATCGAGATATAGAGAGCATTCCAGTTGACCCTGCCAGTGATACGATGGTGACTTCTGGTAGTCAAGATCCAACTTTGTACAACGTAAGTACCTCTACCTATCCATGGTGTATCATTGTTGCCTCGCCCGCCGACCCAAATGAATTGTGGGCTTTCATAGCTTCATAAGGTAACATACCTTACATAGTAGCATGTACTTATGGTTCTCAAGGACAAACGGCCTTGGGTATGAGAAAGAAACTCCATACTTCGTTGTGGCTTCACGTTGCTGCTGCTCCTGTGGTGATTCTCGGCTTCGTGCCTTTGTCTCCTGCCTGGTACGCACCAGCCATGCAACTCCTTGACTGCATGAAACCATATTGTAACGCCACCTACCTCACGCCACCCCGTTGAGAGCATCGCCGCGAGGCTGCAGTGGACTGAAGCGCGGCGGATTGGAGCCCTGCAGGACTGAAGAGACAGACGCAAACAGGATCTACCAAATTTTCCTACAACATGACTACAAGAGTATATTGCACTTGCTTTCCAAGTCTTCTCTTCTTACCGTCTCAAAATTCTCTCCAGGCTCTTTGTTGCTGCTTCAATTTGGAGTTTTGGACCTACACGCCACGGTTGCCCTGCCCGCTGCCCTTCTCGCCATGTCTGCCCCCGCATCCCAGCCTCCTCCGCCTCCCCCGGAGTCCTGGAATGAGGACCGTGGGCCCGCCTTCAAGGCTTTTGCCATCGCCATGACAGTGGTTACAGTTCTTTCAATCGTTCTCCGCTTCTGGTCCCGAAGTCTCGTGGCCCCGCATAGTCATACCAGAAACCAGCGTCGCTTCTGGTGGGATGACTGGGCGGCTCTGGCGTCTGTGGTACGCTCCTCATTGCAATGCCTGCCGTCACCGGAGTGCTTGTCATTTAGGTACCTAGTTACTGATGGGAAGATCCACAGCCGTTCATCCTCACCATCTTCGCCTTGGCGTTCGCCTGCCTCCCGCTCGGACTTGGCCGCCACGTCTGGACACTCGAGACAGAACACTTGTTCACGATTCTGAAGTTCATCTTCATCATCTACTTCATCTACGATGGCGCCCTGTTCCTGACTAAGCTATCTGCATTGCTATTCTTCAGCCGCGTTTTCCCCGCGCATGCCAACTCAGCTTGGTTCAACATTATCCTCTACGTGACCCATGGCCTCAATGTGGCTTGGTTCCTCGGCATCGTCTTTGGGACCGTGTTCATGTGCAATCCCATTGCTAGGAACTGGATTCCCATGCTTGAAGGTACCTGCGGCTCGACGACAGGCCTATGGTATGGCAGCGCGATTCCGAGTGTTGCTATCGACCTCATCATCCTGCTATTGCCCCTTCCAAAGACCTGGGGCCTTCAGACGAGCCTGGCACGGAAAGGCGGCATTGTGGCAATCTTCCTGCTGGGATACTGGTAAGGCTTCAACCCCGGGATGCTCGAGCTAACAGTACGGGATCCAAGACTAATTCGATTTCCTAGTGTCGTCGTCGTGTCACTTGGACGTTTGATCACCCTTGTGAAATCCGGAAAGGCGCTCGACGACGACATCACCTGTAAGCCGAGCCTGAGACTGACCTTTCAGACGGTAAAGAAGCAGGCCACTCTACTAACACAGACGCAGATGAGGGTATGCCCGTCATCTACTGGGTGGCCGCCGAATCCCCCATTCTCCTCCTTGGCATTTGCCTTCCAGCCATGTTGCCTTTGGGCCGCCACATGGCCAGCTCCTACTTCTCGCCTCTCATGAGCAAGGCATCCACGCTATTGAGCAGCCGAAGAAGTGCCAACCGCAGTGGCAACTTCTCCTCTATCCCGGGGAATCACAGCGTCCAGTCAGGCATCGCCAAAAAAAGAAGCAATCATGATGCCGATAATGGAGACACGGAGCTGGGGAGTGTGTCCTCCATGGATAGCCAGCGTGGTGTTCTGCGCGTGACCCCTTACCACGACGCCCACACGGCCCGGGTGCGCGTGGGAGACGCGGGAGACAGCCTTGGCCACGCTCAAGTTCCTAACCGCTCCATCCGGGTTGAGAATGCTGTCACGGTCAGTCGGCAGGGTCTGTAGGAAGTAGGAGATGTCTAGATTGTGATGGAAATACTTTGCCGCGTAACACGTCGCTACAGTGCTATAGGATCTAGCTTGTTCAGAATCTCGTCATGTTGTAGCTAGGTATTCAGCTTTAGTACTCTACTATAGTAGTATCCTCAGTTTACTCGTCCATACCTACCGATGACCTACCTTACTCTACGGTCTACCTAGGTACATAGTTGACATTGCCTGCGAACTTTTCAGGACGCAGGTATGTTAGTAACTTTTGTGTGTACCTATGTATCTAGTTCTTCGCATCGGCCCACCAGCTTCGATTGAATATTTGGTACCACTCACGGAAGACGGCTGTGATATTCTGGGGTTTGCGGGGCACTAGTACTTGGTGCCTCAGATGATACCGTAGCAAGAAAGCTTCACTCTATCGTCCGTACGAACGTTGAAGATCCATCGAACTCTACGTGACCATGAACTGGCGATGTGCCATAGAACCAACGGCAAACCATACCATATTGACGCCTGGGTCGTGATTGCAGATTGCAAAATGAAAGACGGCGGCTACCTAGGTATAACTACCTAAGGTACACGTATTGAGATTATTTCCATCTCTGGTCTTCGCCATTCGCATGCTCCAAGAGCGCAATCCACCGGTATCCTGCAATGACATGTAGGATGCCTACAAACTCGGTCTTGTTCACCTTGGCTGTGATTTCCTGCCAAGTCTGGTCATCCAACGGTCTGGTTTGCACTGTTAGGATTCTCCCCAGGCGATACGCCATTTCTTCTTCTTCAGTCAGGCCCTGCGGCACCTTGCCTTTTAGGCCCTCATCATACTGTTCCTTGGTCAACCCAGCGTGCTCAGCCACGCCGCGGTGGGAGTAGACAACGTAAGGGACATTGAGAATCGAGCAAAGCCCCATAATGGCGAGCTCCCGGTTGCGTGGCTTCACATTATCAGGTCGATATGCGATTTTGGCGAGCTCGAAGAACAGCTTGGTGATTTCAGGGGTGTAGCTTCATTCGTCAGTCTCTTGTCTACTCTAGGGTAGAAACCCAAGCCCGGATGGGGTCAAGTAAAGGTACCTACTCACCACAGCGGAGCATAGCACGCGATCAGCGAGCGGCCGTCATCCTCCTTCCACTTGAAGGGCGGTGGGCCATTGTGCATCACGTTCAATGCCTCCTCAATGAATTTGCCGGCGGCCGGGTCGGCTGCTTCGTCGATGGGGAAACGAGGAGTCATGGCGATGGATGGGTAGGTAGTGGAATGGCAGGAGAAGGAAGTAATAGGTAGGTACGTATCTAGGTACAGAAGCGAATGATGTGTGAATCAGTTAGCGGCGCTCAACCAAGATAGATGGGACTGGACGATTCATCATGTGGAAGCACCTTATGTATTTCCCTCAACAACTTAAGTAAGACCTGAGGGACGCTCTCTTCCGCGGTAGCTCTGTATGGCCACTGAAGGTGAGGTTAGAGTCTTTTTCGTGCCTTCTTAGTTCACGGATGGTACTAGGATACCTTAGTAGCCTCACGGGTAGTGGCCCGTGGCGGCTCATTTTGGTCAAGACTCAGAAGTCTTACGACGTAGTGTAACAACCAGTCATCGAGCTACGACCAACGTGCGTCCTAGCCAAGCCGTGGAAATTGGTTCGTTGGCTCGATGCCACGATGCTCAATTGATTAAGGTAGATTGAGGTGAGCAGGAAGGGGGGAAGATGGTGTTATGTACCGGCAAGGTCGATGGTACGTTGGATATACCTGCGCTGGCGCCGCAAGGCGATAATGTTGGTTCTGCCCTACAGGTCGGTTGCAATGTTGCATAAGTAAGGCTTCCAATCGAAGACTGACGATATTCCATGGGAAGAGCCCCGCAGCCCCAGCCCAGGGCCACTAGCAGGTTGCAACTGCCGCCACTTCCCCGCTGTGGTTCTCGGTTCTTAGTGGGTCCTGCGGGAGTGGCGCTGAAGCTTTGCCTGTTCGAGCCGTTGTGCAGCTTCGAAATTCGAACCGAACCCACACAGGGCCCACTATCAGACGGCCGAAGGACTCCCCGAGAAAGGACCAACTGCACACCCTCCATCAAACGCCGCACTGCATTTTACATACATATATATTGCCAGGCGGATATGCACTCGTTCGATGTTGGTAGTGTCAGCATACCAATTGTGCTACGCGAATGTTCCACAGCTGCCCTATTTCCCACCAACAACATGAATCCTCGCAACATTCAATCAACGAACCTTCCAACACACTGCACGCTACACCAACACCGCTAGGCGGCCCGACCCCGATATCCTTGCCGGCTGCCGTTACAGTGGACGGGCACTGTACCGCATTGCCGCTCCCTCATTCGTTTTTCGGTGAGCAGACACAACTGCAGTTAGTGCAATGCACGATGGCGGCGATGGACTCGATGGAGGTATCGGCGGTAGTAAGTGAGCCGTACTCTGGCCATGGGTACGGCGTGTGTTACGGCGGGATACATCTGCTTTCCCTTTCTGGTTTCTCCAGAGTCGCCGTCGGCGGGCGAGGTCGGGGAGGGCCCTTTGGGGCCCGATTGGCCGAACACGACAACACGCCGTGCGCCAGCCAGCAACGTACCGGACGACGTAGCCTGCCACAGCCTCGTCTTTGACGGCCAAGGGAGGATTAGAAGATTTAATCTGGAGGTTGGTTGATATTGCGACAGGCTGGCGAGCCTCAAAGTGGCAGGAGCGTAACGGGTCCAACTCAGGCTCGCATTCGCTTTGGGAATTCGTAGTTTGTTAGGCCTCGCATCGGCCAGAACGGGGTACCTTTCGAATCAATCGTCCTACGAACCTGAGTCCTGGAACTGCTCGAACTCGAAGCCCCAGAAACCCGTGAAGACCAGAACCAGAACAAGAAGCATCGGCCATCATTCTTCAACCGGCTGATTGGAGACATGGATTCAGGAACACCGCCTCTGAAGGTGATAATTGTGAGTCAAGTGGCGGGCTGCGGATCATGACTATCCTGCTAATGACGTGGGCAACCGCCTAGGTGGGCGGTTCACTAGCCGGTCTCATGTGTGGCGTTGCCCTGAAGCACGCGGGCCACACGGTAACGATCATCGAGAGAGACAAAAACGAGCGGATGAGCCACATGGCGGGCGTATGCCTGGGGCTGGACGCGGAACGCTTCTTGGAACGCCATGACCGCCACACCAAGGTCTTCTCGCACAGGTCCACGCGCGTGCAAGTCCTCGTTGACGACGACAAGGTACAAATCTATGCCAACGGGCGACGGCAAATCACAAGTTGGGACACGTACTACTTCCGTCTTCGCTCCCTTTTCGATGGCTACATCAGCTCGTACTACCCGTCCCCGCCGGAGAGCCTGGACACGGACGGCCCCGCCAAGTATCAATATTGCAGCGAGGTCACACACATGGCCAGGAGCGGTGACAAGATGATTGTCACCATCCTGAACCGCGATACCCAGGACGTGTCGCAGGAGAAGGCTGATCTGGTGATCGGCGCAGACGGCCCAAACTCGTTTGTTCGCTCTCTGTATCTGCCAAATGTCCAGCGCCAGTACGTGGGCTACATTGCCTGGCGAGGGACGGTACCGGAGAGCAAAGTGTCCGCCACCACGCGTGGCATTTTTCACCGGAGCGTCACGGTACACAGGATGAAGCAGCAGCACTGCATCATGTACATGATCCCTGGTCCCAATGGCTCCCTAGAACCCGGCGAGAGGCTCTTGAACTTCCTCTGGTACACCAACGAGACGCCCGAGGCGCTCGACGAGATTATGAAGGACGGCGTGGACGGGCATCGACACCACCACATCGTCCCGGCAGGGCGCGTCCGGCAAGACATTTGGCAAGAACGGATCGAGTATGCCAGGAGTGTGCCTTTTGCCAAGCCGTTCCTAGAGGTCATGCTCCAGATTGAGCAGCCGTTTATCCAGGTCATCACCGAGTTCTGCTCGCCACAAGCGGCGTTTGAGGATGGAAAGGTGCTGCTCATGGGCGACGCGCTCTCGCTCTTCCGTCCTCATACGGCATTCAGCGGCACCCAGGCGGCCTTTCACACGCTGAGGGTTGAGGAATACGTGGCCGGCAAGATTCCGCTGGCCGAGTGGGAGGAGAAGGTGCTGAGGTTTTCCTACTTGCATTTCGCACAGAGTATCTGGTGGGGAAAGATTTACCAGCATCACATCTCGGCTGCGCTACTCGCAGGCCTCGGCTACTGGTCGTACTGTGTCGTCGACAAGGTCAAGTCATGGTGGAGCGGAGAGGAGTCGCTGCTGAGGACAACGTCATCTGTAGTAGAGGAGTATGACTAGTCGTGGGGCTCCCTTCCCTCATAACAAACCCCTTCCTGCCTAGGTGCACATGAGGTGAACATTCGTGGGCTTTGCAGGATAGGAAATACTAAAGAGTCAGAGGGAGGACCTCTAGCCAATCCGAAAATCACCATCAGATCCGGACGGCTATGTTTCGAATTCCTCGGTTTCCAGGTGCTTGTGTGGGTTGAAGAGGAAGGTGATACGAACAACTTAGGGGGTCCGCCCGTCTGGTGCGATCAGGCAAGCTCCGACTCCAGTACCTACTTGCTGTCAACAATTGCACCTCACGCGATGAAAATCTCAACATCTTAAGTAGCGGAATTGGCATGTAAGGGCGATGGCGGGAGCGAGGACTTAGCTACCTATCTACCTGATCAGACCAAACTCGAAGCAAAATATCATGTTTTACCTCGAGTTCTGGTTGCTCTCTACATGTACATGTAGATGGCACACTTGGTGGTACTCAGGGGTAAATTCGTTGCAGACAATCAACGCCCCCATAATTGGCAGCCGGGTGGCCGTTAAGCAATTGCCGTCGCCGCCACGCTGGTCAGCACCCTCCATGCGCCTAGCTAGGATCGGGCCGTTTGAAATATTACAGTAGTATAGTTACCTTAACTAAGGTAACAAGCAGGCGTCCGTTGGTCGTGCAGGAGAAAGCAAGGAGGCTGGGTTGCAGCACCCTGGGACAGTGCGGCGACTTGGGACGCACACCGTCCAGACGGGGCTCAGGGGCGCAGGGAGCTACCGTAGGTATGTAAGAACAGTAGCATTTGAGATTTTTGAGCCTGCAGCGGCCTGCGATACACGGGCACTACACCAGCCCAGGTGCAGTACGTATATCTCAGGGCCGTACAACCGGACGATCCATTAATAGACGCCTACAATCCCGCCAAAGACTTACACAAAGTCTCATCTCGACTTCATCCCCTCAAGTTCACCCTCAAACTTGACTTGATTTACACCTACACGGTACCAGCCACATCCCCAAGCATCAAGCATTTAGGTCAGATACACAATGGGACTCTACACCAAGCTTCCAAGTGACATTCAGGAGGTTGATGTGATCATTGCAGGAGGTAAGCACAATCCCCAGATCTGAGGCCACAAAGTTTCAGATAGCTGACTGGCTTTCTTGTTCCAATACATGTAGGCGGTACTGCTGGCTGCGTTGTTGCTGCGAGGCTGGCGCAGGCCAACCCTAGCATCTCCATCTTGGTGATTGAAGGCGGCACCAACAATGAGGCGCCCAGCATCACGTTTCCGGCTCTGTTTCTTGCCAATTTGCTGCCTACCAGCAAGACCAATCTCTTCTATGCAGGCATCCCAGAGGCACAGCTTGGCGGCAGATCGCTCATCGTCCCGTCAGGGGGTGTGTTGTCTGGCGGATCCGGGACAAACCTACTCATGTATACGCGCGCACAGCGGTCTGACTTTGACTCCTGGAACACGGCGGGGTGGTCGGCGGATGATATGCTGCCCTATTTGAGAAAGGTAAGTGATCCCGAAACAGTGTGACTACTGGTAGGTATCACGGGCTTCGGCTGAAGGCGCTTCTTTACAGCTCGAAACCTACCACGGCCCGGGACCAAAACAGGTCCATGGGTATAAAGGCCCTGTCCAGGTCTCAGGCGGGCCGTTCCGCGCCTTGCGCTCCGAGAGCGATTTCATCGCCGCCGCCAAACAGGTCGGCTGGCCCGAGATTGAGGATCTCCAAACCCTGGATGCCAACAACGGCGTGCAGCGTGCAGTGCGCTATGTCTCTCCCGAGGGCCGGCGCCAGGACGCGGCGACGACGTACGTGAAGCCGTTGCTCGCGGACAAGCACAACAAATATCCCAACCTGCATGTACTCGTCGAGCATCAGGTCGTGCGAGTCCTAGTTGAGAACAAGCGCGCAGTCGGGGTCGAGTTTCAAGCGAACCCGGATTTCCAACCGGGCGAGACGGGCTCTACACACACGATCCGTGCTCGGAAGCTGGTTGTGGTGTCTTGCGGTGCATGCGGAACCCCGCTCGTGCTGGAGCGGTCGGGCATCGGTAGCCGCGAGGTTCTGGACCGGGCCGGGGTCCAGCAAGTGGCCGACGTCCCCGGCGTTGGCCATCAATACCTGGACCACAACCTGGTCGTGTACCCTTACAAGTCCAGCCTGAACCCGGATGAGACACTCGACGCTATCGTCTCGGGCCGGGCTAATGTCCCGGAGCTGATCCAGAACCAGGCCCCAATCCTGGGTTGGAACTCGATGGATATCACCATGAAGATCCGACCGACGGATGAGGATGTCGCTGCCCTGGGTCCTGGATTTCAGTCCGTTTGGGACCGCGACTTCAGGAACAAACCTGATAGGCCTTTGGCCATGATGTCACTGGTCAACGCGTGAGTTACTACCTTGCCCAAGTAGCTTGGCATAAGATCTCATCGGTATTAACTTACTGCGGCCAGGTTCCCGGGTGACCCATCGAGCGTTCCACCCGGACAGTACTTCGCCGTGTCGGTCTTCACCGTATACCCATACTCGCGCGGGCACCTGCACATTACGGGCCCGTCAGTGGGCGACCCGCTCGACTTCGCCACGGGCTTCTTCTCCGATGCCGGGGACATCGACATCAAGAAGCACATGTGGGCGTACAAGAAGCAGCGCGAAATCGCGCGCCGCATGGACGTCTACCGCGGCGAAATCGCGGCGGCCCACCCGCCGTTCCCGGCCGGGTCCAAAGCCGCGGCTATCGACTTGGTGGACGGCCCGCTCCCGAAAGATGTGACTGACATTGAATACACGGCTGAGGATGACGCCGTGCTGGAGAAGTGGTTGCGCGAGAACGTGGGAACGACGTGGCACTCGCTTGGCACGTGCAAGATGGCCCCGCGGGATCAGTATGGCGTTGTGGATGCGAACCTCAGTGTCTACGGTGTAGAGGGCCTGAAGATTGCTGACCTGAGTATTCCGCCGAGCAATGTCGCAGCCAACACTAACAACACGGCTTTGGCCATTGGAGAAAGAGCTGCGGATATTTTCATTGCGGAGCTAGGCTTGGGGGGTAAGAAATGATACATATTACTGTCAGGAAATGTAAATGACTTGATGACGAATATGTGGATGGGGGCCGGGGGATGCGGCGATGTGGGGCCGAGGGCATTCCGGCGCGGAGCGGAGAGCCGGAAAGGTGGAGCACGGCCGGACGAGCCTCGGCCCAGGACTCCCCGGCAACTCGCAATGGTACCTTTTGTTCCCTGTGTCTGGCACTGAATAAAGTGATGTTAGCACATAGTAACTCCTACTTGGATTTCAGCATATCGGCATCACGCCATCCTCACTGCCCCTCGCGTGAAACCGAAATATCAGTTGGACTTTAACGGCAATGTGGACGTTAACGCCCAAGAACCCCACCCATTACACTCTGTGTAACAGCAACACCTACCTAACCAACCTTAAGCAACAGCACAAACCCTCATCGCCTCCAAATAAACCCTCTCAAACTCCCCCGAGTCCTTATCCAACAACGCCCCCGGCTTCCGTCCAGTAATATCCCCCATCTCCTCATCCACCCGCCACCCGGCAAAACTCAGCCCCGCCCACGTTTTCACAGCCAGCTCAGCGGCGCCCACACCCAACCCTGGCGTCGCGTCCCACTTAGCCCGTACATACTCCCACTCATCATCACCCCCGTCCGCGAGCGGGCGGGGATACCATGCCGGGTTGCTCGGCTCTGGAGAAGGGAATTTCACCGGTTCGTCCACGTTGCGGACGAAGAACGTTTTGGGGTTGAAAGAAGGGATCCAATCTGTCGAGATGCGCGGCAGAGGGGAGGATAGGGTCACGCCCATGGTTAAGGGGACGAGGGTGTCGGTGGGAGATGATGGGTTGCCGGTGTTGGAGGGTTGGAGGAGGTTGGGGTTGTGGTTCGGGTCGGGGTTAAAGGGGCTGTTTGGGTCGTCTGTTGCTGAGTCTATCATTGCACGCATGCATGAGCTATTTGGTTGCTTGTTAGGAATGGGGACAAGGGACCTTACACATCCCCCATAACGCCTTGGGCACAGGCTTGGTAACCGCCACGCCATTATCCCAAACCGGCACGAGCGGCGGCGGATCGACCAGCTCATCTAACCGTCTCGCGGGTGGGTCCTCAGGCGTGATGGTCACCGTCAGGGTACTGCGCAGCTTGTCAGTGAGGTGCATGGGCCTGGCGTAGATGGCTTGGCCGTTGCCAGGAATGTGGTGCGGATCAATCTTCGGCGCGTTCGGGTCCACCTGGCCCGTGACGACGTCAGCCGAGTCGATGGCGAACTTGCAGCCGACGGTAAATTGGAATACTGCGCCACGAACACGCCAGGGCTCGTCAGCCTTGTTGGGCGTCGACTCAGAGTCGCCCGTCGGGATAAGCCCCTCGTTGCAAGAGTAGACGTGCGGGGGTGGGAGGTTTGACGGCGGGTCTTCGAGCGTGGCCGAACTCCCATGCTCGCAACCGTCGTCGTCATCATCTTCCAGTTCTTCAACACGCGGGGCGGCCGTGATCTGGCGCTGCTGCTGCTGCTGCGTCTTGACGCTCGCCAATTCCCCCAAGGCACCGGCCTTGGACAGGTCGGCCTGCAGCAAGAGCTCGTAAAACTGGTCCAGGATGAGCCTCTCCTCCGGGCCGCCCGCGCTGTCGCCAAAGTCAATGTCGAAGCCATGCACCCAAAAGTCAACATGAACAGTCCCGTGTAGGGGCGGGCCAGCAAGGAACAAGGTAGCACCAATCTCGATGCTGATGTGAATAGTACAAATCCACAGGTCGAGCGTGAACTCGACGCCGACCGACACGCCACCGTACGCAGTGAAGTGGAACGGCTTGTAGTTGATGAGCAGGTCGGCCCAGGCGTCGAACCAAGCCGACAGCGGCCCGGCCGAGAGCGAGGCGTCGAGCCGCCCGCCAGCCATGACCACGTTGGGTGTGATGGCGAAGTAGGCCTCGCCCGTGATGCTGATAGCCGAGTCAAAAGACCAGCTGATGGACAGCCTGGGTACAGCCGATGGGTACTGCGCCGGCGGCTTGAAGTTGCGGTGATAGCCGCCCACTGTAAAGACAAAGTCGCCCGCGGGAATGGGCGCATCGCCGCTGCTGCCGCCGCCCGTATCTAGGGTTCGGAACCATTGGTAGTACGCAAACCCACCGCTGAGGTGGCAAAAGGGATTCCACACAAACGACGACGGCGCCAGCTGGCCCTCGATGCGGAGCGTGTCGGTGCTAAAGTCAAAGATGGCCGTGATGCCGAGCTCGACATGCATGATCTTGAGCGAGTCGTTACTCCCCGCCGGCATGTCTGCGGTAGCCACCCCAAACAGTCCCAGCTGTACGCTGGGGTTCCATTCGACGGCAAGCACGAGCCGCACCTGCAGCACCTGGAGGGCTTTGACGCTGAGACCAGCGGCTAGCCAGAAGGCGCCATCCTGTGGGAAGAACCATGGGCCCCCGACGAGCGCAGTAAGCTGCTTGCTCGGGTCCGTGTCTCCGGGGTCGCGCAAGAACGGGAAGTCGAGCACGCTTGTCGGATTAGGGAAGTGTAGGAAGGTGTTGTAGCCAAAGCCGCCGGTGACACCGTTGATCTCGGCGAATTCGAGCTCGATGAGCGGGCCGTTGAGAACAAAGTAGACAAAGGCCGAAATGAAGGCTCCCGAGGGGGCGTTGGTGGTGCCGTAGTACCCTGCGGCTGTGAAGAGGTACGGCTGAAAGCTTAGCGTGACGGCGCCCTGGTAATAGTCCTGCTCCACGGGTTTTTCCACGTGGCGGTGCTCAAACATGCCGGCTAAGATAACGGGCGGCCGGTCGAAGGCGACGCCCAAGCCCGAGAGAGAAACCGAGGGCGTAGGCAGCTGCAAGAGCGTCATGCCCTTCTCAAACGTAAGGTCGAGGCTGAAACCAAGCAGATCGAGAGCAATAGGGCCCAGGGCGACTGACGCGTCCATGGTAATGGATAGCATTGGTTCTATGCCCGGGCTGTACTTGAAGCCCATGTTGCGGATGCTCAAGGGCCCAATCCGCTTCTCGTACGGCGCCTTAGCCGGCGCCGGCGCCGGTCCCGACTCCTGCCACAGACCCACGAGCGCCTTTGAGTCAGTCGAGGGTGTGTAGAAAACATAGTCCAGCATGACCTTGGGCTGCCCCGCGGTGTCCTTGAGCACAAGAATAAAGTGCGCGCCGATGGTGAGAACCACGTCTTCGTCAGCGTACTGCTTCTTGGTCGCGCGGTACGGCAGCGGCCTCCTGCCCACTCGCTGGAGCTCCCCATTGATGGTCTTGAGGTCGGCGTACGTGACGCCAGACATGGCTGTGTCACCCTCACCGGCACTGACGTAGAGCAGGAGCAACTCGTCAAACGGTTGCGTCAGGTTGCCGATCAACGGTATGTCAACGGGAGGCAGAGAGTTGACGGCTAACACAAATATACGCCGAGCAGGCGGCCGAACCTTGGAATCACCCGGCGCGGGTGGCTGGTATTGGATTGCCTGAAAACTCATGCCGAGGAAATCGAGCCATGCGGTGAAGAGGAGAGGTTTATCCGTCGCTCCTTCCGGGACCTGTAGCGCCGTCATGTCAAACCCTACAGCCTTCTTGTCGTTCGGCGGTACGACTGAAATATCAAGGATGAAGTCGGGCAGGTTGTCATCGGCGTGGTCGCCAAAGACGTACTTGATGACGTCCGACAACTTGGCCTTGCCGACGTCGGTCTTGGTGACGTCAAGGTAAGCCTCAAAGGTCCAGCCTGACGCCGCGTATTTGAAGTCGAGCGACAAGCCTAGCGATCCAATGACCAAGTCACCGTTGATCGCGAAGTTGGTCGCGCCGCCGCCGGCCGCGTAGTCGTACTCGATCCCCAGCGCTGTAATGCCGATGCCGTCCAGGATGGACCCGATGCCGGAACCCGTGTCCGGATCGAAGAACTGGTACAAGGTAGATCCGTAGATATTCTCGACCAGCGCCGTCAGCTTCCAGGACCCACCATCGTACACGACTTGGCCCATGATCATGGCGGGGGACCCGTTCCTCGCGCCAGGGGCGGGGCGGATCATGGCCCGCATGAGCAGCGAGGCACCCAAGGAGTCTTTCTTCCCAAACAGGTACGACACGTTAAGCTTGAGCTCGTTCAGCGAGATGGCCGGGACCTCTGCCGTCGGCTTATCGGCCATGATGGAACCGGAAAAGGCGATGCCGCCACTGCCGAGTGTGAGGGACGCCTCAGTCACGTCGTGAGGGATCTCTTTGGGCAAGTTCTCAAAGCCTCCAATCTTAGACAGGTCGAGGTAAGACGGCCAGGTCTCGCCAGGGGCCAGTGTCACGGGCGTGCCGAGACTTTGGTGCGCCTCGTAGTCAGGCGCCAGCTCATTCTGCTCGTCTTTTAGCAAGTCCATGGGACTGGCCCAGAGGCCCGCATGGAGCGTGTTACTGGCGCCGTCCGACTTGTTCCATGTGTACGTGAGCAGAAAGATTGCAAAGGCGCCTGGGTCCGATCCAAAGGTCACGCGAGTCTCCAGGTCGAGCTGAACACTCGAGATGCCCGGCGTCTGGGCTTCAGCGCTCACCCCCCGGGAGTCGGCGGCGTCATCCAGGTCAATAACAATGCAGCGGAGGTAGATATGCGGGAACGAGGCGCTCCCCGCCGTCTGCTGGGCGAGCCAGTCGATGAAGGGGAAGCCCTTGCCCCCCAATCCCAGCAGAGGCGCCAGTACATCAAAGACAGTCTGCAGCACGTCGAGCTTATCCCGCATGACAAGCATTAGACGTATGTGCGCTGGGTGAACCTCAATAGCGGTGTCGAACAGCGTAGCGACGCTGCCGACCTGGAACTTGGCCAGGAAGGTGACGGATCCGTCGTACGACAGCAGCACGCCAGCCTTACCGTCGTTTGTCGTGGCTGGCGAGCAGACCGAGGTTCTGCGGGCGATGACCGAGGCAGATTTGACCTGCAAGCCGGCCAGCGCCTTGATGTATCCATTAAGAGTGGCGATGGAGCCGTCGTCGAGGTCCATCTCCAGCCGCGTAATCGTGCGGTAGCTCTTGAGAGGTTCGAACCATACAGCGTTCCGCCGACCCGTCGTGCTCTTCGGAATACCGAGTTTGATGGCCTTTAGCGCCAGAACCGCAGGCGAGTTTTGAAGGTAGGTGATGCCGGCGTAGTCGACGAGCTGGCTAAGAGTGGCCGTAATCGGCTGCGGTGCGCTCGCACCGCTGTCGAGACCAAACATGAGGACTTTGGTCGTGGCGAGAATGCCCAGCGGCGGGGCGTCGGCCGGGTTGATGCCGAACGCATCCGCCACAGCGTCGGTCGAGAACAGGAGCGGCGCGCCGGACCCAGGTGATGAAACGGCGAAGGTGAGGCCGGCCGGCGTGCTCGCAGGCCCAAAGGTCATGGACACACCCGGAGCGCTGAGATTGAGGGCTTGCGTCATGGACAGTCCGAACTCGTCACTCTTTAGCAGCGCTCGGCTTGAGCCGGGAGAGGGAGCCGCCGAGCCAGTCAGCGATAGATTCCCGGTGTGAAGCACCGAGACGAATGCATCCAACGGCGTTCCCGAGGTAAGCACCGTGTATTGCGTCGCTGCAACCCCTGCTTTTTGGATCGCCGCACTGTCGACAATAGAGGCAAAGTAATAATACCCATCATCGCCACCCAGTGCTGCCGCGGATGGTCGAGAAGGAGCCGTGGCAGTGAGGGCTAGGGGGAGCATGGGCACCACTGGGCGGCCAGCTGGCTTATGGTCAACGTCGAATTTGAAGTGGTCATCTTGCCTTCGGCGTCCGAGTCCTCGTTCGGGTCGGTAGGCGGCGGATCGAAATACTTCCCCGGGACCACGGCGGCCGTGTTGACGTAAAAGTACTTGACATCGTCGGGATTGGGAGAGAATAGGTCACCCTTTTTCCTGTGTCGTGTTTCCTTCTCGTCTTCCTCCGCGCGCCGTATCAATGGGGATTTGCTGTGGAGGGTGACAGCAAAGTTTGGCTGATAGAAATACTGATACGAAATCACTCCGTTTGGGGCCGTGACGGCCTGCTGGATCGGGAAGACGGATGACCTCGCCTCCTGGTTGAAGTCGAATAGAGTTGGATGCAGAAAGTATTTATGGAAGACGGTGCCATCAGAATCGTCGTTGCGATTCAGGATGAGGATGGCGTGCACCTGGTTGCTCTCGGTGATGTTGGCACCGTCCGGCCAGACGAAGCCGGCGCCAACCGACGGGTGGCTCTTCGGGCCGGGATGGCACGTTTGGTTCCACAAATTGACCAGACCGTCTAGCAGGAAGTGTTTGAGAGAATCCGCGGAGCGGCCTTGATTCTTGAGAATTTGATATTGCGTGAGGATGGAGCCAAAAGTCTGGGCTCCTTCTTGTTGGCGCACCTGGTTGATGTTGCTCAGGAGCTGCTCTGTGTGCTGCCAATACTGGAGGTAACCGTGTGTGCCGTCGTTGGGATTTTCGAGGGATCGTACACTGATGCGAGCCGATTTTTTGTAATAGAAGACACCGGTGGGCGTCTTGTCGCCGGCGAAGAAATGCGGGTACTTGGTGGCCAAGACGGCGGGGCGACGGCTGAAGGCCAGCGACCACAGCCGCAGGAACCAGAGGATCTCGAGGGTCGGGTGGATGTGTAGCCCGCTGGGGATGGAGAGGACAATGTTCCGTGGCTGGGTGGTCATGAGCATGTTCAAAGGCGTCGAGGACCGGGACCCGTGGTGGCTGAGCTTGATGCTGGTGATACGGCCCGTGTGCCCGCCGTTGGTGAGCCACGTTAAGACGCGCCTCTCGGTCTCTTGATCAGCATCTCCAGCGAGATAGTGCGAGATCCTGCCCGTGTCGGCCCAGCAGATGATACACACGATAGAGACGCGGTTGGTAATGGTGGGGTTCTCCGGTATGACTTCGGGCAGCTCCGGGCCGAGCGTCTTCTGTTGGACGCCAATGCAGTACATGCTGGGCAGGTATGGCGGGCGAGGCGGGTTTACCTGAGCCAGCCTCTCCAGGCTCTGGACGGTATCGAGAGGCACCTGGCATATGCTATTGTAGAAGAACTCGGCGCCAAGCACACTGTTCCATGAGTTCCATGGCGACCCGGGAATTGCGGGGTCGCAGGTACGGAGGATGCAAAACGGCACCCATTGTTCCTGTTGGGTTCTCTGGCCGCTGATGTATAGTATGTTGATCCATGCAATGCCATGATCGTACCGGAACCGCAGGGATGGGCTGGAATTGAGCCTGTAACCGCTTAAGACATTGGGACAATAGAAGAAAGTCTGCGGCGCTCCCGTCCCGGCGTCGTACTTGAAGTACGGTATGGTCGTGTGGTTCTGGATTGCGTACCTGGCGTCCTCCTGGATGGTGGCTAGCAGGTTCCCGTAGTGGTCCTCATCCCAATGGCTCACCACGACCGTGTCGATCTTGAAGCCGTTGGGCCATGAGAAGTGCGTCGCCAGGAATCCCATCATCTCCCTGAGCGGGTTCCGGGCCTGAGCGTTGGTGCCTGCGTCGATGGGTAACTTGGCCGAGCCCCCATCGAGCAACACGCATCGGTGGCCTATCCGGCCCTGTCCTGTATACTCGGCCAGGATATGGAAAGAGCAGTCGCCATTTCCAATGTTGACGTGGTACGAGTCCACGCTGAGAGTCGCCATGATGGCGTTTCTGTAAGAGCCAGTTAGTGAAGGAATCTAACAGACGGCTAGGCTGCGCTCTAGCAGGCGGTGGATGTGGAATTACCAAGTAATGCTTGCTGAACAAGAAGAGCCAACAAGCGCCTGTATGCAGAACCCTTGCCTCATGGCAGAACGTGTCGAAGGAGTCTCTCAACTTTTGTCGACAAAAGGCAGAGTACTCTATGTCATTGGCAAGTGTGAGACTCTCAGCAGTGCAAACAGCACTTGCCAAGGTCTGTTGACTACAGCTCACTCCCCGGAGCAGCCAGCAGGGAGCGGCGTTTCCCTCTCGAGGGCCAGAGCGTCGAGTGACGATGGGAGGGTGGCGTAGGGGAGCTAGCTTTGGCTGGTACTTTCACTCGTCGGGTAGCATGCGTTCCTTCGACAACTCTGTTCCCCAAGTCATCACCTGCAGTTGCACGAGAGTGAGACATCCATGGACCATGGATTTCGAGTGCCGCAGCTAGGGTAGGACATCCAAGTCTAGCACTTGTGAGTTTGTCTGCATTGAAGCTGCAAGCCGATCGAATGAAGCTAGCTTCTGCCGCTCTGATGCGAGCTGAAGGTCAGTCGCACACGTGAAGCCAAGAAGGTCGGTCCCGCGATGGACTCCGGGGCGGAATCTCGGGTCTCCCTAGAGCCATGGCTGGCTGAGGTACGATGTACAATACGCAGTGTCGTCGAGTGAATCGAGTAGGTTCAAGAACCACCTTAGTGGCTAAGCAGCCCGAGAAATGCTGCGTTGGAGCTAGCTGAGCAGATGCGCGAATCCGCGTGTGACGAGATGGAAGTCGCTTGAGCTGCCATATCAACTGCGCGGCAGGTGCGTTGAAGCTTGCCTGCATTAACGTCAAAATAAGGGAGTGGGGTGCCGCTAGCATTATGGCCAGTGCTCAAAGACCTCACTAACTGCATAGTGCATACAGGGGGGCCAAATACCCACTAATTTCATATTCAACGATTTTCTTGTCAATTGCCCCGCTCCACAACGCTTCGCACTTGGAAACACCAGAATTGTCACCACAACTGCCCCCACTCATCAGTCTGCATGTGCACCACGACTATTCGCAATTTCGAAGGTGCCGACGGTTACTATCTTCTTGAATGAACCCATTATAAGAGGTTTTGATGCTCTATTCTGGACTGATAAACTAACAATGCATTACAGGACCTTTTAGCGAATGTCAACTTCCATATTCTCGTCGGTCGGTTGCGCCCAATGTTCAACACTCTGAACTTCCATTCTGCTCGACCGCTATGGAAATATAAGAAAGAAGGCGAAAGTAACGCAAGCGGAAGTTAGGACCTCCTCAACCGAATCATGCCTCATATGGCACCCTGACCAGTTCACTTCTTCCCGACATTCCGTCACCCCGACCTCACAATGGGCGCCTTCAACTGCAGGTAGCCCTCGATCGCGGTATACGGCCCCTTTTGATACCCCGGCCGCCCATCCACCTTGCCCAGTCCCAACGCCATATACTCCTGCTTCCCCTTCCCCTTCTCCCCACCATTACTGGTATCCCAAAATGGCTGCAACCAAGCCCAGTTCGCCACAGCCAACCCCGGAATCCCCACCTTACTCTCCTTGACCGTCTGATCTTTATCAGGCGGATCAAGCGTGTACTGCGATTTTAGCACCTTGGACGGGTCCGCATTCCAGTACTTTTGCACATCACCGACCACCACCAGCGGCCCTGCATGAAAGAACGCAGTCATGCGTGCCAATGCACCCTGCCATGTCCATGGTGGTAAGGGCAGGCTGCCCGTGGGGAGCAGACCGCCTGTGAAAGATGTGACGGGCACGAAGGGGTCGATGAGCAGGCCGAAGACGGATAGGTGAGAGTTCCAGTCCCGGGTGTGATACCGTGCCGCGAGGGAGGGGTCTTTGGCTTTTGGTGGGGTGTAGTCGTCGGGCTTGAGCCAGAAGGCGCTGAGGTGGGGGTAGTTCCCTGGACCGATGGGCTGTGTCGATGTGCCTGCCCCAGGGGCTGGGTCGGGGTAGTAGGTATACGCCGTGTCCAGGTCAAGTTCATCCCCCGGCTTTGGGTCCTCCTTGGCTAGGAAATATCCAACAAACCCGTCGTGGGCGCGGGACTGGTCACCGATTTTGAGCGGGAACTTGTACACCGTCTTGCCGTCGCCGCCGTCCAGCAGACTGGTCTCTTGTTTCTTGTGCTCGTGGCCGTCGAGCGCAGACTGGTCCTTGCGGGCGTCGGTTGCGAGTTCCAGGCTCCACGCGGCGTTGACCAGCGCCATTGGCCGGCCGACGAGGCTGTTGAGGAATGTGCCGTACGCGCTGGGCGCGGACGAGGCTGTGGAGGCGTCGAGTGAGCCGCCCAGCATGGCGAGGAAGGAAAGCAGGTACTTTTGGTCGGGGGCAGTCAGCCGCTCGATCAGTAGATCCAGCTGGCCTGTCTGCGGCGGCTCGGCTGGGGGGTCAAACGGCAGCCATTTGGCGCCGGTTGATGTGTGGCGCGGCGCTGTGGGTGATGCCAGCCGCACCTCGCGGTAGAAGGTGCCGTCGGGCAGGAAGATCTGGATGCCGTAGTCGGCGTAGTTGAGCACGACCCAGCCCCAGACAGGGGTCTCCCACTCGGTCACGGGCCGCCAGTACGAGTAGCTGGTCTTGTCCGTGTCCCACCGCGTATCGTGCTTTACGAACGCGCAGTTGAGCCGCGCCGGCTGATTGATGGCCGGCGGGACCTGGGCGAATTCGCAGTGGCCTGGCCGCGCAGGGGGCTGAACTATGTTGGGCTGTCCCCCGAGCAGCTGCGGCGCAAAGTATCTGCTCAGACAAGGGTACACGGCCTCTTCGTGCTCGTGACCATAGCGGGGGTCGATGGCTGAAATGGCCTGGCCGAACTTGTCGACGATGTTGAGCTTGGAGAAGCGGAACTGGCCGTGCCGGGCTGGTTTGAACGGGATAGGTGCGTCGTCCTCGTCATCAACACCTTTACCTTTGTTGCTACCTTTCAGACCTGCACCCTTCTCGCCAGATGACGGCGTGTGGAAGAGCACGAGTCGCCCAAACGGTGTCTGCTCCGACTGCGCGTCGATAATGCACAGCTCGGCCGTTCCAAACGGAGCTATCTTGGCGTCAGGGAGTGGCTGAATGCCCTGCACTTGGTACCCGGTCTGCGGAAAGCGGGCGTTAGGCTTGATGTGTGTCCCCTTCATAAGTGTCACAAGCTCAGAGCTGAAGCCGTCTAGCGGTGCCGACAGGAATGGCAGTTGGTAAGTGTCATTCCGGACGAGGTCCCGCTGCGCCGGGTCAGGCAGGTATTTGTTGAGGATTTCGGGATCCGTGTTGCTAAAGAGGTCCTGCACGGCCGCCTGCAGCGAAAAATTGGGCTGTGGGAGCAGCAGGATCCGCCCGGACAGCGTGCGTCTGTCTGTGATGTCCGCCTTGGCCAGATCGAGTCCGTCGCGGATGCCCAGCTTCCACCGCTTGTCCACCTGGTCCTTGAGCTCCCCGTTGAGCTCCCAGTCGTCCCAAGGGATGTGGAAGTACTCGGCCTCCCACTCGAGGAACAGGGGGAACCACGGCTGTGATTCGCCCCATTGGTCGCGGAGCGGGCCTTTGGGGTCGCCGTGTTTGCCGAGGTCGTGGTACAAGGGGAAGAAGGTGCCGGGATCCGGGTCTTCAATCGACTTCCTTCCCGGTTTGTCGTTCTCGCCTACAGCACACGCCTCTTCTCGCAAAACTGGGTGTGCGACTGCAGCTGGATTGAGGGCGATGAACTCTCGGACAAGCGCTGTGGCCGTTTCCTTCAGACCCGGGGGCAGTACGTCGGCGCAATACGGCGTCATATCACCCGGTGGCATTGGCGCCGTCGGACGAATCACTTGAGAATCCAGACGCACCTGGAGCGTGTCCAGATAATCGTCAGGCCAGCCCGCTTGTATACCGCCCACCAACAGCGTCGGATCCCGGGCCTCAGCAAACTCCGGGTCAACTCCTGGCGCCGGCAACTTGCTGAACTTGGTCTTATCCTGCGACATCTCTGCCACGATCGCCTGCTCCGCATCAAGCAGCGTCTTGAGTGTGGCAAACCGCGTCGACAGTTTATCGGTACGCTTCTTGGTCTCAACCGCCACGCTCTTCCTCTCATCCTCCGATAGACACGCAAACTGCCACCACTCCGAAAACATCTCCCACCGCACCTCCACCAGCTGTCTTGCCGTCGAATCCGCCAGCCTTTGCGCGTGATTGAGCACCTCCAGACTCTCAACCTCAGCACTCAACGGATCCTGCGCCTCCTTCCCCGTCTCATTCTGGAAATACCAATGCACCCCGCCCGCCGTCCGCGCAAAGTTCCAGCTCTGCAGCTGATCCACCGCCGCCCTTTGCGCCTGCACTCCATCATCTCTCGCGCGCAGAAGCGGTTCCAGCAAGTGCAAGTCCTTTTCCAGATCCGTGATCTGGTGCGCGTCGATGTACGCCAGCAGCGCGTCCATGGGAGTCGTCCCTACTGCAACAGGCATGTCGTCGAGCAGGGTCTTGGCCACGTCATTGGCTGGGACCTTGAGCGGGAGGGAGTTGGCGGTCCAGTGAACGGTGTACATGGCGCCGTGGCATAGCACGCGGGCGGGAGACTTCGAGTCTAGCCATGCCTGAACGTCAGGCGGGTAGGGGCCCGTGCCGTTCAGGCCCATGGAGCGGCTTTGGATCCGCTCGCCCCTGGTGACGTCGCCGTGGGGATCAAGGTTGCCAAGCGGGTCGTTGGCGCTGTCTGAATGCCATCCCAAAACATAATAACTCGCCTCAGCGGAGGTTAGGTGCCCCGGCTGGCCGTTGATGGTGCACGCAAAATCGTCAAGCACTGAAAAGACATTACTGCAGTGCGGTTGATAGTCGGCGAAGAGGTGGTTGGATGCACTGACAACGCTGAGATCGGCCCGGTCCAAGCCCGGCGTCTCGGTCCAGCCCCGCGCGGCAGTCTTGTAGCCGATGAAGACCTCGGCTTGCTCGGCAAGGGATATCTTGGTCGGGTCCGTGGGGTCACTGCTCTTGGATGTGATAAAAGGGGAAACGTCGACCTGCAGGTCCTTGCCGTCTAGCTCATCGTCGTCGATGTACCGGATCCGATCGCTTTCGACGACCCAGGCCGTCACTGCATCAATCTCCGCTCCGGCTGGTTGCGTTGTCGCGGCGCGCGGGTCTAGCTTGCGGATCACCAGCCAGCGGTTCGGCAGCTGGGGAAATTCAGGCGAGCTGAGATCCGCCCCTGTTCCGGACGGGTCAGTTACTCCAAATCCCTTTTTGCGCCTCTCCTGCGCATGTTTGGTCTCTGCCGAGGGTGTCGCCGCAACACCGCTGCGGTAGAAACGGGGGATGGTCCAGTGCAGGTAGACGCCCAGACGGTTGGTGCGGACCGCGCCGTCGCGGCCCAGGTCGACGAGGCGAGAGTTGGATGTGGCTGGGATGGCGTTGTGCAGGTCGACATGGTTGAGGATGTCGTTCTGAATCAGGCTGTCCTCGAGCCGGAGGAAGGTGTAGTTGGGTTGGGTGATGGGCGCGATCTTGGCGTCGCGAGGCCCGCCGTCGCAGACTTTTTGATTGAAGACGAAGGCGTCGAGTTTGAGTGGGATTGTTAGGTTGGTTGCGGGAGTCATGGTGATGGTGGTGAGGTCTGTGAGAGCGAGATGGGAACAGGATATGGACTGGAAGTTCCGGATATACTCAATGCACTGTACACTTTGTACGAAGTGCTTATCCGCCCGTCGAGGCAGAAGGCGGATCAAACAAAGCTGGATGGAAATGTCTCCCGAACCTCTCGCCTGTTACTCTATGTTCATGTTGTGTCCAAGTTCAAGTTGGCAGTAGTAGTAGTTGCATACCTGGACCTACCATCTCCCCTGCCCCTGTCAAGAAAAACTTCGATGCCTGCCTATGCTTTGTTAGGTCACCATCTTGACTAGTATTCTATCCAAGGTATGCAAATCAAAGACGTACGCCCAAGTGTGTATTGATCTCGGCGCGGAAATCCATCTCTCGACACTGGATTACGCTGCAGCTCGACCACGGAAGCCGAGCCCAAGCTCAGAGCGGCTGAGCCCTCGCCTGCAGCCTGCAGGGACTAGACTTGCACGTAATAACAAACATCTACATACTGCATCCTGCGCCCAGCCGTACCCTGTGACCCCTCCCCCGCGTCGAGCCGATGTCGATTCCGGACTCCCGACTGGGAGACTTGGTCAGGTGAGGGTTCTAGGCACAACTGTCAACTCCGGCTTGATTGAACTCTCGACTCACTGTGCTGCATTGTCAACTCGGAAGTAGTTGGTGGACTTGCAATGCTTTCAGCCAGAACCTCTTGGGTTGAGCAATATAGTACCTACCTAGCTAGCTACCTGATCTTGCTGTCAACTATTGGGATAGTGGTACTAAGTCTCTCAGGTACCGACTATCGTTCGCGTCTAGCCTAGATATCACGTTGGAAACTATCAGGATTTTGTAATAATGGGACAAGAAAGAATGGACGACATTAGTGCCTATCAAGCAGCTACTTCCCTGGCTAAAATATACGGCACTGACCTTCAACTCAGGGCGGTAGCTCTTTCGAGATATCTTAACATGCACCCACTACATTTGTCCCGTCTTGTTTCATGCCCGTTTTCATTTTCCCTGTGAATCACAACTAAGGACTGAAGCTGCCTTAGTAAGCGACGTTCAGGCTACTACCCCGTACTATCTAGCTTCCCATGTCGTGATCCGGGGCCGGACGCTGGACCATCTCCTCCTCCTCAAGCGCCGGCGGGGACTTAAACCAGCCCGGTTGAACAGTCTCTTGGAAGCGCTCAAACGTAGTACCGCCATCCTTGATATAGTAGACGAAGTTCGTCGATTCCTTGCTTGTGGCTGAAATATCAGTTGACTCCTTCATCATCGGGGCACCACTAACAACATTGCTCTGGAACCAGGTGATGGAGGAGTCCCTGGCACGTCCCACAACCCGATTCAGCTGCATGTTGTTGTCCATGTAGTACAGGTAAATATTCAGGTACGGGCTTAGGCTGTCCTTATCCTCCATCGACGTCAGGGCCAGCGGGGTGCCGGGCTGCAGGCCCGAGGTTGTCCGAATCGGGTAGCCTGTCGCGTCGTTCGAGTTGACCCAGTACAGGCCCTTTTGTCGGGTTTCTTTCTCCGTGTTGGAGTATATGACAAACCGTTCCTGGCTGGCTTTGAAGTAGACGGCTGCGAGGTTGCTGTTTGAGCTGGCTACCGCGCTAGTCCAGGACGACATGGGCGTTGTGTTGATGCCGTCGACGAGGAATTCGGTCACCTGGTAGCCTACCTGGCCGCTGCGCAACAGATACTGCGTCAGACACACAGACGAGCAGACACTCATGACGTGTTCAGGGTCTGCTCGACTTACTCAGGCTGCCGGAGATAATACACCCAGTCGTTAGCATCTCCGTTGCTGCAGGCCGCCAGACCCGGCGTGGTGGTTTGGGCGCCCTTGTCCTGGCTGATGGGATTGTAATATGGCGAAACCGTGGACACGTAGGTCGGCCCTGACTTGCCCTGCGGCTGCGAGGTGCCATAGACGGTTGGCTGAGCGGAGGATGTCAACTTGAGTGGTCGCATCCCACAGGGTACTGGCAGAAGTGAGAGAAACGCACCACATTCTTCTTCAAAACAGCCGCCAGCGGGTTGACCTGGATGGAGCCCGTTGAAGGACCGTTGTTGACAAACGGCGTGATGGGCGTGCTGCCATCAACCGAGCGGACTTCCATGGCGAGCTGCTGCGTGCTGCCATTGAGGAAGAACAGTAAGTGGTTGCTGGGATCGGCCGGGTTCGTGATGACGGCGACGGGAGAAGCCATGGTGTTGCCTTTGTTTGTAGTACCTGTAGGTAACAGCTGTCTCAAGAAGTGTATGTTGATTCGTATGTTAGCAACAAAATGAAGGAGCTGGTGAGATGTGAAATCAATCGCACCTTGATCCCCCAGCCAAACGAGATATCGACTTAAACCGGTCCGTAGAGGTTCTCTTCTGCTGCCATGCCATGACACTCCGAACTCGGCGGAGATGTCCGGGCATGCCCAGGCTGATAACTTCAGCCTGTGGTGACGCCCGCTAGCGTGCATCTCGACTGACGACGACTTGTCTCAAGCGGTGAGCTGTGGCTAGCTGAGCGACATGCAGCGTACATGGACTGCAGCTAAGGTACATATGTGTACGCAGAGTCGACCCCGCGTTGTCCCACTGGCTGTACTACAGCACATCGCATATGGCCCTGAGAGAGAGCTGAGATCGGCAGAACAAGAAACGTGATTGCCACCAGGATGGTCTGGACCCCGGATTCTGTGGTGTTTCCCTCCCATGTTTCTCGGCGCATGCAATGCAGAGCACAACCCGAGCCTAACAGCAATATATTGCCCCTAGAGCTGCAGTCGCAACCGAAGAGAAACAACACAGTGGTATTCGACGCAAGCCACCGGTTCGAGATGAGTGAGGTCACAGTGATCGTGAGTCGGACGAGAACATGGCGATTCCGATGGGACTAGGACTGGAGAACGAGCAGCCAGGGCTCCCACACTCTCTCCCGCCCCCCAAGCTCTTGCACCCTCGGGCTCTCATACTCTTCTCCAGCTTAATGTCGATGCACAAGCATCTGGGCCGACCGCGATCGTTGTCTCCGAGTCGTCTGAGAGACCGCCACCATGAAGTTATCCGCGACAGTTGCCATTGATCTCAGGCGGCCGGGTTGGAAGAAACTCAGCCCGTCGCCTCGGCACCTTGTCCACAAACATGCAAAGCGGATCTTCCGCCAGGGGAGCCAAGCCGTGACTGCCCGGGATACGGAATCATCCCAAACCGAGAGCAGTGCCGAGAGCGGCTCAGTGCCGGCACAACTCCAACCGGGCCAGGAGCAGCTGTACTCCTCGTATGTCCCCGGGCTCGAGGCCGGCATGCACCGGATCGACGTCCAACAAGACGTGACAGCCGGTAGCGAGACCAAGTCCTTCAAAACATCCCACCAGTTCAATGTCATCGCCCCTCGCTTTTCCCTGCCAGACAAAGCAATTGACTCCATCTACCCCCCTCAAGGCCATGCCGACCTGCTCCAAGTTCTCCCGCACATGGTCTTCCACGACCCAACCCTTCCCTGGGAGCGCATCGCCAGCTGGAAAGACGAGCACAACCGACCGCCGGACTTTGCCTCCAACCGCGTTCCATGGCTGGCCGTGCTGCTGTTCACCCGGGAGGAGCTCCGGTTGGATCCGGCGGTGCTGTCAAGCATGTTTGCCGACACCAGTCTCGGCACGACAGCAACCCAGAGCCCCACACTGACGGTAACCCTACCAGTCGCCGAGGTGGTCAAGGTCAAGGACACGGCCTCGTCGGTGGTTTGGGATGAGAACTCGGACGGCACCAACTCCAAGGCTGACCTGATTCTCCTTCGCTCCGCGCTCTTCAACGGCTTATTCACCGAGTGGCAGTCGGACGGCACGGGCAGCAAGACGCAGACCAACTGTTACGTGCAGCCGTACCGCTATCTCGCTCATCTTCGCCACGTCCACCTTGACGGGACTGCTGCGGCGGCGCAGACCGACGACGACGATCATGCATACTCGGTCGTTGTCAGCCACCGGACAGGACCCCTGGACATCACCCAGCCGACGCCAGTCGTGGCGCATCTCGTCAACATCGAGGGTGTCGAGGCCATGCCCTGGCCTGTGGCAGAGAAGTCGTTTGTTGCTATGACCTCGCTCTACTCCTGGGAGTACACCTGTCTGCCGCCTGGCTCGTTCAACGTGGCCGATGCCTTTCGAGATCTGGGTGACACGCTGGGCCGCCTTCGGCCGGGACTTACCCCGACGGACAAGGAGCAGCTGCAAAAGGCGGGAGGCGTGGGGACTCGAGTAGCGCAGCGAATCGATGATGGCTTTTCTCTGGCCCGCTACAGACTGCAAACTGGCGAGGTCTCGTCAGCCTTCTTCCGCGGCCCGTTGACGCCTAACACCGTGTCTTTCCCGGACACGGAGAAACCGGCCTGGCCGGCTACGTCCACGACGGGCACAAAGCTGCAGATTCTTGATGATCAGCTCAACATTGTAGACATTACCTACTCAGCGGCATGGGCGCTTGGCCGCACGCTGGCACTGGCGGACCAGGCTTTCTCCGCCGCGCTGTCGCGGGTTCGGAAGCAGATCTTTGACGAGGCCAGTAACCTTGCTCAACTGGACGCGATCAAAACCTGGGCGGCCGACCTGGGCATCCCCGCACCGCACCGCACTCGCGAGGAGGTGGTGAGCACCATCGCCGACACGGTCCGGCGGGTCGGTGAACTGCCCTCAAGCAGACATCTCCCGCAGCATCCTCGCGGCATGGTCAACCGCTGGCATCGGCCGGAGCGCCCTGCGCTGAACCTGAGCTACAAAAACAGCGAGGTTGACCCCATCATCGACAAATATCTCGCCGCGGCCGCTCGCAAGGTAGCCAGCAGCGTCGGGGACGGTGACGCGCCGTATAACGAGCACAACGTGCCCTACTCGGCAGACTGGGCGGTTGTGCTGCGGTGGGTCATGGACAGGTACTTCCTTGCCAACATGCCCGCGCACTACCTGATCTCAGATCCCAGCCATCTGCCTAGTGAAAGCCTGCGCTTTTTCTACGTCGATCCCGCCTGGGTCAGTGCCATGGTTGATGGCGGGCTGAGTCTGGCGAACCACCTGGACAGTGATGACGACCGGGTCCGCGACGCAATCAAGGGGGCAATCAACACGTACCTGACGACGCCCATGCCGAGGTTGGGGTATGTCCCGCCTGTGCCGACGTATGGCTTCTTTGTGCGCTCGGCGTTGGTGACCAAGTTCCCGGATTTAATTGTCGATTTGAAGCCCAGAAGTGAGAAGCCGGCCGGCGACTCGGACAGGCCGCCCGTCATCCTCCGGCATGAGGTGATCGGCCAGGACACGCTCCTCGGCCTGCTCCGTGAGTACCCTGCCGCCCCGGATTTTACCTCCCTGCTGCTGCGCCAGCCCCCGCACCAACAGTATTTCTCAGCGGCCGAGGACCTCGGCACCACAGGCATTATTATGCAGTACCAGCGGGTGTACACGGACGACAAGGCCGACGACCCGAACAAGGACCGTGGGATTCCGTATAATCTTACACGCGACGGCGTCGCCGTGGGTCGGGGGGTCAACTTCATCTGGGGCACCGATGACAAACCCACAACCAACGACCTGCGTCTTGTCAACGTGGAGAACATGGCCCAGGACGTGCACACGCAGCTCATCAACCTCTTCACCTCCCTCGGCCATCCCAAGTGGTACAAGGAGGTCTACCCGACTTCGGCGCTGATGGGTATCCAGCTGAACGAGCCCAGCTGGCAGCTCGAAGTGACCCTGCCCGGGGTGGACAAGCTGAGCAAGGCGGCGGCCTTGCTGGACGGTGCAATGCGCACACTGCCCATCAACCCGCGCCGCCAACCCTCCGAGTCATGCCGGAAGAGAGCCGTATGGCCCAAGCCCCCTCCCCTCTGCGCTCCCCACCCAGCCTTCAACGACCGACGCCGCAGCATACCCATCCGCTTTGCCCATCCGCCACCTCACTTCCGCCTCCCCCGACCCTCTTCCGAGTCTTCTTCAACTCCCATCGCACCCCACCCACCGCCAGTAACAGGCCCCTCTCAACCCCCTGTAATCACCTACAAACTCTACCCCATCACCGCCGCCGCCCTCGGACAATCCCAAGTCCCCGTCCTCCCCACCCCACAAGACCTAGTCTTCTCTCTGGTACTTGAGAAGGGCACGGGCCAGAGCTTTGACCTGGAATACATCCAACTCAGTGTCCCGCTGCAGGGGCCACGGCCACTGATGGATAACTACGCCGGCGCGGGGGCGGTGATGTTGTCGAACCTGAGATTTAACGTCATCGCGCAATTTGCGGTGGACGGGTCGGCGTTGTTATTGACGCTACGGCCGAGGAGTACGAAAGGGTATTTGGCGGCGGTTAAAATTGAGGAGATGAGCTTTTTGTTGAGTGGTGTTGTCGTGCATGGGTATGGTAAAGGGATCCTGCCGGTGAGTGTGGACGTTGGGGTGGTGGAGAAGTATAGGGATCGGGAAGCGTGGGGTGGTCATGGCTATGTGAGGTTGGTGTCATCTCCGTAGTGCAAGTTTGGGTCGTTCCATCGAGATCTGAGCCTGCTTCCATTACACGCAGGAGTCATGTCGGGTTGTTCTCAAAAAGTCGTGGATTGTCATTGCAACGCGTTGCAGATTTCCAGCGAGAGGAAGTTGGGAAATGATTGACAGGTGCACAGGTGGTGACAGCTGCCGCACCTTGGCAAGCCGGAGTTTTGTTGAGTGGGAATTGGGAAGGAGGAACCTTGGACTCTGGAGAACCCTGTACGTGGGGCTTTTCCCTCCTTGAGTCCAACAACCCTCCTCCAACCTCCAACCTCATTCCATACAGACAATACAACCACACTTCGGCTGTGCTTTTCAGTTTCGAGATGGCGGCTTCCATGTCACCCAACTTCTGGCAATCTGCAGTTCTGCATAAGGTACTATTGACCATGACTTTATTGGAAACCCAACAGCCACAATTCCCGTGTCAGTGTCACACTGGTTGAATGGGGCATACGCGCCGGTTGGCTCCAGGCGGGCCGGCAGTGCAACGCAACGATACAAGGCAGATTTTGGGCAAACACTAATAAGGAGAGCCTGTCGCCCTGCAGTTGGGCGATTCTTGATGCACCGGAGCGGGGTTCTGTCTCAGCTCATTGCCTTGAGCAATCTTTCACATCCAGTATTCCAACTACCTTCCTCATCGGTGCTATCTACCGACCTAGGAGGCAAGCAAGGCTGCGCGATTTAGGCTCGTCAACTTTCCCACACTGGACACGACTGAGAGAGTCAGGGCGAGCTTCCAGGGCAAGCCAAGCTGTTCTGGGACGACGCGTCGAGCGATGGATACATGTACGAACATGCACAACAGTGACGACAACGCCGAGACTGTCAGCGACCCTCGGCTAAATCATCTTTGCGACAGATGCCGATTCAATTTCCCCCCGGACCAACCATGGCCATGGTTGTTGGAGTACGAAACGGACCCAGACTATGAAAACGGCGTCGCTCTACAGCAGCCTTCCACTATCACGGAACTGGAGGAGGCATCCGATGCTGGATGTCATCTCTGCACAGCACTCTTGGAAGCAATACTCCCGGAGAAGGCAGTTATTCGCGTGGAGCGGACCCCGGGTGATGTTGCGGAATGGAGATTCCAGATACAGATGCTGCCTGACACCGGAGGCACCTGGATTCTGCAAATGCGACATTTCAGCTCCCAGAAAGCACTCGACAGTGACGGTGTGACGGACTTGTGTCTCGATCCCGCCTACCTATCCACGGATGACACGAGACAACGGATTTGGGATGTCTGTCCAGACCACCCTGAGCCACTGGCGCAGACAACTGCAGTCCAAAAGCTGTCGAACACAAACAGCAACACCCAGGCCATCCAGCAGATAAAGAAGTGGCTTCGCACTTGTACCGAGGAGCATGCAAACTGCAGGGGCCACAAAGGACGGATACTTTTCCCACCGCACTCAACCTTCCGCCTGGTTGACGTTGGAACTCGCACGAACGACAATATCCGCATCGTTGAAGTCTGCAGTGGCCAGGATGCTGGCGGTTTGCAACATGAATACAGTAGGTACATCACTCTAAGCTACCGATGGACCGACGAAATCAAGCGGACAAACCTCAGAACCGAAAACAAGTCCAAGTTCGAGCAGTCCATACCGACGAATGACTGGCCCAAGGTCTACCGAGATGCCGTGTCGATTGCGCATCAACTCGGCGTTCGCTATCTCTGGATTGACTCCCTCTGCATTATCCAGGACCAGACAGAGGACTGGCTCAAGCAAGCCGCCTTGATGGGCAGTATCTATAGCGGCGGGCTGCTCAATCTTGCCGCTGTTGAATGTTCGGGCCTTGAGGTATCACGTAACCCATTGAGGGTGGCGCCCTGCCAGCTCACTCTGCAGTGGCCTGGACTACCAACAACTGAGTGGCTTTGCTATAGACCATATGACATTCGGAAGGCGGTTGACCGTGCTCCGCTCTACAAGAGAGGGTGGTGTTTCCAAGAGCGCGTACTGTCCAGGCGGACGGTGCACTTTGGAGATCAGCTGTTCTGGGAGTGTACCGCGCAGCGCGCCTCCGAGGCATTTCCCCTGAAAACCGAAGTTGACACGCGGCCGGAGTATGTCGATACCGCCATCCGTGACATCAAAGTGTATCTGCAGACCGAAAACGGGTCGCGCGAGCGCAGTGTCCATACTTTCCATAGGCGCTGGTGCTCCCTCGTGCGGTGCTACAGCCAGACGGAACTCACAGAACCCAGCGATAGGCTCATCGCGCTCAAAGGTATTGCCAGCGCCATGGCTAGCCAATTTCGCCACTCACCAACCGATTATCTGGCAGGCCTCTGGAAGCCGAGCATCGCGGCTCAACTGCTCTGGGGGCGCGAATCGGAGAGGTACTCGGATGCGGATGAGGTACTTGCGAGCCAACTCGCAAATCATTTCCCGTCCTGGTCTTGGGCCAGCTGCCCCGGCGAGACCCGCTTCATCTTCCTAGAAACTTTGTGGTCACGGTCTTTGGTTCGGCTTGATGGAGCACATGTGTCGCATGACGCCGCACGCGCCACGGACGCATCCTTTCTCGTTCTTCGCGGGTGGCTATTTCGTTACCAGCCGGTGGAGCATTGGCTGGCAGGGCGGAATCGTCACCGAACGAAGAAGTTTTCGTGGATTTTAAGCACGAGTGATGGTGGTGGTGTCTCGAGCACAGGGCCCATGGTTATCACTGAGATCCTTGTGGAACTAGACAGGCCCGTTTCAGACCTCCGCCGAGCAGTCTATGTCTTGCCAGTCCTGGAGAGCTTGGGCGCCGCCGCAGGTTTGGTTCTTGCTAGCACCGGCCGTATGAGAACGGGAATGGTAGCCTATCGCCGCCTTGGCTGTTTTACATGCGCGGAAGGCACTAATCTGATGGAAACTCTCGTGGCAGGATCAAGGTACGGGTCGGTAGACAATTTGGAAGAAGTCCATGAGACACTTCGTCCTTTTATTTTACTATAGATGGAATGGGAGTTCAGCGATCATCCAAGAGGGAGAAAAGAAACCGGACGAACACACACACACACGCATACACACACCCCACTACACTATTCGTCATTCGGACCGAAGGTAACGTTCTCCTTGAGCATTGCCAGCATTGATCTCCGGCGATAGAATCCCTCATCCCTTTCGAATCCTAGGCAGTATTGGACAATACGGAGTACTGCCTTACCTGTAGCCAGCCTTACCTACCTACCTACCTCAGCAGGGAAAAACTCCTCAGCGAAAACGCCCCGGCACCATACGCGTCCATGGCAATATAACCCCCGAAAACACAGACTATCAGCGGGAGCGAAACCGCAAAATAGACCCAGAATCTCTCCCCACCGGGCCCAAACGGCTCTGTCATGCTGAACAACGTGGCCGTGTAAGCGAGTGGAATAAAGACCAGCCCAACCAAAGTGAGCGCCTTAGTATTCCGCGCCTCGCGCAGCGCCTGTTGGTTCCCGCTCATACTCGCAAGCCCCATCACGGAGGCATTGAGCAGCTCGGCGCGCCGCCGCACATCGGCCAGGCGCATTCGCAGCACCTGGAAATCGGCGCTGCTGTCATCCCAGGCCGGTGCGGTTACGACTACTCCAGCTGTTTGTTGGGAAGAGGAAGGGTAGGGGACTGCGCAACTGGCGGGATCCGGACAGTCCTTGAGCGGAATGTCGCATTGCAGCATGATATCCTCAATGTCGGCGCAGTACTCGCTCGCGCGCCGCTCAAGAGCCTGCGCGTCGCTCCACTGTCCAGCCCCGACAAAGCTGGATTCGAGAAAGTCCATCCCTGTGCGGTCCAGGCGGGAGACGTGGAACTGGACGTGGGATGTTACTGAGCGGGTAAAGTTGTACAGCTGCAAGTAGTGTGCCGCGACGATCTTCTTGGCGAACACGGCTGCTGCATCGGGGAGATTGTTCTTGCTGAGCTGTGAGGAGTGCCGCTGAAGGTAGAAACACAGGTCGTCAAGCATCGACGTCCGTGGCGGTCCGGCGAGGGTGGACATCTGCACTGCGTGCGGCATGAAGTCGACGTAGCCGTTCTGGAACAGCTGCGCTGGGACGAATAGGATGTCCCTGGGTCTCGAAGCCACTGGCGGCCTTGGATGGGTGCCTGTGAACATGTCGATGGCTCGGAGAGGCGGATCTGTCAGGATCAGACCTGGATGGCGCTCAAGTTAGCGATGGGCGCTGCGCCTTTGCCATTGCTATTAGTGCAGTCAGTGGTTAAGGAAAGGAGAGACTGACAATCCCATCCGCCATTCGAGTCGACCTGCCTCCAGACTGTGCATTTGCGCCGCACGATTCCCGCCTCCAGAAACTCGCCTTTCGCCCTTGTCACGCCGATGTGCCGGCCCGTCTCGGCGCAGTTCAATCTGAATCTGTTCTGGGCGGCCGGCGGAAGTCGCACCATTTCATAGTACTTCATCGTGTAGTGCTGCGATGTTCTCGCCACGCTTGGCAGCCTGTATAAGTCGTTCTCCTGTCGCGCATATGGTTGTATGACCACGATGCGCTCCTGCTCGACGAAGACTGACGGGTGCAATTTGAAATGAGAGCCGAGGACAGCAATGAAATCGGAATGTAGGCCCTCCAGAATGAAGACCCTTCCACTGCCGGCTCCTGCTGCGGGTTTGCTGTCCAAATATGCCTTCAACGACGCAGGGTCGTGCTGGATTGGATTCCCAAACGTGGTGTCCCCGTTGCCACCAGTCTCTAACACAACAAGCCTTGCATTTGGGTTCGGCCAGGGGGTGCCCTGTCGAAGATTCTTGCTGCAGCGAGATCGCAGCCGTGGGTCTGACGCGCACAGCTTGCTGATAAGGTCCTGGTACTCTCCGGGAGCGCTAAGCCAGTCGCTCTCCCGTGCTGCTTTCATTGTTATGTGCATTCTTATTTTCTCCGAATTATGGCATCCGGCACACCGGTGGTGACTTGCGTTGTTTGAGACAGTAGGTTGAAGCCTGAAGGGATCCAAGACTACTGTACAGTACGTAACTGATGCATGGAAGCCTGCACGTGGTCCTTGGCGCATACATTGCTGAACGGAGGACCTGTGGCAGTGCTAAGAAAGCCTTGTTAGGCTTAAAGAGTAAGATCCTTGCGAGTTTTCTAAATATCTTTCTGATTCCACTCACTTGAACTACGTCAAATTCATGTGTACGGCAACGACGTCGCGTCAGTGTTAAAGAGCTTCAATGTACATACACTGAAGCTTCTTCGCTTCATTTTGCTTGGTTCTAGAATTTCTGCCCAGTTGGAGTCGAGACCCCTGAGCAAGTGTAAACAACCCAAGGTCCCCACTTCAACTCGAACCCCCTCAAATGAAAATGTTTGCTCTTTTGAGCAACGCGCCCAAAAAGTCCCAGATACGTCGCCCAACGGAAGCCGTCGTGGTCACAGGCAGTTCGTGGCGGACTTCGTGCACCGCGACCAGAGGCGGCGGGGCAATGGCAACCTCGACCTTGCCCAGCTGTTTGGGTCGCAGAACGACAGTCCTCTCCTTTGCCACGCGCATCCCGTCCTTGCCGAAATAGCGCTCACTCTGTAAGGTATCCGGCGGGTTAGCTCAAGAGCAACATATCTGTCTTATCTCGATGGCGGCACTGGCGCACTTGCAATATTCCCGAGACGAACGAGATGCTGGACTGGACTAATAAACTTACCTCAAACCCCCAACAATCCGAAGCGCGCACCCAGTTGGCCAGCGCATTAGCGTACTCCCTAACATGCTCGTTTACCGCTTCGCTCTCCTGCTCCTGGGGGAATTCCGGTAAAGATTTGTACTCGGCCAGGAAGGAGTCGACCAGCTCGTCGTGGAACCTGCCGACCCAGTCCATGGCCTCTTGAACCGAGCAGTGCTGAGCGGCCATGACGACCGAGATGATGTTGTGCTCGGCTTGGTCCGGCTGGCTTTGTCTAATCCACTCTCCGTTAGGCCACCCATTTGTGTCTGATCCGGCCACGGCGCTTCTCACTTACTCCCTATCGTACGAAACAACATCGTTGCCAATAATGATCATATCAGTGGCGAGATGCTCCAGACGCCTGAGCGTTGGATGGGCCACGACGTGCTCGGGCAAGTCCATGTGCATGGCATTGAGCACGAAGCTCGGCTCGGCGCCGATGGTGTATCGCCGCAGCGCGAGATAACTCGGGAGATCCCTTTGCCGGGCCTGCTCCCTGTCAGACGACTGCTGGACCACCGACTCCGTGTAGCGCTGGAAGCTCGTGATGAAGCGCCGCTGGAAGCTGGCTGGCGTGGATTGGATGGCCCTGAGCCAGTATCTGTATGTTTCGACTTTTCAGTTGGGGGTTCGCTGTACTGGTATGGGGTGGAAATTTCACTCTTGAGCAACCCGGCCGCCAATAAACTCGTGCGCCGGTCGCGCCTTTTGCGGGTTACGAAGGGCATCCATAATGGCCTCGGCTTGCTGGCGGGTTTCGTCGGCGCTGCTGCGGTCCGAGTGTTCGTCAAACACAAAGAAGAGATGCATCAGGTCACAGCCGATTCGGCATCCCTCTGGCGCATCCACACGCGGTCAGACATGCTCCACTGGTTCTTTGAGGCGGGAATATGGGAGAGGACGCGGCGGGAACCAGTTACCTCGGTTCAAGTTTGCCCAGGCCAAGGAGGACAGCAGGCCTGGACAGGGAGATGATCATGTTAGCCATCTGAGCACCTTCGATGATGACTCCAATCACATCCCGGGAGCTGGAGTATGGCATACTGAAGTTGCACCTGTTGTATGCCCGCTGCGCCCTGGGACTGAAAGCACGGAAGCTCTCAATCCAAGCCTCTGACTCGCGTTTGCAATCCTCATAGTGAGGGTTGATGGTCCTCGGCCATGGCCAGTGCCGGAGCGTGTCTGGAAGATGGATCACTGGCTGTGTGGTAGCGGGCATGGCTGGATAGGGGCAAGTAGGTCGTGGGAGGGTATGGCGAGGGGTGTCATCGTCTTCAGAGTTGCGTGGATTTTGTATTCGGAAGTTTGTCCCGTATCATGCCGTGAGGTTGGAACCCCGAGACAATCGGTCATCATCCTGCCCTTGCTAAATCGCAGCGTCCAGAGGGTATTGAGGCCATTCCCTTTTGAGCAGGTCATTCATACTAGTAGCCCCATAGACGTGAAGGAACAAAGGTGTATCATCTGCCGACCCGATTACACGTCAAGGACTCGATAGTTCTCGCCAGCAGGTTTTTTCTCACTGAAATACACCCTTGCGGGTTCACATTGTTAGCTTGATACAAGTGTCTTTTAGGACAGAAACTGAAAAATACTAGGATTAAAGTGACCCAGCCCCTAGGGCCGTTGGGGTTCATCCAGGCGGCAGCATACCTAGGTACCTTGATGGAAACGGCAAGTTCTGTTTCAATGTTGCTAGTAACGCAGAAGATACTATTTGATCAAGAGGGAACTGGATCACCGTTAGGACTTGATTAACAGCTGACAGCTAGCTGTTTAGGAGCTACAGTCCAGCCTTTAATAGCTAGCATATCGGTCTTAATCTTCCTAGTTTCGAGGTTAATCCAATTCAAAACGTGTTGCACTATGAAAGGTAACCTAGAGCCTTTTTAGGCGAGGAATTCCAGCTTGCAATACTAGAAATGTAACACAGCAGCAGATAGGCATAGAGTCTCACTTGCATCCCACAGGATCTAGCGTCCTGCAATGTAAGCGAGACTCCTCAGTACTAGATCTTGGAACTTAAAGTAAGCCGTGATTTGAGGCCTTGGGGGTCAGTGGGCCTGAAAATAATGATGCCCAGTACACTCATCGTCCTATAGCACAAATAGGTAGTCAGCTTACTGCAGTGCCCAGGCATAAGGTACCTACCTAAGCAAACAGCCTATATACCACTCATCCTGAGGGATGTAGCGAGTCTCGAGCTAGTTGGCCGCGAAATCGCTTCTACGCCCACTTACACAGTAGTACCGCAGGCTGCAGGGGGCGACCTTGTGTAACTCTGTGAGACCATACATCGGTTGCTGCACGTGATTCCAACACTACTAGTAGTATTTCCGCACCAATTAAGGTCTAAACTCAAAGTTCCACCTCATCCTCCTACGGCACGCTCACATTATCTCTAAGGACCTTGGAGTAATTGAGTCCATGGAGTTGAGCGGTTCACCGCCATTATGCGCCATAATACGCTCTTACGGGACCTAGCGAGGGTTACACCATCCAGCAAGGAACTAGCGTGGCCGTTATAGTGCTCCTTCTTCTAGTGGCAATGGGCTTAGCCCCTTTCTTCCTCTAGCAACAAATTTGATCTTTGTATTTGTCCTCTTAACCTTCTTGGCTCCCTATCTAGTTTCCTAGACCTGTACGGACATGGCTTCCTGGACCCCCATGGATACTACCTTCCTCGATCAACGTAGACACTGTCTTCTTATAGCAAACTATATCGTTGTACACATGTTAATGCTTACCCTGCTATGCTCCATTAACCTTCAGCGGGTACATGTAGGGTCCTAGATTGGCATGGCAGTGCAAGAACCTAGCTCGTAGTTACGTGCAGCACGCAGCACGCAGCATCAAGCAAGCTGCTCACGTGGCTAGCAACGTCGATTCACATAAGAGATAAGGCACTCTAATGAATTATGTCGGCCCGAACAATACCGGGGTGGGGGGAAGGAGTAGAATGGCCGTTTCTCAGGCAAGTAAAGCACCTATGTAAGGTCCTAGGTAGTAATACCTCGGTAAGGCAGCTTCCCACAGATACGCACATCCAACATTCGGGATAGTTTTGAATAACCCGTCCTCTCTCCAAGACCTCTCTCTGAAACTTCCAACTCCCAACTCCCCGCTCAGCTTTGATCTCTCCCTCACTCCTTGTATCTCCCCACGATTCCAGGTCTTCACGCAATGGCTGTTGTGAACTGGCTAAGTGACGGGATGCCAGGCCAGGGGCACAGCATCTCAGTTGGCTCGCGGCTCATAATACTCAGCATCGTCTTGCTCGGCGCCGGCTTGCTTGTCAGCTACGTGCACAACCAGTGGAAACGGAGAAAGCTTCCGCCTGGGCCCCCTGGCCTCCCAGTCCTGGGAAATGCCCTGCAGCTGGGCGAGTTCCCGTGGCACAAATTCACTGCGTGGAAGGAGAAATATGGTATGGTTTGATGAATCTTGTCTTACTGTTTTGGACTGGTGTGGCTGGTGTTGGGGATGGGCGTGTGTGCGTGTGTGTGAAGGCAAAAATTGAACCTTGCAACCTCCTGACAAACCCCTCCATGACAGGTCCCCTCATATATCTCGACGGTGCCGGCCAGCCAATCGTGGTCATCAACACGCTGGAAGTGGCCGTGGACCTTCTCGACCGCAAGGCAGGCGTCACGTCTGACCGGCCTCACATCATCGTCCCTGACATGATGACGGGGGGACTCTTCACCCCTTTTGTGGGCCATAACGACATGTAAGTGGTGCAACAGATGCGCTGAGCAAAACTAGACGAACGCTCGCTGATATTTCCATCCTTCTTCTCTCCACAGCTGGCGTCGAATGCGCAAGGCGACGCAGGAGAGTCTGCGCACAGGAACCGCGCAGTTCAACAAGGCCGCCCAGCACAAGGACGGCGTGCAACTCGCCCTCAGCATGCTCACGGATCCCAGCCACTGGTATGCCCACTGCAGACAGGCCGTCGCTTCGACCATCATGCAGGTGACGTACGGAAAGTCGCCGCCCATGTGGAAGTACACGGAGAATGTCGCAAAGTTTCACGAGTTCGTCGACGGGGTCACGCGCGCGGCCATGCCCGGAGCCCACTATGTTGAGATTGCGCCGTGGTTGAGATATGTCCCATCTCAGTCCGTATCCTACGCCCTACGGTCCCTGCCTTACCTTGCCTTAGGCAATATCCCACTGTTGTATTGTAGTACCGTGGTGCAAATACTGACCCTGACTCCTCAAACGCAGATTTGCACCCTGGAAAAGGATGGCGGGTGCCTTTTTCGCCAAGCATTCGAAGAGCTTCAGGGACATCTATGAGGATACGCGGACGACATTGGTAGGTCGTTTTATACCAGTATTGAACGATGTCCCGCCGCAAATAGCGTGTAGTACTAACCTGTGTCTGTCTGCCTGCAGGATACCGGAGACCAGAGTCTGAGTCTCGTACGAGACTTCATCCAAGACGGCGCCAAATACGGCCTTTCCCAAGAGGAGGCCTACTGGCTCGCTGCAGCCGCATTGTGTGTTCCGCTCCCTTTCAGGCCTTTCTTACCCATTTCCAGTTTCCAGTCAGAATCATGATCATGATGGACTAGGTAGACCGACCCCAAGGATCTTGACTTGCTCACTTTTCTCGTTCCGCACCCATAGCGCCGGAGGCCAAGCAGCATATGGCGTGCTTGCATGGTGGATGATGGCCATGATCCTGTTCCCCGAGACGCAGCGGCGCGCCCACGAAGAGATTGACCGAATCATCGGACGCGGCAGGATTCCTAGCATACAAGACTGCGAGAACCTGCCCTACATGCAGGCCATGGTCAAAGAGTCGATCCGATGGCGACCCATTGACCCCATCGGCCTCCCAAGACGAGCGTCCGAGGTAAGACATCCATTTCCCCTCCCTACCTACCTAGGTATATTCCTACGCATAACAATTTTGTTCCTCCGATCACCAACTTGAAATTACCGTGACTCAACACCATTCCACACTCCTACAGGAGGTCCACTACCAGGGCTACGTGATCCCCAAAGGAACAACCATGATCGCCAACGTGTGGGCCATGCACCGCGACGCGCGCAGCTACGGTCCGGACGCGCACCTCTTCAACCCGGCGCGCTTCATTGATGACGAGACGGGCAAGCTCAAGCCTGGGCCTGCAGGCACCAAGGAGGAAAGCCACGTCACGTTTGGGTTCGGTCGGCGCATCTGCCCCGGCCGCCATGTGGCTGTGAGCATGCTGGTCATGCAGATGACGCTGGTGCTCTGGGCTATGAAGATCGAGGGGCTTCGGGATGGGAAGGGGGAGCATGTGCCTATTGATGTGGATGGGTGCATTGATGATGGGCTTGTTGTGTGAGTTTGTTCCGTCCGTTCTGCGCTTTGATGCTATGACTTCGCTGCCCTCTTTGACATGATTGAGTATTGGCTTACACCACCCTTAATCTTCTCCATAGCCGCCCCATTCCGTTCGGAGTCAAGCTCACGCCTCGCTTCCCAGAGGTGCTGGCGATGCTTGAGAAGGAGTACATTGCGCTAGGTCTGAATGACGAGTAGTGATCCAGGTCGACTTGGATTGTTGCTGGCAGACTCACAGGCAGGAGGCAGGGGGCAGCAGTTCAAGGTTGGGTGGAATCTGGGTCCAACGGTTGACCTAGCTATGCAGATGTAGGCGCATTCGAAACTTTGAGTGCCTGCTTTTTGACCCATGAACCGTCCTCGTCCATGTACGCCGAAGGTGAGATGGAGCTAACTTAAGTATATGGCCTGCCTCCTGCGCTTTTATCGCCGTGCTCTCCATCGTGCACTTGGGGGTCTAGTGCGGCAGTTTCTGAACTGCTTCATATTCGTTCATTCATGCTATACCCAAAAGAACTGGCATACTACTAGCTAGTTCGTAGTATCATAGTCCTCACGCTTTCATCCCCGCGGCCGAGTAACCCCCCTCACCCCATTCCTTCTCAACTCCCCCCTCTCCTCAACTGAGACAAAAATCTCAAGCTCAACACCCTCTCTAATCAACCTTCTTAGTCCACGGCTCCAGCGCCTCCAGAAAATCCAAATGCACCTTCGCATCCCCCGTCGCCTTCAAAAACCTCTCCCACACATCCTCCCCCATAACCTTGAAAAACAGCAAAAACCCACCCCACACAAAATCCGCATAGCACACCTCCCTCCCCATCAAAAACGGCCCCTGCCCATTCTCCTTTAGCAGCGCCGTCACATTCCTCAAATACTGCTCCGCCGCTTGAAACGATTCCTCAACCGGATGTTTCGCCAGGTACTCCTCGATCGGCATACCAAGATACTTTGTCCGTGTCTCGTGGAAGTAGGGCCGGCTCGCCTCGCCCAGCACACGGTCGTAGACGTTGGTGACGTAGACGGATGGCAACGCGGCCATGGCCGCCTTGGTTTGCTCCAGCAGCCGGTCGTAGTAGGGCGAGTCGACATGGGCGGAAGGTGAGGGGTATTCCTTTTCGAGGACTTTGGCGATTTCCAGGCTGTCCATCACGTACTGTCCGGAAGGGAGCATGATGGTGGGGATGGTGTAGGGCGCCATTGATTGCGGGCCGTTGGGGGGGACGCTAGGTGGGTGGGGTTAGTGGGGGGGATGGATGATAGGGGGAGTTAAGAGAGGGTGCGCCGCGGCGGTGGTGTTAAGGTAGGTAGGTAGGTACATACTGCGGCTCGAGGCGAGGCTTGATGTTGGGATATTCAACCTGCGGATGGGTTAATAAAGTCTGCTGGGGTAGATGTCGTCTAGACGACTTGATGTGCAAGTACGTACCCATTCGGTTTTATAGTCCAAGCCCTTGTAGTTCAAGAGCAGCCGTGCTGTTTACAGTCTCAGCTTCTGGTTTTGATGTCTAAAATTCTCTTTCCCAGTCCCGGAAGTTTCTCCAGATCGAATATCCAGCGGGGCAATGGCCGGACTCACTCTTCCATGGATTTAGCGACCACGGTTTCCCTGTCTTGCTGGGAATGTCAAAGAGCACAATCTGTCCGGAGCTCATCTTGTTTGTAAGGTAGTCTGACAAAGCTGGTTGGTGATCGTCACAAAGATCAAGGTGTTGCGGCAGCACAGCTACTCTTTTATACTTGGATGGATTTGTCAGTGGAGAGGTGAGTTGGTGGGGTTGCCGCCCTTCGTTTGACGTGGTGGGACGGTGGAGCCAACAGATCAATAAAGTACAGTATAAATGCGAGGAAAGCCGAGTGGATGCATGAGCTTTGTCACAGTGGGTAGCATTGGCATGATGGCATCCATCCAACCGGAGTCCGGCACCTCTCGGCAGTCGACTTACACGTCTCCTCTCCAGAGTTCCTACCACGCTGGTGGGTTGACCATACAAATACTAAAGAGTTTTATGGTTGAACATCTCAACATATAGTACTGACACTTGAGATGTATAAGGTACCTGTACTGTAGTGCTATAAAATTCCTAAGTAGAGCTCGTAGAATGTACCGCCCGATCCAGCGGCCCGGTCCGGTGCCGTGTGGGGCGCGCGCGTCCCGGCGCTGCGTTATTCCCGAAAGCCCGCAACCGACTCTGATCCTTCAAAGGTCACAGGATGGCGCGGATCCCGCGCGATCCGGGGCTTATGAAGTTATGAGACAGAAGACCTGGAATTTAATCTGGCTTCAAAAGTTCAAGGTTAATAAGCACTGGTACATGTGACATGTGCTTAGTGATTCAGCATCTGAATAACACCTCATCGTTGACTAAGGTACCCAACTTACTTGTAGATGTGTGAACATTGCGAGACACGTAGGCCACATTCACTCTGGTATTAAAGCAAGTCTCGCCAGGTGATATACCACGGTTCAATGCGTGGTAGCAGTCCTCCGGTTGCAAGCACTACATACAGTATGTCCCACGGTGCCGTGTACCTGTAGGGAAACGAAGTACATTACATAAAACCGAGCGTGCATCTACCACGGGCAATGACAGAGCCAGCGGGATTCGTAGTGGAGGACCATCCCCCGGAGATGGTCGGTATCAACAAAGTAATTCAGCCCCCAATAACAGCCAACTTGGTGTTGAGTCAACGGGAGGCAACATGGCTTGGTATCGATCCCCGAGAGGTGTTTGCATCCATTACCCTACGCGACTCCACTACTGAGTACAAGCTGTTGGACAATACGCTCCAAGGAACAATATCCGTGCCTACCAAAGGGCGTCTGTTCAGTAGCCGGAGTTGGGGAGCCGATGACCCAGAAATCCAAATCACTCTTTACTTTGAATGGGATGATCTTAGTATTGCTGAGACAGGCACATACTATCTCCGAATCCGGCTCTACAAGGGAGATGCCAACAACATGGCGACTGCTCAGAGAACGGACTTGTATGTTGACACGGAGGATGTCGTTGTCTACTCCGAATCACCAAGAACGGCGCACCGAATCTCCATCACTGTCAGTAGGTGATTCAAGTCACTTTGGTATTCTGTTTAGAGCTTTCAATGTGGGTGCCAGTGTTCGTTACATACCTACCTACCTGCTGCTATTCTCGCTCAGTTTCAGCATCGTTCAGGCGTTCACATATGTCTGCGATCAAGCATTGTGTTCTTAGTTAGCACACAACAAAGTGGTCCGAAACGTTTGTTCCTCATTCGAAGCTGTTAACTTCTGACAAATGAAAGCTGAAGCTTTGAAGCGTGGAACACACCATGGATGGTGAAGGGGGAAGGAGCTTCCGCTCGCTGCCGGCGCCTTCCACAGTCTCTTCAAGAACGGGCCTTGAAAAGAATATCATTCCTCACTCGACGAGTCGACTGCGGAACCAAAAGCGACAAATGAGCTGCCAAACTTGAACTTCTCATCATTTTCGCCGGGTGTTCAAACCAAGTCATTCCAGAATCCCACGAGTGACTCAATTCCAGCGACGGAACAGCATCAAATCTCTCATCCATCCATTACATGGCATCACCTTAACCTTCAAAGATCACCCAGCAGCTTCCTTGTGTATCTCCGGTCCCCAAATTGAACTTCAAACGGCCCAAGTATGTGGAGAGAATCCATCCTCACCCTTTCCCAGCCTCCTCCAGCAGTAATCGAGCGCGGCCGGCCCGTCGAACCACCAGTCACCGTCACCCTCGAGCTAATCTTCCACAACTACCGCCCTGCCGACAACAAGGGCCCGGGGATCGACCCCCCACGCTTCTCCGCCATCGCCAACCCTGTCGACCGCGAGGGCAAGGACATGGCCCGCACACTGGCCGATGTGGCTACCCTGATGGTCCCGGGGACTATTTCCTGCTGGGATCGCACCGCTGGTAATACCAATACTGATGGGGAGGGAAATGATAAGGGTACGGGTGTTGTGAGGATCACGATTGAGTTTCTTTTTCACGATCTGGTGTTTCGACGGGAGGGGGAGTTTCAGTTGAGGATACGGATTCGGGCTGCGCCGGACATGGACATGGACATGGACATGGAGTCGGAGTGTGTTTCGGGACTGGGCCTGGATGGGATGGGGCGAAGTGTGAAGAGTTGCTATACCGACTGGTTTAGGGTTGTGGATACGGAGTGACTCAGTGACAGAGGAGTTGATGATGGATGGATAGGGATGGGGAGGGATGGGCATTACTCGAGTGATGGATCATCGTGAATCTGATGGGGGGAGGCAAGTTGAAGTCAAGGTTTGGTGGTACGGCCAAGTGCTGGGGGATCTTCACGTTTCCGATGGGCATGGTTCTTCTCACAAGTGGTGCCTTGGGTCCTGCGCAGTTACTGGCCAGACACTTGATCGATTGTTTCGACCAAGACAGACGGCATCACGGTCGATCTAGCATCTAGATCAGTGGAGTACACGCTGATTGCCATCATGGTTTTTAGTTCTTGCGGACACAGCCGTGCTATTCTATTTAGAATGCGTCTAGAATGCTTCCTCTAACCACACCACTCCACGTTTACCGATCCCGTCCCCACGCCGGGACCGGCTTAGGCTTGTTCTGCAGCACGCCCTCAATCTCCTCCATAATCTCGGGCGTCAGCTTATCCAGCATATCCAGCGCCTTGAGGTTATCCTCAAGCTGCTCAATCTTGGTCGCACCCAGAATAACCGTGCTGACATTCGGGTTCTTAGCCGCCCACGCCAGGGCGAGGTGCGTGGCGGTGCCGCCCAAACGCTCCGCAATGGCCGTCAGCTTGCGCACCTTCTCCAACTTGGCCTTGCCCTGCTCCGACTGCAGCTCTTTGACGGTATTCTCAAAAAACTCCTTGTTGGTCGCGAACCGCGAGTCCTGGGGAATCCCGTCGTTGTACTTGCCCGTCAGAATGCCACTCGCCAGCGGCGACCAGATGGTGGTGCCGTAACCGTACTGCTTGAACAGGGGTTCGTACTCGACCTCGAAGCGCTCGCGGTGCAGCGCGTTGTACTGCGGCTGCTCGACCACGGGGGGGATCAGGTTGTGCTTCTCGGCGAGCTGGATCGCTTCCATGATTTGCGTCGCGCTCCACTCGGACGTGCCCCAGTAGTAGGCCAGGTTGAGGTTGCGGATGGTTTGGGTGAAGGCCTCGACGATCTCGAGCATGGGCGTGGCTTTGTCGGGACGGTGCGCGAATACCACGTCGACGTAGGGTGTCTGCAGCCGTTTGAGTGACGCCTTGAGGCCCTCGACGATGTGCTTGCGGCTCAGTCCGCGCGTGTTGGGCTCCTTGCGCCCAGTGCCGAAGAATATCTTGGTCGTCAGGACGTACTCGTCGCGTGGCCAGCCCAGCTCCTTGAGGGCTTGGCCCATCTCAACTTCAGACGCGCCGTTGGCGTACGTCTCGGCCGTGTCGAAGGTTTGCTGTGGGTGTAATTTGTCAGCTTTGCTGTCTCACACTCTCAAGCTTGGAATGATGGGTGTTCTCACAATGCCATGGTCCCAGGCCGTCTTGAGAATCTTCTTGACAATCTCGCCCTTTTGCGTACCACCGTATGTGAGCCAGCCGCCAAGCGAAAAGAGGGAGACCTGAAGCCCCGTATTGCCCAGGTAGCGGAACTTCATGTTCTTGGGCTCGTAGGCCGTCGGCACAATGGGTTGGTTCGACATGGTGATGGTGGTTTCCGGGCGATGTCTGGAGAAGGGTCTGAAGAACTGCTTGCAGGCACGGAAGGAAAAGCGAACGGAATGTCGGGAGTCGGGACTGCGGGGCTTTAAGACTTACACAAACACCAAGGGACAAGCCACTTCGAATACGGAATGATTACAAATGTCATCCATATTTTAGTATGACGGCACCATTCCTTGCTCTTCTGTCCCGACACGGAAGAGCTTGCCCGAGCTATGTGTGGGGCTGCGAAGGTGGTTTGAATCGCATTTCGTGACTGGCTGGATATGACGGCATCCACTGTCAATTGATCCGTTAACACCGTTATCGCCAGCAGCTCAAAAGGTTGGGGCGGGGTGATTGCCCACTTGCCCCGCTGTCAGTCCGACTCAGGGGCGGTTTTAGCTTTGAAGCCGCACTTGCGGAGTCCCTAGTGCGAAATAGGGTAGCATTGAAGCCGGGAAGCGGCTCCGAAGGTAGGTTCCACGAAAGTAGGTTCTCACGGTTCCAGGAGTCGGCTCACCGGCATCGGGCACGGTCCACGGCCGTGCCGTCGGTCGGTGTAAATTGAAGCCGGCGACGAATTGCCTAATCGGGAGTCAACTACTAGTCATTCATCGGACGCAAAGCCTTTGTGTTCTGTGCATGATCTGATAGGTGATGTGATCAGGCAAATCCATGGTGCATCATGATGTTTGACTCCATCCGTCTGCAAACCTACTTTCCAAGCAGCTGTTTCGGTGGACCCGTACCCAGCTGTAACCTCTATCAAAAACCGTGGTGTTGGTAATGGTTGAAGCACATGTGATTGTCCATCCTTTTTCAGACGTAATGATACCCGGAGTTCAACTACGGGATTGATCAACTCTGTCGAATATTGCCATGTTGTGTGACTTGTGTCATCAGTAAGGTTAAGATTCGTCTTTCGCAATGGATGAAGCCTGGAGCTGGAGGTGAGATTTTGTGCTCTTCCGATACTATCCAGTAGGCATGTAGAAAAGCAGCTTCGCATTGTCTTCTTTCTTTAGAGTAATAAAGCTCTTAGGGTATACTTTGAGCTCGGTTAGTCTCGGCTCGTTACCCCGATACTGGCCGTGCTGTTGACAACAGGGCGCGAGCCCATCTATAGGTAAGGTCAATAGTAAACAGTGTTGGGGATGGGACTCTTACCAGATGGTCCTTCATGAACAATTTAAGTGTCGCGATTACCTTCTACATACAGCATTCGGTCCTACCATACAAACCACGATAAACACGATCCTCAGGGGTACTGGTACTGTACCCCTCCCTGAGCCCTGACCAACTCTTGAGTCAAGAGGCCAGGCGCTATTTTAACTCAAAGCTGTGCTCAGTCCACGTCTTCTGCCAACCCACCATGAGCCGAGCCGGAACCAGGATAGGCTTCATCGGCCTGGGCATGATGGGCCAGCCCATGGCCTTGAACCTTGCCAGGCATTTCCCCATGACGATCTGGAACCGGACCCCCTCCAAGTTTTCCCCGCTGGTGAGAGCCGGAGCACGAGTCGGAACCTCGCCGTCCCATGTAGTTCGCGAATCCGAAGTCATATTCACCATGCTCTTCGACGCGTCGGCTATCGAATCCCTATTAAACGACGACTTCTCCCAGGCCCTCCGCGGCAAAATCCTCGTCAACACCAGCTCCGTCCCCGTGGACTTTAGCCTCAAACTCGCCAGCTTTGTGCACAACGCCGGCGGGGATTTCGTCGAGATGCCTGTCAGCGGCAGCAAAGTGCCGGCAGAGCAAGGCAAGCTCGTCGGCATGATGGCGGGCGACCGGGATGTTGCGGAGAGGATCAGGCCCGTCGTGGAGCCCCTGACCGCGGCGGCAGTCTACTGTGGTCCTGTGGGAAGTGGCTTGAAGATGAAATACGCCATCAATCTGTACCTTGTTGCCATCACAGCTGGACTCGCCGAGTCGATGAACCTTGCCCGCGCGCAGGGGTTGAATCTTGAGGCGTTCAACCAAGTCCTCAGCGCCGGGCCCCTGGCGTCGCCTTATTCCAATGTCAAAGTGCCCAGAATGATCAACGAGGACTGGTCTGCTCAGGCTTCACTCAAGGACTGCTACAACAGTACCCTGCTTATACAGTCAGCGGCGCAGGAGGTGGGTGCTCGGATCCCGATTACGCAACTGTGCGTTGAGCTGTACCGGCAGGCGAAGGAGACTGAACTGGGAGAGGAGGATATGACGGCTGTTGCTAAGTTGTTTACCAATACCCCAGACAACTAGTCCTCCTGTTGCTTGGCTGGATGTGGTTAAGGGCTCAGACTGTAGAGGGTGTTTTGCAGTGACTGGCTTTCCACAGCTAAGAGTTTGACTCCCAGTAACGCTCGACTACCGAGGTAAATAGCTCTTCACGGACTCTCTAATTACGTCGTGGGTTCCATGCCCATTCCACGGTCGTCATTGTCGGTGGACCGACTGGAAGTTCCCTTGGGCGCTTCCCTGGGATCCGTCCTTTTGGTTGTGTAAGGGCCAAGATGGGCGTTGAAGGAGGCACTGAGCACGAGGGCGAGGTTGACATCTGCTTAGGCCGCGTTAGGCGGCTTCTGATCGATGCCAAGTCAAGGACGTCAACTGTGACCGACTGAGATCTCCACCTCAGTTGAGGTGTCGGGCCGTTGCAGTGTATACATCTCCTCCAAACATTAGAGCATCAAGCACAAGTGCATTTGCCTGACTGCCTGAAGTGTCATAACAAAGCCCCCGCAACCCACTAGGAATATCAGCATCCAAGTCAAGGCCCTCACAAGAACAAACACCACACGGAGCCAATGGCTGTACATAGCACGCTCCTCCCACCCTCTTGACCCAGCCCTTACTCCATCTGCTCCGTGGTACATGGGCAAGGCAACTCCTTGTTCTCCTTATGGTAATACTTGTCTTGATCCTTCTCTTTCGCCTCGTCCTTACTGTCCTTGCCCTTGATCTAAAAGTTGGGGCATGTCAGCGTTCTCCCCTGCCCACCACGTGGCTTCACGCCTATTACTTACAAGTCTTAGAGCTCCGTCTATCGATGAGATGCCGCCGTGAAGCACCGCAATATACTGCTTGTCGAGCAGCTCCGCTGCTTGCTTGTTCGGATACTTGTTGGGAAGCACATACTTGTTGGCGTACCATGCGGCGGCGCAAGGCGAACGGATGGTGGCCGACTGGCAGTAAAAGACAACCAGAACAGGGCGGCCTTTGAGCGCGAGCAGCTTCTGGAGCGTTTTGCAATTATTCTTATCTGGTGGTCCTTTGATTCCATCGACTGCTTCCTCCTTGGGAGCGTCAAGCTTGACATGGCGGTCCCAGCCACCCTCCTCGTACAACTTGTCGCCTTTGGGATCAAATGGAGCATGGTCCATGGCAAGGGAATTGGCGGATCGTAAATGGCCGCCCTCGTATTCTTTCCCTGGGGTAGTTTTTAGCCAGGCCGGGGTGGAAACGCGAGCTAGTTGGCCTACCTACTCGTACGACAGTCGACGAGGACTATCGACCTGTCAGAGGGGTCCTTGTGGGCAGCCATGTCCCGGATCCATAGGTTGACGAATTTTTGGGGCATGATAAAGCCGAAATTTCCGGGAAAAACTTGTATGTCATTATTTTTCGTGTCTTTGCCCTTCTCCGAGTTCTCCTTAAGGAGTGTCTGCCACAGGTTACTATGCTTTGCAGTATAGGACGTTTCCGTGAGCGGCTGTGTCAAGTCCTTGCGAGTCAGCGCCTTGTCAAAGTCCTCCGCCGTTGGAGGCCCGGTAGCCGGCGGTTCCGTTGCCATGGCTAAAGGTGGAGGCAACTGCCAGTGATGGCTATAAACAATGAGAAGAACCTTGGTGCCCAAGGACAATTGGGTCAGTGGAAATAAACGACAACTGGCCCTACTGGGAGCCATATATTATACTGCTTGTTCGAGGTAAGTTGTAGAGCGCAGGGACGAAGGTATGAAGCCGTCTGCCCGTCTCCCCATCAGCATGAACCATCTGCCCGTGCCCTCAGGCTCCATCCCGCCTTGTCGGGGCCAAAGAGAAAGCATTACGAATCAAGGAGGCCGGAGCATCCGGAATCCGTCAACTTCGGATATCATTGCGAGCTCGATCCTTCCCATTGCCAGCTGAGAGAGTCATGAATACAACCATAATTGTCCCCTGCCGTGGTGTCATCAAAGGGTCAAGGCGGATATGCCTCCGAGTTATGCCGTACGTTGAGAAGACTATGGTATGTCAATGAACCTCCTGACCAGCTGGGAGTGCCTCACAGTTTGAGGTCATCGTTGATAAGCCTGTGACCTTTTTTGATTTCACAACTGCCGTTCGACAGAGTGGTTACGCGCGCTTCAGCAACTATGGAACCACAGATCGTTTCCATATCCGGACTTTCAGCTAGCAAGAGGCTCATGCGAGTTGGTTGGATGATAACTTTTGAGGTTGAAGAGGGTTGTTCCCCGCGATCAAAAATGGCCGCCTAGAATGCCGTCCCATGGGTAAGGTCAGCACCCGGCGGTGTGTCAAGGTCAGCAGATGTGACCTTGCCTCCCCTTCAGACCGCCGTTCCAGGGGTCAATGTGACAGGTCAGCTACAATGAAATATCGGTATTTTCCTCTTGCGGGTTCTCAGCTTGCTAAGGCTCATGCGTTGAATCGAATCCAGACTCTGGGTACAGAGCATGTAACACTTGGACGCCGAGGAGGGTAACGCTCGACATTGGGGACAGCTACTCGGATCCCTACGATCTAAACAATGGTCGCCAAAAACGCCACCTGTAGTTTATCCTGAGAGCATCCGGCTGAAAGGGGGGGTGTGTGTGTGTCTAGACCACATCGGGAGTCATGACCTGGCTGCTCGCCAGAACGGGGCCAGAGTTTTCGAGTTGAAGGAAAGACTTCGCTCTGTGGCACATGAATTTTGTCACGCCTAGGAATGGAGAAGAAGGCCGAACCATGGACGAATACGCCACTGGGCCGGCCACAACATAAGAACCCTCTCCCAGAACCGAGTCGCAGTCCGGTCCTTCTTCGCTGTTCAAGAGGGTTACCCTATAGCAACGTGATAGTACACTCAGTCTTGTTCAGCTTTTATACCATGGCCGACAATTTGAATGGTGTCAACGTGGTTGCGGTGGCAAGAGCCCCAAGAGATGCCGGTGAAGCCGTTCGGTTCGCGGCCGCGATCGAGCCCGTGACGATCGGGACGTGGAAGCTCGAAAACACAGACGAAAGTTTGCCCGAGTCGGCCCAGCCCATCATCAAAGCCCCCGCTACCGCGGCGGAAACTGTCTTTGGCGAAGACAACAGGAAGCTGGTTCCGGATGAGCACCTTGCCCCTGGAGGCAAATATCGATGTAAGTCAAGTTCCTAGTTTTGACCCGACCCTGGCAGCAGCCCCTCTGTTTGAAAATGCGAAACTAACGACTTGAAAAGCCATTGTCAAGCTCATGCTACGGTTCGGAAATAAGTGGATGATGGGGACTGGATGGCTCATCGCACCCGACCTTCTCGTCACTGCGGGACATTGCGGCTATGATCAGAGCTATGGCCCGGTCCAGGAGATCAAGGCGTACATTGGTTACAAGGGGAGAGCATCTGTCAACTCCCTCAATAGTGGTGAGTTTGTGCTTTCGTGGTCCGTCTAGGGGAATAGGACTGAGCGATATCTCCGTACTTACTACTATTATCAACTCCAGGGCCCACTGCATGCCAGTTCAGACGCGGTACCATGGTGGCCACGAGCACTGCCTGGATGCGAGGCGCCAGCCCGCAGGCCGACGTCTCCCTCATCACTGTTCACCCTCCCTTTGAAGGTGTCAAGGGTATCCAGTACGCCACCACGCCCAGGTCCGGTTCACTGTCACTGGGCATTGTTGGCTATCCCGGATGAGTCAGTGCCTTGTAACCCAGCGTCTGATGACCGCTTACGCCATGTTTTCTAGAGACAAAATGCACCGCGAATACATGTATGAGCACTTTGTGGAGAAAGTAACGTTCAACCTGGCAGACGCCAATGGCATGTTGACATATTGAATTGGTACGTCCAGTCCGGAGAGGAAGCGCCAAGTCCGCAAACATTAAGACTGACTGGCCTTCTTGGCTGAATCAGACTCGTATGGCGGGAATTCGGGCTCTCCGGTTCTTCGCAAGGACCTCGTCAGCATCGGCGTCCACACTTACGGAGGCTCCATCAACAAAGCTTCGGTCATTGGCCCCTCTGGCAACCTTCTGTCCAACTACACCCGCGCGCTTGCAGCCAGCGAATCCGCCACCGAAAGCACAGGTCTAATCAGCTTTGTCAACGTCCGTCCACCCGGCGCCGAGACAGAGTCTGGCATCGTCGCCGTAGGACCAAATGGCGAGACGACCGAGTCGGAGGAGCTCACCAACGGCGACGCCCACATACCGTCCGGGGGGCAGGAAGAGAGCGGCGAAGAGAGCATTCTCGACCTGTTCAACCGTACCTTGAAGATGGCCGTCGCGCTGCAAGAGCGTCCGCCAACCGAGGCTGTTGTCGCCGCAGGAATGCCGCCGATACTGGGGCCCACCGCCGCGCCTCAAGGCTGCCTCGCCGCCGTAGCCGTCCAAGCAGCAGGGAGAATGGGCCACGCTATTTTGAACCAGCAGCGCTTGGTCTCACTTGACGGCGTGGTTGAGCTCGCCATCATCCAAGAAGCCGCTTGGGCGGCCGTGCAAAAGATCTCGACCGAAGTCAACCAACGACACGAGGTCTTCCTGAACATGGCGCGCATCATCGGCAACCTGCACAAAAAGGTCGACAACGCGTCCTCTATCCTACACCAAACGTCCAACACCGCCCTGGGGGGCATCGTCGCCCACCACTACACGCGCGGGCTTTCGAGCCGCCCGCACCGGAAAAGGACCGTCGAGGCGGCGCCCGGAGCCGAGTCCGGAGAAGCCACCACTAACGAGGCAACCCGGGCCATGCTGGAAGGGTTGCTCCAAACCGGTGAAAGCGCCGAGGCCGAGGAGAGCAACAACCAGGACTCGGAGGCGTTCTCGCTGTCACTGCCAAGCCTAACGAATCTCCTCAAGAACGGCCTCAACCATGCTAAGCCGCTGCTGACCACTGCCTTGGATGTGGGCCTACCGTATCTAATGAACAGGCTCAATAGGACACGCACCGAGAGCGTGGAAGAGGCTGCCGATGCCGAAGAAGCAAAGCCATTCAACGAGGCGCTCGCTGCGCGTGTAAAGGGGGCGTCGGCTTCGCTCGAGGCTGTGCTCGAAATCCCGTCCGAGGTGGCTAAGGCGGAGGGCATCTGGGGCGATATGCTCAAGACCATCCACCAGATTGCTCCCACGGTTCTGAAGGTCGCCCCTTCGGTCATCAAGGCTGTAACGAGTCTGTCCCCGATTCCGCTGGGGGCGTTAACGGAAGGGTCTGATCTGCCAGATGAGGAAGATGCTGCTGATAAAAAGAAGCCTGAGTCACTGGAGGAGTTTTTGAACATGTTTGACAGGTGGAGAAGCGGGTAAAAGACAAAGAAGCACAACAGGATAGTGCTACACGGCCACTTGAAGCTGGGAAATTGGAAAAGCCAGTAGACAACAACAGGTCAATAATACACCTGGAACACTGCCCGACCTCTGCAGTGGTTTCAAGTTGAAGCCTGTGTACCAGTATTGAACCTGTCATGCTCAGTAATGAGACCAGCGAAAACGACCAACACTGCCGCATATGCTGCTGTGCTTGAAAGAACCTCTACCAAGCTGTTCATGAACGCAGCGCTCAGCACTCCAAAAGTCAGCACGAAAGAAGTAGTTGAAACCAGGGCTGTCCAGAGTGTGTTGTGCAAAACCATCAACCACATGGGTGCCATCAGCATTACTGCCCCTAATGCTGCCATTCCCAGTCTCTCTCGAAAACCCTTCCACCACTTGCGGCGGAAATTAACGCGTCGATTATTTCCCGCCGCCTCCGGGTCGGTTGCGCTTGTTTCCCAAACTCCAGTAGATTCAAAACTCGATTGAAGTCTCTGTCCGTCCCGACTGGGTTTTTTGAGATAGTGCTCCAGCAGCTTGCGATGTAGCCAGCTTTCACCGCTGATGTAGAACGGGTCGTCGGGCAGCTGGGCGCGAAGCTCCATATAATCGTAGTCTTGCAGCGCTTGCACTATATGATTATCGACCGTAGACGCCCAAGTTAGCGTCCCTCCAACGTCTTGGGTTTTGTTTGGGTAGGTAGGTACACATGCCATATTCCTTCAGGGTGGCAGCCCAGCCTATGGGCTCCTTGGGCTTGAAATAGATCTCCGTCGAAAGGCGAACAAGTTCTTCCTTGAGCTGGTCTAAGCGGATCCGTTGGAGTGCGGCAAGATTGACCCTATAGGTCTTAAGAAGCCGTAACTTTCAATTAGATCAAGCTAACCTGACAAATAACAACATAAGCGGCCAATAAATGGTGTTTAACTTACATGCTCGCCAGTACTTTTTGCTTTTACGACCTTACTAATAAGGGCTCTTTTGTTGACATCGATCTCCCAGCGGTTGTCATTAAAGTCTACAACAACCCGGCCTGAGTTGTGGGTGACAGGCCGACCATGCTCTTCGTCTCTAGGACGCTCTTTCTCAAAGACACGGAACATCACTGGGCACCAAGTAACAAAATCTGTTCATGGAGTCACAGGGTTAGATTTCATGAGGATAATGTGTACGAGACCTGATATTCAGTTGTGTAGAAGACGGGATGCGTACAATCCATTGCTGTCTGTCCAGTGGTTGTGCTATGTATCGGACGGATTGTCGACCGGGATGTTAGGCATCCAAGCAAACCGGTAACCTCAGGCTAGCATGCGGCGCAATCTTGGGGCCGCCAGGTGGAAGGGACTGATTGGCTGAGCATACCTACCTACCTACATGCAAGTAAGACTCTTGTGGGGTATTCTATGCCGAGAATATGCACTGCAGACGCAGGTCTGCATCGGGACTGGCTGTTCGGGTCAGACAGCGCATATTTCCGTTAGGCATCATTGATGTCTGAATTGCCACATGGGCGGCGTTGGCGGGCTCCCCCTTCCCAGCCGCTGTCATTACCTAGATAAGGTACTATACCTGCCTCGATTCCTAGACGTATCAGCTTAGAGCAGAGGGCTAGGGTCACCTCCTTCGCAGCTCCCACCCTCACCTACGTTGATCATATGGATTCGCTTCCAGAGTGCAGCATCGATTTCTTGGTAGACTCTTCCTCATCTACCAGCACGATCATCACTCTTGAATTCTCCCATCTCATATATGCCAGACTTTATGAGCGCTTCTTGCGAAGAGCCAAACGTCCCTTCGAGTACACTACGGCCACTCGGAGCAAGAAAATCTTTATTACGCTCCCAACAACGACGGAGCCGCTTCCCACGTTGATCAGAGAAGATGGAACCTGTATCTTCAACAATGATAGTGACGCTAAAAAGTGGGAAGAGTCGACTGGGCTCTGGCGGACGGACTCCCTTGCCAAAATCCGAAGATACTGCATACTACTAGACTGGATCACACCGGTATCCTTCTCGGAGATGATGGGGTTTAGTTCCAGGGAAATGATGGAGGAAGCGGAAGGGTTAAGTGAGTCCGCCTGAGATAATCTGATGACTCCTGCCTAACGAGATTAATAGCAACAATCGGAGCAAATAGAGGCAGTGCGAATAGGAACGCCTAGCAACCTACCTACACAGATTCCCTCGAAGATCCTACCTACATTATGACCCCTTTCCCGTTGTAGGACACATACCACCCATGAACCCGACCTTCGTATCCACTCATAGGACAGACCACTATCATTTTGCTCAGTAGATGCAATAGCTACCTACTGTGCAAACAATCTAATCGTTACAGGTACACTATTTGGCGCGACGATGCGCGAAGGCCTGCCCCAGATGCGGTGGTTCCAGAAGGGAAAAGATTGGTCATATCAAAACCTGTATCAAACATGCTTTGACTTAGTTGCAAAGGTGTAGCGCATACCCGACTTGACGCTGGTGAAGAGAAGCCGCCACGTGTCAGACACCCAGTCCATCCCATTCCTCCAGGGACCGACGCCGGCAGCCCTTGGAATCCTGTCAACGGCACTTGTCACATAGGTTGAGCTAAGGGAGACGGCCGACTTGTTGGGAAGCCGGGCGCGTTCCGACGGGTCAATGTAGGGTGTGGCCGATGTAGCCCCCGTCTTCTCCATGTACTTGATGACCTTGATGAGTTGCCGTGCCCGGACATCAGCTCCAGGTGTCCACGTCGCCGCGGTGTAGCCCACGATGAGTCCAGAGTTGGGCAGGCCTTCCAGCATGGTCCCGTTCCACGTGTATCTCTGGCCGATTTGGTCGATCACGGGTTCTCCGTCCACGGTAACCGAGATGCCAGACATAAACGCAACGTAAAGCCCAGTAGCGGTGATGATGATGTCTGCTTCGAGAGTTTCCCCTGACTTGAGCAAGATGCCTCTCTGGGTGACCGTCTCGATGGTGTCAGTGACGATATGGGCGTTTGGTCTGTGTAGGGCCTTGAAGAAGTCGCCGCCGGGACAGAAACAAAGGCGTTGCTCGAATGGGTTGTAGCGAGGGGTGAAGTGTTTGTTGATGTTGAATCCCTCGGGAAGCTGCTTCTGCATCTCGGTGATGAGAAGTTTCCGGAAGAATCGCGGGAATGTCAGGAGTAACCTGACGAAGAGTGTCTCAACGAACATTCTCTGCCACCAGATAACTGTCCTCGCCCAGCGTGCTGGCATGAACTTTGACAACGAGCCGAACATGCTACTTTTCCTCGGCATGGCAAGCACGTACGAGGGGCTCCGCTGCAACATTGTAACGCTTCCAGCCGTTTCAGCGAGGGCTGGCAGGAGGGTTATGGCGGTGGCTCCGGACCCGATGATGACGATCCGTTTCCCAGCGTAGTCGAGGCTGTCGTCCCAGAACTGAGGGTGGATAACCTGGCCACCAAACTTATCAATCCCTGGGATATGGACCGGAAGCGCCTTGTCGTAGCGGTAGTAGCCCGTAGCATTGATGAGCCACCAGGTCTTGAGGGTAATCCCCCTAACGCCGCCATCGGGGAGGGTCACGTCGACCTGGAGGGTCCAACGCTGTTCGTCGATGCTCCAGCTGGCCGAGACCAGGCGATGGCCGAAGCGGATCTTCTTATCAATGCCTTGTGAAGCAGCAGCATCCTGCATGTAGGCCTTGAGGGCGGGACCTTGGGCCATGTTGACCTCGTGCGGCCAGGGGTACCAGGGAAACCCGAACAAGCCCATGGCGCTGTCAGAGCGGACGCCGGGATACTTCCAAAAGCCCCATGTTCCGCCTAGCTCATTGCGCGCTTCGAGGATGGCAAATTTGCGTCGTGGGAGGTCATTCTTTAGGCGGTATGCTGTGTTGATGCCGCTGAGGCCCGCTCCTACAACGACAATATCGAACTCCTCCAAGTCGGGTGCCATTTCTGAGTTGGGAGCCGTTGCACCAAGATATCCAGGTCGCGTCCGGGAAGCAGCTGCAGAAGCAGACGTGAGGCTGAATGTCCGAGGGCATCGGACTATGCACGAAACCGCGGCGGAAAAAAAAGCCGAGGCAATTTCCACTCCGCGCTAACCGGATCGGGCGGACCACTGTCCATTATGCGTTGATTGAGATGTGAGCAACCCCCTTAAAACCTTACCGTTTCGTCGAACACGAATGGCATCACGATAGCCCAAGTGTAAGTCAGATTAAGGTTTAGAATCCAAGTAGTAAACTCTAACCCTAAGGTACCTAGGTCTTGTAGGATTTGGTGAGGGATAGATCCTAAGGATCCTACAGACAGGGGTGGCCGAATACCCTGCTAGGGTTAGGTGTAGGGTTAAGTAGTTACCTAACAGGGGCAAAGGTCTAACTACCATGGAGAGTACAGTACAACCCTGGTGTGTTTGTTAGCGCGGAACTCAGGACAGGGGTCCTGGTCCAAATTTCAAAAGATGCATCTTCACAGCCATAAGGAATATATCAACGCAGAAAAATAAAGCATTTAGCAATATTCAGAATGTTCCATTTTATTTGTCTGTTTATCTGTGCGAAAAGTGGTTGTTTTACTGTCGAGATTTGGATTTCGGGATTGGGCCCTGTCTTCAAGTCAGGCGCTAGCGAACAAACCACGGGGGCATTGTATACCCGTGGACAAGCCTTCATTACACTCGGGCCCCTGAATGCAATGAAGGTCGAGCCGATGGGTAGAATAGCCCCGGGTTGGAGCGTACACTGGGTGCTCTAGAGATGAAATGCTGTCATATTGCATGCATGCACGCATGGCTTTATACGATATTATCCGTCTCTGGGCACACGTGCATGGAGTCTCGAGTCCAAAGGAGCGAACAATTTGAAGTTTTGAACCCTGCCATATCCTACCAGCGACCATAGGTAGAATACATACTTGGCAATCCGGATACATACTTATGTATATAAGGATGTCACCGCTAACAGCCCGGGTAACGACGACGACACACGACATGCAGGCCCAAGATGCCATCGGGGTAAGACAGCCGAAGCCGACGAGCAAGGCAGCCATCTCCGGCGGGCATGACCTAACACTACAGCAACACCATGACCAATATGTGAAACTGCGAGATACCTTGCCAAGCGTCATCAAGTATAAAGGACCTTTGTCCGGAACCTCAGGCTTGGCCTCGGCGCCGCGGGGGGCTTGTGCCAGCCAAGAATCATCAAGCATCCAATACCAAGGAAAAGCCAAGCCAACAAGTCTGAAAATCCATCGTCCCTTCCCGTCTCCCCCCCACCAGGCAAGAAATCCGTTCATAGGCTTCCAATGTGTGGGACAAGTGGGCGACGTGGCAGTGCAACGGCCGGGAGCCGGATGCTGTTGGCGGGTGGTTCGGCCAAGCCTTGAAGACGCACCAACTCCCCCATCCTCCGTCCTTACTGTGTACACAGCAAACTCCCTCAACGAGCGACCGTCCAGTCAGAATCCGTTTGCAGCAATGAGTGGCTCACGTGTCGATATGTCTCGGCCAAGTTTCGCCCGAGACAACTCCCGGTTCGTTCGTTCGCAGGGCTGAATCCAGTCACGAAGCAGACATGGAGGATACTCGCCGAGACCAGCGGCCAATCCGGACCAGAAAAGGGAGCTTGTCGCGTTCCAGTTTTGGAATTTGCATTTTCATGTCGACGCTGGGCCAGGACATGCTCCGTCGTCCCTCGGACGAAGGCCTCGTCGTTGTGTGAGCCGTCCGTGTCGACCCCCGTCGGCGTTGCGTTGTTTTTCCCGAGTTGGGAGTCAAGGTTGATTCTGGCCCAGGATGCGAGGTGGCGGTCGTTACGGGACTCAAAATCTTGCCATCCGCGAAAGCTTCACTCTGAGAACGCGGTAGGTCTATTCCAACACTGGAAATGTCACTTGGCGCTCCCTCGGACTTGCTGCGCTGGCGCATGAACGAGAAGGGGAACTCCACGTCGTTACCAACTGCAGGCAGGGGGTTAGCGGCCGGCGGTTGAAGGGAGAGGGGGTGAGTTAGCATACCGTGGGTCGCCCACAGTCGTGCATCAACCATGTACTTGAAGTAGTCATTGTTGGCTGTGGCCATATCATTCTGGGCGAAGCATGTTGCAACCCACTCCTCGGCGGCTTTGACGGCCGCGGACTTCTGGCCCGGCACCAGAAGTTGGGTGTCCCGGCTGGCAGCAAAGTTCAGGATGAACTGCCGCCTGGAGTATTCGGCCGCCGTTAGCGCTTTCAGCACATCGATCCGTTCCAGGTCGACCGGTGTCGATCTCCGTCGTCGCTCCCTGACAGCTGCGTTTGCCGCGCGTGCCGCCATCAATGATAGTATTTGGGGTCTGGTAGTTCTAGGAACCAGCCACAAAGGTCGTCAGGGATGTCGACGATGGCGAAAGGAACGTTGTGCTTGCGGCATTGAGGGTCGGAGATAGGAAATTAGGCGGGAGAGACGTCGTCGTAATTCGGGTAGGTGGCACAAGATATCAGATCCGAGCAGACCGGGACCAAACCTCGGGCTGTAGTAAACTTGTCCAGATGCCAGAACAACGTCAGGACGGTGTTTCAACGGGCATTACTGTCGAATATGGGTCGATAGATTACCTTTTGTCAACTCGATGATGTCCGGTATGCCGAGAAGTTGGGCGTACACGGCAAGATAGTGGCCTTCACACCAAGTCTAGGCGCGAAGCAACGACTATCTCGGGGAGTCGGGTGGACTTGAGATATAACTTTCCACTGCACCCACGGATGAAGCAAAACAGGTGATGTAAGGGCGACGAAATAGTTTGGCCACGGGTCGTGCAAAGGACGGTAATTGATAAGGCTTTAATAGTCTGCGCTTGCCGGAGATTCCGATCGGGGGCAGCCCAGGAAGGATGACGAGTGACGCCTTGAATGAGAAATGGAAGTTGAAGGGACCGAAGGGACGGAATGTTGGCTGGGGTGGGGTGATATTCAGCTTGGAATGATATGGCTCGCCGTGGTTTAAGTGAGTGATGACCCTTGGTTTGGTGATTTCGGAATTAACGTTTCCTCAAGTCTGTGGTGTGGAAACACGGGGAGAAGTTTGAGGTAATCAACCCAGAGAATTGGGACGGGAAGTTGTAGTACAGTAGCGGCTGGAAATCTCGCCAGGCTCGTCCCGCGCTACAAAGTCGCGCCGAGATATTATCGAGGGCTTGTCCAAGCTTCCGGGACTCCCGCTGCGACGGGCGCCAAGCGCTCGCCAAGAGTGCCATCACGACTTGGCGACGGCACTCTTGAAAGCAAACGATAAGTGAGCAGGGCCCAAGAGTGCGGGGAAAGGCTTGGGGCTTTGGACAAGACATGGCATGAGACAACGGCTGAGAGTCCTGCGTTTCTGTCAAATTCTGTGAACAGAAAAATTCAGGCAGATCTGTCTGCAGGTGCTCTTGATGCCCGTCTTATCGAGGTGCCCATCCTTGGCACGTCCATGCCTGGTTCGTTGGTTCACAGAACTCTTCAAATTGAACAGCGGTGTGTAACCGCTATGTGGAATTACCTAGAATCTGGATATGGGACCTCCGTAGGCACTGTCGATCGGAACGCTTGTGAACCGCCAGTATCTTAACCTCAAGTTGCATGCATACTGTATTATACGTGCATGTGTAGCGCCTGCAGATGCCATCCGACGGCGGTTTTTGTGAGCAATGGTGAGCAATGAGATGAGAGAAGATGGGACCTGTCTTTGGCCGATGGTGCAGGCGGATCATGCCCAGCCTCAGGATAAAGTCATTGGCTGGTTAGAATCATTCTCACTCCAACCGATCCGTTCCAAGACATATGCGCAGGTGGAGGATTCCGGCGTGTAGGCAGAGATGGTCAAAGAATGGTTGACGTATGTCATATCCCGACCACCTAGGCAGTGTACGCATTTTATGTACCTTCGGAGTTGTAGTGCATGAATCCCATGCTTCAACCTTTCGAGTAAGATGCCATGCCTCTAGCGCAACGGGACATCCCTAGCTCGCCGAAATTCCCCGAGACATTATTCCCAGGCCGTGAAAGGAAAGAAAAGGGAAGAGTACCATAGCTGGAAATACTCAAGGAAGATAACGTTACGGCATGTCCTAGTATATCTGCAAAGCTTCGTGACCTTACGACTACAGACCATATGCATTGGGCTTTCATCATTGCAAGAACCTCGAGAAGGTGGTAACTGGGAAAAGATGCGAGACCACGAAGGATCTTTTTATGTACCAGACAGTTTAAACGCAGTTAGTATATACAAACATAAGCAAAGGTCTATCATGGTTTCCTCAAGAACTCCCAAGTTCATGCCACAGCAGTGCCCCATCAGCCCCTGAACTCCTCACCCTTTCCACCGTCTCCTTAAACCCACGAAAAAGTCTAAACACCATGCATAGGTACTAACCCCCAATCGTTATACGCTTGCTTGCGCAAGCCATTCATTTCGACCAGTTGCAGCCTCATGTCCCGCTCGCAGAACATGCAATGCTTAACAGCCGTTGGCCTTGCAGCCAAGCAGGACGGTGGCACCCGCAGCATTGGACGCAATCCTCAGGGCACCGCCAATGGCCTTGCAAATGATGCACTCCTTGGAGGTTCTGTCGCAGGAGATCTCATAATTCATCCATCCATGAACACTCGGGTTGGAACCATCCGACGGCATGTTGTCCATGATGAGATCAAGGGTCTTCGGGACCTTGACGTAGTTATCCACCTTGGTCTCCCACCTCAGGCACTGGCCCTCCTTGCCGGGCCGGGTGTCGGGAGTGCGGCAGACCTCGGTGGTTGACTGGCGCTTGGAAGAGAACTTGGGCTCGGCGGCCATGGAGTCGTAGGCAGCCGACATTTTCTCGAGGGCCTTCAAGCCGGGCTCGCCGTGGCATTTCCATGAGATGGTGCACTTGGAGCCGAGGCTGATGGGCGTCGAGTCGCAGTTGATGCTCGTGCTGCTGAAGGTTTTCTTGACGGTGGCCATGACATGCTCGGGGGTCTGTTCGTACAGCTCGACAAAGTCGGAGTTGGTTGAGCCGGTGATGCGGATCTTGTCCTTGTCACCACCACCACCGCCACCACCGCCGCTGCTGCTTCCGGGCCTGGGCTTGCCGCGGTGATTGCAGACGTAGGCGCTCGAGCACCACTTGCCGTCGTCCAGCTTGTAGACCTTGTCGACGTGGTACGAGTAGCACTTGAGCGGCTTGTCCAGCTCGTAGCTGTGCCAGGCGTCGCCGGCCGAGTTGGGGTCCTTGATCTTATCGTTGATGTAGACGCTCCACTCGTCGCCGTTGGGCATCTTGGCCTTGACGCCCTGCGGACCCCAGGGGTAGGCTCCGGTCCAGGGCACGTTGACCATGTGCGTGGGTTTGTTGGTGGCGTCGCCGTTGCCGGTCCACACGTCGCCCGAGTAGTACATCATCTCGCGCGACGTCGAACCGCCATTGTGTCCGAGGCCGATGCCGCAGTCGGCCAGGACGAGGTTTTCGTTGGGTGTCTTCTGGCAGACGGCAGAGTGAGGGGCCGAGATGAGGATACCGGCCACGAAGGCAGACCACTGCGTGGATGTGCGCATGTTGATGGATGGAATGGTTTGATGGCTGGGTGATCTGGTGTTGATTCTTCGATGAAGATGTTCTGATTAGGTTCAGGGAATCGAGGTGTTTGTCTGTCGGTGAAGTGCAATGCTCAAGATGCTGATGATGAGATACCAGCTCGACAACATGGCGATGCTCCAGGCACTTTATACTGGCTTCAACTGCGATGCTCACATTCTTCCTCGTTGAGGCCTCATCTCAAGACTCCGCCGAGTCGCCGACTTGGAGTATCTCATGGCATGATGTTGTTACCGTCCAGCTGTACTCGTAACTTGGCAAGCCGGCGTTCTAGCTGCTTTCGAGAGCCCCACTGGAATAGGGCTAGATGTTGAGAATATTATCCACCCAATCATGGAGTTGAGAACGCCAGAGCTCCGGGTGAGGAAATTTGGGGAAGATGGCGCTAGGGAGTCGCCTACCATCGTCAGCGGCTGGTTCGTGGCATTTTGTGGGCCAGGGGACCAAGAGTTGTTACTCGGATTAAGCTTAACGCTACAACTAATGCGGGCAGCGGTGCAAAAACTCTGCTGCGCCCAACAGAGTGGAACTCAACCGAGGCAATCCTACCTGACACGCAGGACAAACTGCAGCACAGCCCGAGTTGATGCCCGGCGTCCTCACCGATGCTCTGCGGGCATCAGGCCATTAGCTATGTTCAAGCATTGTCGGGACTCGGTTGACGGTATGGCCGTCAAAGTTCGAGTTAACGTTACATACCCACCGACATTAACATGAATAAACCTGCGTGAGATTTGGGCTCATTGCATCCCATCTTGGATTGAGGTAGCTGGGGATGCCGCTGAAGAATTACCGGTACTCGCGGCCATGTAGTTGGAAGACTGGAAGCTTGGCTCATGACGCTCTTACACCAGGTCGCCAAGTTCGAACTATTTACCTACTTACCCCTAACCAACAAATCACTTATGCTACTGATCATAGGTCTGGAACTCTGGATTTTCCGCATGTTGTTGCAAACCCGCAGAACTCGGATCAAAACATCTACCTTCCACATCAGTTGCCTGTGGCCGCGCCGGCCGGGGACCCGGGCTGTTGACAGTTCATGTTTTCCAAATCACGGTACATAAGATACCTAGCTACAATGGAAAGCACGTTAGAATCATCATGTCGACCAATGCGCTGTACCCTTGAACTCAGGCTGACGGAAACGACCAAGACAGCTGAGATTGTTTATTTCAGGGGCTAAGGGAGACATCCATACATTCGTGCATGCCCCCGATGTCCCACTTCCAGAGTGAATCCCCACCCAGCCCATGCCAGTCAGAGGGGAGGACGAGTGCAAGGACGACGAAGAAGAGCGAGGGGAAGAGGTGGATTAGAGTGCTTCCTTCAGGCCAAGACTTTATGGCAAGCATAGAACCATCGACTGACGCTGCAAGAAGTGTTGGCAGTTGCCGATGACTGTGAGAATGTCTCCCCCTTATTCTTGGCAAAACCTACCTCCATTCGGACCCCTAAGAGAAGCAGCCGCTCTGCTCACTGCATGATTCCTAGTCCCAACACATGTTCACATCTTCCAGAACCTAGTCGTTATATGTATACACTGAATACAAAGTCACCCCCGGACAGTCCAGACCGGCCGGCCGGGCAGGTACCAGTACATGCCCTAACCCTCTATTTCCTCATTTTGTTATCCTGGGCCCGCTTACATGTACAGTCCGCGCCGGACAGCGGCCCGCCTGCGCCTAGAATTCACCACTGGCACCACCACAGTGGCAACATTGTCCGAGTCGTTGCCCTCACCCGCGTTATTGTCCTTGCCCTTGCCCTTACCCTGAGCGTCCTGGGCCTTGCCCTTGCCTTTACCCTCGACGGCCTGGGCTTGGGCCTTGCCCTTGCCCTTCCCGTTGCCTCCGCCCGTGATAGCCTCAAGGATCTCGTTCAGGTCCACAACATTGGCCTGACCGTTGTTGACATTTGCCTTGCCTTGACCCTTGCCATGACCGTTGGCATTGTCGTCAGCATCGTCATCGGCATCGGCATCGTCGTCGGCGTTGTCCCCTTTCCCCTTGCCCTTGCCCTTGCCCTTGCCGTTTGCTTTTCCATTGCCTTTGCCCTTGCCGGCGCGGTCTCTACCCTTGCCCTTGCCCTTTCCGTTGCCGACGTCGGTGTTGTTTCCGCCGATGATGGGCGCAGTGACGTTCCCTGGCGGCGGCGGAGGTGTCGCTGTTGCTTCTGCTGTCTCGGTGGCGGTGGCAGTGGCCTCTGCGGTTTCGGTGGCCGTGGCTGTCTCACCCGCCGTGGCTTCTTCTGTGGCGGTAGCAGTCTCGTTGGCTGCTGTCTCGGTTGCTGTTGCTGTGGTCGCCTCAGTGCCAGTAGCTTCCGTCGCAGTCTCTATAGCAGTAGCTTCTTCGGTGGCCGTGGTCTCTGTGGCCGTCGCTGTAGCATTGGCTTCTTCTGTTTGCGCAGCCGTTTCTGTAGCAGCAGTCTCCGTTGTGGCAGTCTCAGTGGCTGCGCCCTCGGTGGCGGTGACGATGACTTCCGAGGCCACAGGAGCTGCCACAGGAAGGTTGGGGTTCAGACCTGGATTGGCCCCGAGCAGACTGTTCAGGAGATCCTGAAGCTGGCCGCCGGCCGCTGGGAGATTGGCGGCGCCGCCCTGGAGAAGATCCTGAATCCGCGCGATAACATCACCTTGGCCCTGAGCGGCACCGCTCTGGATCAAATTCTGAAGTTGGGCTGCGATGTCTTGGTTTTGGCCCGCACCACTGACCACGATCAGGGGCTGGGGGTCTCTTTGCCGGATGAGGGCAGCATGGGCGGTGCCGCCCAGGTAAAGAGCAGCTGTGACGGCCTGCCGCCAGGAAAGAGTGGTAGTGGTTCCAGCCATGGTGAAGGGAATAAATGAAGGTACACGAAAGATGAGAATTGAAGAAAGAACGTCTACCCGGCAGACCAAGAATGAATGGAAAGGACCAAGGAACTGAATGGACTCGGCAACTTTAGGAGCACATTGAAACGCTAGGAAGCAAGCCAACCGAGAAGACATGCGGTTCATATAAGGGTAGGAACTCCCAGCCCCTGATGGGAATAAGCTTCAAGGTTACGATCTCCGGATCAGATCTTCCCATCCCGTTTTCTCCCTTCCCCTGCTGCCAGAAATGTACATGCTGCATGAAGAAACACTCGCGAGACACCCAAAACGTGCAAAGCGATGAGCCTCGGTGCAAAATGCAATACAAACAATCCGAACCACCAGGAACGTGGATTTCGACGTGAGACTTCGCATGGGCAAATGCAAGGATGGCAGGGGCAAAGGCAACTCCACATCTCACGGTCTGTAAGAGATCTAGATGGGGTTGCTGAAACCCCACGTCGATCAGTCGTTTCTGATTCCCGGTCAGTTAGGGCGCGCTTAAAAGTAGCACGCTTTTGGTTCGCAAGCCAGCTCGGCCAGGTACGAAATAAGCTCGTGTAAGGTAAGTGTAACCGCTTTGATCTCTGCCGCTCTGATGATCCGTGGATCTCTGGATCCTCAAGGACAAAAATGTTTCCTTATTGCGCCAGCGGTTGCACCGTTGCCCTTTGCCCCGCCAAGACTGCCCCCGTTTCAGGGGGGAATCCATCCATGCCATGGAAACCATGAACGACGGTCCCAACTTGTTTTTTTGTTCGAGAAATCGCTTCGGCACTTTCGCTACCCGGTTTGGGGAACCTTGCGCAACAGCATCGCCGGGATTGCGGTCCTGTACTTCGTACAGCTGGAGTCAATATCGTCGGAGAATTTTAACATCGCCATTGCGGACGGTGTGGAGAAAACCTAAAAACGGCAATTGATCGCAATCGCCTGAAGCTCCCTAAGCTCTTGAACCGATGTGTGTCCTGTACTCTGCGCTTAGACTTACTGATTCAGATTTATTTAACATCCTCCCTCCATTCATCTCATGACTCGACCTGGTCGGTAATTCAGGACAAAGATCGGATGGGTCTCATTTAGTGTACGTCTAGAAACGTCTATCCGCATTGTCTCTTGGTGCCCTGTTGCGTTTTCTCAATACATACAGTACTTACATGTAGATACTGTATGTAGTACTTAAAAGTTAGAACGTCAAAATTGACTCGTGTCTCCTGCTCCTGGCCACTTAATTATTGTACAGTACGGTCCCCGAATAACAACCTCCTGCTTGAATCAGACTACCACAAGTTGGCATAGCAGAATGGAAGGAAGACCAGATGATCGCCTCCCACGATAGCTTTGCCTTCCCGCGCTATGCGTTGTCCCGCAAGCTCAACAAAACTTTGAGCGATTTGCCTCGAATACCTGCTCGGAAGACATCTGCCCATATGTACTTGACTGGACGCCTAGAACTTCTCAGTGGTCCTAGACGTGCCTTATATTACCACTACTTCATAGAGTGGCAGATGCGATTATGAAGCTCCTGACGAGTACAGAGTAGGTGCTCCGTAGTGTCACTGGTGTTTATAGTGCATACGCCACGATCAAGAGCAGAAGCAAGGAATAAGGCTAAGAAATACCTACATATTCCACTAGAGCTGTCATCTGTCGTGATCACCTGATTCCCAGCCTGGCTCTAAGCCGACAAGTCTTGTCTTCCAAAATGCGCCCAAACCCCGCAGCCCCTGATGGCGGGGGCGGGGTAATATTGGAGTGACTTGTTGAATGGGAGGGGGAACGTCGGGGAAGCCTCAGCTGTAGGTAGGTACTGAAAGAGAGCGGTAAAGATTGCCTTATTTTTCTAAGTTCTGTTGCCCAGTGCGGAGGGCTCTAGTAGTCTACAGTGGTGGGTCTGGGCTATGCCCAATCTAGCGATATGGTCCACATTCTTTCTTGGTTCTTTTGGTGCCTCTTTCAGTACCTTATTTATTGGGGCAGTGGGGTTTCGCTCTTTCGACACAGTTCAACGCCTTTCGATCCTCCTTCAGCCCTCCAACCTCCTACAATGAATACCCATTCATCGGCTGCGCTCTTCAGACCGCCGTCGCGGTAAGCTGCTAGCGTAGGCAATTCCCTACCTAGGCAGGGTAGGAGAAGGAAGAAGCAGAGGGATTTGAGGGTAGCAGTCCGTTTTCAGCTTAGCAAGAGAAGAAAACATCGAGGCGATGAGGGTAAACTTGCTCAATTGCGCTCGCGTTACCTAGGGTTGCGGGTTGCGGCGGATTTGATTGGTTCCCAGCACGGCGGGCGGCGCAGTTTACCAGAAGCTAAGCTCTGTGCAGATGTGCAGAATGCAAGACTGAGTCCACCGTACCGCCAGGGGAAGGGAATTTGGGGAACCACCAACCACTGCACGCGATAACGTAGGTAACCACAAACGGCAGGCGAATGGATCATGGATGGATTCGAGGTATTTATTTATGGAGAAGCTGGGCCACTCAATGTCATCGTCACGACTTCATTTCGACTTCGGGCGCTTTTCTGGCGGGCAACTTGAACGTTGGGAGTGTGCGCCTGCGAATCCGGATCACAAGAGCTTGTGCTGTCTCTTAATTGCTCTCTCAACAATCTCTTGAATTGCCATCGAGCGCAAGTCGCGTCAACTCTGCCTCGTCAACATGGCCTTCTCGGCGTTGATCCTCCTTGTTGTCGCCCACTTCGCAGACGCCCACTTCTCCATCGAGTACCCAACCGGAAGGGCTGTCACCGTCGGGTCGGGCAGATTGAACGAGAGCTATTCGCAATGGGTCCAACCATGTAAGCCGTCACTTGTTTCCCGCCTGCATCTGTCAAGAGCGAGACAATAACCAACCGCAACTGCTTACAGGCGCCGGTGTACCGGGCAATCTCCCCGGCGGTAACCGAACAGACTGGCCGATGACGGGCGGCAGCCTCAAGCTGGACCTGCACCATCCGTGGACATACATCTTCGTCAACCTCGGCCTGGGCGACGACGTATCCAACTTCAACTATTCCCTGACCAACCCCTTTTGGAACGAGACTGGTAACGGAACACTCTGTGTGCCCCAGATCGCGTTGCCTACGGATCTGCCCATCAGTGACGGGTCGCGAGGCAGTCTCCAAGTAGTGACTGTGGGCGACGACGGCAATGCGCTATACAACTGCGCTGACATCACCTTCCGCGCCAACGCGACGGCGTTGAGCGGCAACGAGTGCGCAAACAGCACCGGAGTGTCATATACAGTCATCGGATCGCAGTCGCAGTCGCAGCCTAACCCGACGACATCGCCGTCGTCATCGCCATCGCCGGGTTCTGGTTCGTTCAACGGCGTGAGCACGCTTGTGCTGTCATCCGTGGTCGCTATCACAATGAGTGTCGTGTTTGGTATGAGTGTATAACGTGCCACGTCGGAAGGGTTGGCTAGGAAGGAGGATCCTAAGTGTTGATCTGGCGGTTTTCGGCTGTATAAGTCATAATCTTAGTTAGCGGCGGATATGGACGAAGCTTTGCATGCGGCACAATTTGTTTGGGCAGAGACGACATGAGAGACAGATATGCTCACCGTCTTGCCCAAGGGCCGAAACGTAGTTCAGGGGTGCCGCAGTCACATGCGCCGGATGTGAGACAGTGGCACACGTTGCAGATGCACTGTGTCCAACACTGCAGGTCACTGCCCCTGGCAGTGTTGCAATTTGCAATTTCCGCATGCTGCCTTCTTCCCTCAATCATGTGTCCAGCGCTGCTTCGGCAAACATCTGGTTGACAATGTCTTTGGTCGTCACTCTGGATTGCGGATTAGGTGCCAGCATTTCGTATACTAGGCGCTCAAGCTTATCGCGTAAATCGAGCCCGCTGCGTGCTGCGTTCACCTCCTTCAGCCACTCTCTCATGCGGTTGGATGGGTCTTGGTCCCTCGAGTTGACCTTGGCAATCACCCAGTGTAGGTGCCGTGGGTGGTTCTTATGCGCCCTCGCATCCGGCCACGAGATCTTGCCCAGGACGTATAGCATCGTGACCCCTAGAGCCCAAACGTCACTTGGTGGACCGCGCTGCTTCCGGCCGATGAATTCGGGCGGCACATACCACGGGGTACCACCGATCGAGGCTGTATCTCTGGATTGATGAGATGATAGGCCAAAGTCACACAGTACGGCTCCGCGCTCGCGGCTGTACAGGATATTGCCCGGTTTGATGTCGTTGTGCACCAGACCCTTCCCGTGGACGTAGTGCAGGGCGCTCGCGATGTCGCGCAAAATGTGCGAGGCGTCAGTGCGGTCGCCGCTGAACAGATCCGTTCCCGGAGTCCGCCACATGCTCCTGGAGGACAAATCTCGACCATCGACATGCTCCATGTACAACGAAAGAAACCTGGCGTCGCCGCCGTACAAGCGCACAATGCTCTTGTGCTCAAGATTTCCTTGGCTCTGGAATTCGCGCAGCCAGATATCAGCCTGACGAATCACGTCCTTAGCCTCAGCGGCCTCATTGTTGGCCGTAAGCGGAGATCGGGTCTTGAGGACCTTGACGACGATCACGCCCGAGGGGACCTCGGAGTAGTCGGCCGTGAAAACGCTTGACAAGCTCGTCGATGCAATTTGCTCCTTTTTCGTGAGCGTATACCCGACGACCTGTGTCCTTGGCGGAACCTCGACCGTCTCTTCGGATTGCATATCCAGAAGGGGGTGGCCACTTGACACTGAAAGCTCCTTCCCCTTCTCTGCCGAGGGCCGTGGGAGAGTGAGCTGGTTCTTTGAAGCAGGAAGGATCATGATGTAGCTGTCGTCGTTCTTCTCCTGGGCGCTGTCATGAGCCCGTCGCCTCTTTTCAGGGCTGAGGGCATCGTCCGCGTCGGCCACAAAAGATCTCTTGCCCGCGGAATTCACCCCATCAGACAGGTCAGACGAGAAACTTGAAGGCCCACGTAGCAGCATTGGCCGCTTTTCTAGGATTCGAAAATCCAGTGCCTTGTTTCCACCCATGTGGACGCGCCATGTTCCTGGAGCAAGGGCCTTGAAATCACGCGGGTTCACTTCGTACTGATCTCCTTGGTTGTCTCTGGGCTCTTGGGATATCCTGGACACCGTGACAGGCTGGTTCGAGCGGTTGATGAAGATCTGGTTGTCGCTGGCAGGGTCATAGTACAGCTCACACTGCAAGGCGAGATTAGGGAGAATGTCGGGAATTCTCACGGTAAATCGGATGTCCCGGTCTCGTTGTGTCACGGCTAGAACCTTGTGCGGCGGCTCGTCCTCTTCGGCATCCGCGGCGTGAAATGCAAGTAACTTGCAGTTGTCTTGCTCACCAGGGCTCACAGCTCGGCTGCCCGCAAGCGGTCTCAGTAGAATGCGAATGTCCTTGTCCAGCGGGACCACCAGCTTATCCAGCGGCACTGTGCTGTTCATAGCACTGAGCTCTTCCATACGGGACCGTTGCAACCGGGCCTGGAGTTCGCCCTGCGAGAAAGGCTCCGTCTTCTGCTCGGAGAGCTCCGTGTACTCCCTCGCATCGCCCATGGCTAGGCGCATGAGGGGCTATGGCTAAAATCTCTGCGCCAAATGCTGGAAAACACAGAAGTGTAGGAAATGGCGTTGTCGTTTGGTCACAGGTTAACCACAGTGTTCAGGGACAGCGCGAAAAATATGGAGCGTAAGCGAACGGAGGTACTAGGCAACCAACGGTGAATTTTGGACGGGCGCGGAGACAAGAGGAATGGACGTATGGAAACGAGCGGAACGAATACTGGGCAATGAAGAAAGCGAGATGAAAAACAGACCCGACAAGAGGCAATTCTCGGGCTGTGTATATATGGTGAATCTAGGACTCGAGTGCCATGGTTTGCGAAAATGACCATTGAAGAGGAAGTCAGATGGGCGCGGTGAGAGTACAGAAACAGTGTTGGAAGGGCGCCTGCTGATTGAGTATCAGCCTCACCCGGAACAGGGTGGTTAGCGAGCGAAGACATGTCGAAGCTCCCAGAAGAGAGCGAGCGAGCGGTGCAGCAGGTGCCTAGCGCTTGTCTGCCGCCCGCATGCTTGAACTGTTAGCGAGATGCTTCGCTGCGTCTGTCACTCGACATCCGGACTCGGGGCCCAGGTGATGCGGTGCTGTTGAAATCGCTGTCATTTCAGGGCAGAATTCGCCACCCAAGTGTCAGATTGCTGCTCATGGGAGAAGACATTTGGGATATTTAGCCCAGATGCCTCCCGGGCTTCAAATCCGGCATCATGGGTTGTTGAACGCTTCAAGGCTGTGTTGCCCGCCCCAGCTGTACGGACCTTCGGTGGATTGACTTCAGCTGACAGCTGCCAACCCATTTGTCGCCGCTTGGCGGACGCACCAGCTGGCGAACCTGACCGAGAAGCGCAACCGGACCGAAAAGCGCAGTTACGGCTGTCAGCATCTGTTGCTCTTGTGGGCTTCTCGATGGCGAGGGAATCAGGACGGTGCAGCACCTCCAGAGCCGTCATCCGAGAGTGATGTCTGCCCTGGTCGGGTCCAGTCAGGGTGTGAGTGAGCGTCGGATCTGCTGTTGATATTTTCACACCTGCATCAACTGCTCTCGGTCCACTCCGTCTCACTATGACCGTCATCTGGCCACCGGGCTGGTGTCATCACGAGGCCGAAAGATGACCACATCGCGCAGTCCAGTGCAGTCGGTGAATCGAGGGATACCAAATGCGAATGATCGAGTTGGATCAGGATGACTCCATACTATAGTAACGTTAGCCATTTTATTTTAAACATCCGCTTCGCTGCGATTTGGAAGTCGACATAACTGACCGGACTGGAGTGACGAAGATTGTCGCTTTCGTCGAAGGAGGTTTGGAACTGGAATTGGAGGGCAGTGCAATCATGACGGGCCATGATGCGAACACGCCCCTCCTCAAATTCCAAGTGTGCGTCGGGTGAGCATGACCAAGGCTAATGGAATGCCGGCTGCAGTCGAGAAGTCCCGCGATTGGACACATTGAAAGACCCATTTTAGGCATGATTGCTCATTGGCTAAGATACGGTAAGCGCGCCGTGGCTGGGCGGCGGTCTGCATTGCCTCTTTGAAAATCCCTCGCATAATGGTCAATTTGATTGGACAAGTTCAAACGAGTGGCGCCTCGGATGCATGCCGTGGCTGCCCAGGTCGTATTGGAGTCTTTGTTTGGTGCCGGCCAACACCTAAGCCAGAGCGTTCTTTCCTGAGACTTTGATGACCCCAGCCCTACGGCCAGAAACCACTTCTGCGACAACCCATCTCAACTCCTGCCTCAACACCAGGTTACCAGACCATTGAGCCTAGAGGCCTGTAACAAAACACAACCATCGTATCCACCGCCGACCCTCTACAATGTTCATCGTCATATCCACTGCTTAGATGGCTTCCAGCGCCGACGCCAGATCCGTGCTTCACGATTACAGCAAGACTTCTCCCTCTCCGGTTCTCACTCTTGGTCTCCTCTCTCGCTCCACTCGGAACACCGACAAACCCTCCCGATCCTCTCAACCCTCGCCGTTACTGGTCCCCAGAGAATGGATGATCCAGACGATAGCTGTTGGAGTTGGCCGCATTGGAAGTTTGGCTTGAAGAGGGAGGACCTCTTCACCAAGCTGCACGAGCAGTACAACACAATACCGTCTTCGATACAAGACCCCGAGGCATTCCACCACGACGTCTACGAGATCTCGCACGAAGCGAATTCCGCTGACGAGTTTCATCGTTTGCTCGAGGACCGCAAGCGACAGCGTCTCCGCGAATTGAATGACTCCCTAGAATCCGCTTCGTTCGAAATCATTGCGAACCCTTCTCTCATCGGCACCGAGCAGTGGCAACATGCCGTGCAGCTCTTCCGCACGAGATCGCTAGATTCTCTCGTCCGTTACTTTGCATCATACCTACCCCAGGACCACCCATGGTACAAAGCTCCGTCTTCAGCCTCGGCGTCCGATGCCGGCAGCAGTGTCGGCTCGATGACCAGCTCTCACGGCTCCCTGTTCGACGACGATGATGGTCCCATCATGACCGACGAGCCTTTGGAGTACTCGACCGCACTATCGATCTTGCCTCCTTCTCCTCGGTCCATGACGATGTGCTCAGATTCGTCCGTTGCTTCGCCGATTGATGATGCACATTGCAACTACGGCTCCGACCCTTTGACACCGGCGCGCACGTTGTCATTCTCTGAATCCGAGCCCGATTGCTGTCCCCTGCCAGAATCCCACTCGCATAGTTCACATGACGAAGCATCTCAAGCAGTCAGTGCTAAACCTGCAGCTGCGCCGATGATTTCCAAGGTGGACATCACCTCGCCACAAACAAAAACAAGCCCCAAAAAATATCACCATCACGTCCCCATACAAGTGCAATCGCCAGTCGATGCCTCAGAATCCTCGACACCGACACCGAAACCCGAAGGGCAGTCCACAGCGTTCTTCGACACCAAACCCTGTCTGCAACATCGTCGGCACCGGAGTCTCTCCCCGTCACACCCACATCCTCTCTCCGACCGTGAGCTCGATTACATCTACACCGCGCATCATCGCGATCCACGGAATTCACAACTGTCGAGAGTCAAACGGGAGTGCAGTCCCGTGGTGCAAAGGACTAGGAGAAGTCCTGGCGAGCCAGCGAGTAGGATACAGAAACCCTTGCCTGAAACCTCACGGTCAAGACCTAGAGGTAGAAGATGGGTCGATTCAGGTTGCTAATGACGGCGGCGTTTTTGGGGTTGGCGTTCTGGGGGTCTTGGTGTTGGTGGTTGGGTTGGGACTGCCTACTTACCGATACCCCGTGTACATATGTGTTACGACTGTACATACCTCTATTTATTTTATTCGTGGTAATGTTCTTTTCTGCCTTAATTCTGTGTCGAAAGCTGTTTACTGTTGCAAGTGCAATGGTGTTTTCAATGACTTGACCATCCTTTTTCCGTCCGGTGCATCATGGATGTGTTGACTGGGGCTTTCCGGCTTCGGCCCAGTTACAGCAAGCGATACCCTACAAACCTACCTGATCGCCAACCGCTAGCACGGCAGCCTCCTGCTGCTTGAGGCACAAGGGCTGTCGGATCTTAATTGAAGTAAGAGGCTAGATGTGATCATTGTTTTTTCTGCTATGCTCGTATCGACATTCGCCTCAATTGATCTCACAACATGGTGAAGCGTGTCGAGGTCCGGTTTCTTCTTCTCCAGTTCCGGTTGAACGCTTCTTCTATTCGCATCCTGGTGGGAGCGAGCTGCCAAAAAGCCATTTGTTTCTCAAGACGTGGAATAGGAAAACACTCAAGCAATGATGGAGAGTCCAGTGGAAGAGATGATGAGCATGGGCATTGAGGTCTGAACCTGCCGAGGAGAGGAGTGAGGGGGGGGGGGGGGGGGGGTTTCTATACTGGCGCGAAGCAACAAGGCCGGGTTGGACCTTCCTCTGTTGGCGGGCATTCAGATCGGAAGCAGCAAGAGCAAAGAAGAAGCAACGAACCGCGTAAAAAGTTCAATTTCCCAAAGACAAGATTGCCTGCTCGTCTTACTAACGTATCCAGAACCTTGAGTCGATCCAATACCATGCTAACTCAACAGGTCAATTGATGGGATTGAAAGAGACCCATGGCTGCTCAGGCTTAGCCTGCCAGAGGTGAAGTGCACCACGTTGGATCGTCTACTGTACATACACAGTACAGTACGTTGAATATCGCGACTGGTTGCCTTCGCCAGGCTGCCGGCGTGTGCTTGGCAGACCGGAGTTTACTCCGTAGAAGCCTGGCACATGATCCTTCCTCTCTAAGTACTGTTCACTTCCGAGTAAGCCGACGGGTCAGCCTGTGACAGCCCCCGGCTAGTAGGCCAAAATGTGTCACCTTAAGGCGAGAACCGGGCTAATGGTGGACGATTGGGGCAGTTGGTTGTCCGGGCCTGTTCTGGGCGGCAAATTCTGCTTACTGCATTCATCTCAGTAGGAGGCATAACATGACTGCCTAGAGCTCCTCCCACAGAGCAGGTGCGCCAGGCGCTATTAGCAACGTCAGGGAACCTGCTCTCGCTGTTGGATGTCACGATAGCATGGATCATCGAGAGCAGAGACTTGGTACCTATCCGTATATAGTTGCAGTATGTTGTCTTAGCATTGTATGTACTACCTACTTGAGGTAGGTATACCTTATTGATCGATGCCATCATCTGCTGTGGTATCGAGTGTCCATGTTGCATTACCGTCGCCAGCGTGACTGCGACGAATCCCAAGAACCTCTAGTCTCAGCTCCAAAAGTTTACATAGTACCTATCCTTACTGAAAGCCATCCATCACTTGTAGCTGCCGACAACTCCTCCTACAACTACGCCCTCTCCTTCCCACCCTCTGTGCCACTAAACCCATAAACAACCTCCCCAAACCCATCCGCCGCAAACACGTACAACCACACCAGCTCATCCTCGCCCGTGTTCCATATCCCATGTTCGGCATCTCCAGGAATATACACCACACTGCTTCTCTGCACCCCGTACTCGGCGCCATCAACCCTAACCACACCGCGGCCGGAAGCGACATGGTAGATCTCGGCATGCGTGTGACTATGCAATTTCAAATGGCCCGACTTGGAAGCGGGCGGACATGTCGCAATGCCCACGGTCAAGGTGTCCGACTCGGTCTTGGGTCGCCCAATCAGTGTTTTCCAGCTCACGTTGCCGCCGGTGCTTGGGTCGGGGAAGGCTTCAGATGTCATGTTGGCCATGTCATGGGAGTGAAGGACGACAGGCTGGGGCTGAGGCTGGGGCTGAGCCTGAGGCTGCTTCGAGCTTGGACAACTCGTGATTCAAGTTCAGCGTCTCGGTGTTGTTGTGCAAGAGTAGAAGAGGTAGGGAGTACGGTGCGGTACTAGCGTGCATGATGTCACGGAGATGGTAGAAGTGAAATAGATAGGTATATATAGTAGGTGAGACTCATTGTGGATCGACAGTGGGAGAAGTTGCCAATGCTCCGTCGAATCCATGACATACGTATACATGTGGGGTTGAGGCTGAGGGGTAGCTTGAAAGTTGGAACTGGGTCACTGATTCTTGGCTATTAGTATACGCGTCTACAGCGTGTAGTGTCCGGGGAATGGGAGCATCGTGATAAGGGGACAGCCGAGGTTCCTAAGGCATACAATGATTGAAGACAGTATCAGTAACAGAAAAGAGTTTAAGCCATCTTGAGCCTAGGTAGTTAGATTAGAGTGAAAGAGCAGATGAGACGTCGATACGATGAGCCTAGTGTAGTTGATGCCTGATCGCTTCACCCTGTCTCTTGAGGTAAGATGTGCGCATACCTAAGTGAAAGTGAAGACCGTTGCGGTTGAGTTGAGTGGAGGGAAGGTGTCTGGTGTTGCCGTATGAGTAGGCACAATCGATAGTTCGACACAGAAAAAAGACACTGTGGGGCACAGTGTTTCAGGGGTAAATCAACACCCCCTATTCTGCCTGAGCTTCCGGTGTCAACAGACCCACCGAAGTACATATCTCACTGCGGACTGCGGACTTGTTTGTGGCTTGCCGGTCTGTTTACCGCAATAGCCCCCGACGAGTAGGGTGGTTCATCTTCTAAGGAAGGCGGGGATACAGAACAAAAGGTACCATGACAATGCCATGTTCGCAGCTGTACCATAGTCTGTTGAAACAGGCATAGCAGGCGGAAGGTTTATGGCACTGAGGCATTTGTATAGCGCCTCAAGTCTCTCTTGAGAAGTGTAAGAAAGGGAACGCCAAACTCGTCTTGGTACGCGAGCGTGCTGCCTCGAGGGTACCGTCACGCGCCGAAGACCCCAAGACATTCATATTGATCTCGACGCCTATCACATCAAGATGGATGCCCTAGAGAAGATGCGAATGTATTGAAAGGTGGGTAGATTGAATGAAGAAGATCCCAGCCCGTGTTATGCCTACAATAACGCGCTCAAAGCTCGGACTCTAACGGCCTCTGGTCTTGACCCCTTTTTCCAGAACCTTTCGTTGATGCCTTGCATACATATATTCCCAAATCCCGCGGCGAGGTTTGGCGGTTGGCGTTCCCTCCCAAGCGTCCCGCATGTCTCCCATATCAAGTCTCAGAGCCTTCATGAGGTCCCGCGCAAACATATAATCCGCACACGCTCGCGACATACGACCTTGCCCGGGCGTTCTACGCCACAGGCCAGTCTGCTCCTCCCAGGTTTTGGCAACGTTTTCGCTCTCGAAGAGACACTCGCCTTTGCTATCAATCATCAGAGGAAATGGAGATCCCAAATTTGGGAGCGTTAAGGTGACAGTGTCGTCGGTCCCTGGGGTCGCAGTGTACTCAAACGGGGGTCTGGCCCTCTGTAAGAAGGTTGCATAGAGACCGGCATACGGCATATCCGAAAACTGAACGACGATGCAAAGGTTGTCGGGAGGCTGGAGTTGAACTGAGACAGCGATCTTGCAAACTGGGAATTTCTCCAAGTCCGCTTCGTTGATGGCAGTAGCAGGTGAAGCCATCTTGTTGGTTGCTGAGGGGGTACTGTAGGGAAATGAGAAGTATGGAGGGTTGTCAAAAACTTGAAGGAATTGAAAGCTGAGGTGAAGGGTGCTCTACTTATTGTGCTTTAGAACGAGAAAGCAAAGTCAGATACATAAACTAGGTACCTAACATAGGGTATGTGCACCTGATGTTGTAGCAACCACATCAAAGCAGAGGTGTTCCCAACGGGCCAACACATTGCCTTACACCTCGGTTCTGGGCCGAGACAAACCAGAAAGTGGCGACTAGACTGATACAGTTTCTCAAGTTATTGGATGATGTAACCGTCATGTATTGGACATAAGGGATATTGGCTGCAGGATTGGAGGTACCCTACCCTCACATGCACTTATGCCTCTGCGGCCTGGTAACCCGACCCCAATTCCTCAGGTACTAAGGACATTGAACCAACGACTGGCCACCGCCCACTTTACTGAAGTCTCGTCTGAGAGCAAACCCTTGGAAGATACCAGCAAGTTCAGTTGAGTTTGCGTCAGTTGTTCAGTTAAGAGCCAACTAAGTCTGCTTCTTGGGTCTCTCTTAAATGTTGGAACCGATTGGGCCAGATGCCTTGCTTTCCTGGGGCGAGAATGCCGTTGGGGTCGAGGGCATCCTGATCTATGTCAGTACCGATCGGTCTCTATCCTTGCATTGAGATAGGTAGTTGTGACAAACCTTGATCTTCTCGACAAATCTATTGTATGCATGGTTGTTGAAGTCGTTCAAGTCGGCGATAAGGTCTGAAGATTGGTTAGCCAGAACTGAGACAGCGCAGCGCACACACAGGTCATGCAGTTAGACATACCCATGTAGTTGACATGGCCACGGTACATGCCATACCCCCGCTTCTTCGCTTCCTCATGCAGCCCGTAGTACAGCTTCTTCATTTTGACCTTCTGCGTCGGATCTGTCTGGTCCCAAGTGAACATATTCATGAGCACGACGTGGCGCTCGTGCATAAAGAAATCGGCCATAAGCTCAACACCGTTGGCTTCGCAGATGGGCTTGCTGACTTTCATCCACTCCAGCAGTAGCTTACCCGAGGACGGGATAACAGGTGCGTAGTCGCCGTGAGCAGCCTTGCCCTCCTTGCCCCTGGGGATGGGCCAGTTGATCAGGGGCAGACTCCAGAGCGATGGCACGCCCACAAACATGCTCCCGTGCTCTGGCGGAACCGCCGCGGCGTCAACACCCTCCTCATTTGCATACATGACACCGCTTATTTCGCCTGTGGGTGCCTTCTTCGACATCACCTCCTTGATCTCATCAAACTGGGCCTGAACAATCCGCTTCGGACCGTACAGCCCCCAGCGAGCATACCAATGCCCATAGCCTGTCTCTTTTCGCAACTCCTCGAGCCGCCAGTCTGGCACTGGGCCCTCGCCCTTCCACCAATCCTCCCGCCGGCCCGTAATACAAAGCGTCTCGATCAGGCTAGTGAACCAGACGCAGCTCTGGATCGTCCCGTTGCGCTTCATCTCGCCAAACGCATCAACCATGACCTCGAGGTCGTCAAACGCTGGCATGGAGAAGGTACACGCCATGTACGCTTGCGGCTGCGGAGTCAACCACAGGCTCATTTTGGTGACTACGCCCATGTTGCTTTGCAAAAACAGCCCTTCCACAGATGGCCCGTAGGTGAATTTGGAAAGGAACGCTGATGGTGACGCCGTGATGCCGAACTGTCCCGTACGTACGAGATCGCCGTCTGCGAGCATAACCTCGATCCCCGCCATACACTGGTGGTGGGAGAAGTTCATGCCGAAGCCCATACCCCTATCCAAAGTCTGTCGAGGAAGTCGGGTCAGGGGATTTGATGTCAGCCTATCCTTCCATCCACCACCATACAGTCCTCATGCAGAAATCACAACTGTTCAATGAGATAAGGAGAAACTCACATTGCCCATAACGCTCCCCCATCCCAAGCTCGCAGTGCTGGGCCAGACCTTTTTGCCATTCTTGACGCAGTACTCGTACAGCTCGATGAACGTGACGCCAGGCTCTACGACAGCATAGTGAAACTCGTCGTTGACCTCAATGATCTTTTTCATGCGGTGCAGGTCTAGAGCAACCGAGCCGTTGACGCGCGGTGCCGGTCCACCATAACCTAGATTCTTGCCTCGGGAGAAGGTCCACAGGGGTATGGCATACTTGTTCGCTACGGCAAGCATCTCTTTGAGTTGCTCTATTGACTGGGGGCTGCGGCCATCAGTGAGTTAGCTTGTGCCACGCAACGGGCCGAGTCTGTAGGTGGGCGTTAAAGATCAGTACGTACCAAACGGCAGCGCTGGGGACTTTGCGCTTATCGTCTCTGTCCTCATGCACGTCGTACGGGTCGATGTAATCGGACAGTCCCTCGTTAATGAAAACGGCGTCCTGGCCGACCGTGGAGATAAACTCCTGGATTGCTCGGGCAAAGTCGGCTTCGCGGACTCCAGGTGGAAGGACCGGTTTGATAGGGTATCGTGGGGTCCGTTCGTACGTAGATTGGTGGGCTGCCTCATATTCGGCATGGGAATATGTTGTTGGGATTGTGGTAGACATAGCGTGTCTGTTTACTTTAACATACAGTCGTTGGAGTAGGGCAGGAGAGTCCAAGAATGGGCATGGCAGCGCGAAAGTTGCATGGGCCCTAATTTGTATCAAGGAGATCTCGTACCTCTTCTACCGTGAGTACCCGACCTAGCTTTAAGAACAGGCATCTGCAAGAATCAGCCAATGCATCTCTGTGTTGCCATACGAAGCAGTCTGTTCCTCCGACTCTTCTCCAATTCCGGCAATACAAATACCACCCGGTGAGTGCTACAGCCAACTGCCTGTGATGGCACGGCATGCGGGGTCTTGCAACAACCCCTGGACCCCTCACCATTATTCTCGACTGATCTGCTGATGCCGGTATCAGCTACTGTACAAGGTATCCCGCCCAAGGTAGGATCATTCCATTCATGTTCGCCACTCCCTTTCCGTCCAAACCCTACATTAGCTTGGTGTAGTTAGCCACATCTACACTCAGGCTGAGAGAGCCAAAGGGAAGGCTTGGACCGGGAGCCTATGGCGACGATGACGTTGAACAAGTGGGCATGGAACTGTCCGGGCGGGCCACCATCCATCAGTCAGACTGGGGGCAGAGCTCTATAGATGTATGTCCTGAATACGACCCGACGTTTATCTGCTCGAATCCGAGACACAGATTGTTACGTATAAGGCAAAAGAGACTCACATATTATAGTCGTAGACACTCCCTTCAGTACAAACAAATTAGCTCTCAAAATGCCGCTTGAACCATCTCACCGCCTGGTCTTCACACTTATCCCCGATCTCCAGCTGCTTCGGATCGTCCCTATCCGCGCGTGTGGCAAACCCATGCTTCGCTCCTTCGTACACCACGGCGTCGTAGACCTCCCTTCCAGCAGCTTCATTCTTAGACTGCAAGATGGCCACCAGCTGTTTCATCTTGGCCTCACCCATCCACTGATCATTATCTCCGTTCGCAACACCAAGAGGCTGCACTACCATTTCGATCTGCTCGGGGATCTTGAGCATGCTCGGATGAGCCGTAAAAGCGCAGTCGACAAGCGGATACTCTGTGCCAGCTCCACTTCTATCCCCACGACGACCACGACGACGAGCAGCAGTCTTGCTAGGAATGACGACCTTCTTAGGCGGCGTGTCGTGCGTCCACAGCACGGTGTACAGGCCGCCCCAGCAGAAACCTGCCACGCCAACCTTTGGCGGGAGACTGCTGTTTTTCTGGCCCGAAGGTCCAGGTGTAGTGCGCACCGCGCGCATAAAGGCATGGCTGCGCGGTCCCGTCACACTTTGACGGTTGAAGTATGCGAAACGAAGCAGGTGAGCTGCACCACATACTAAAGCCCACGCTTGCTTCAGAAGTCGGAAGGGAAGGGGGACTTGGGCCGTATGGTTCGGTGCTTCCGAGTCCAGGAGGTGCATCAGGTATATTGGGAGTGCATGGCCTAGATGTGAAGCAGTTAGCAGACTGGGATGTTAAGGGTAGGACTGGATTGTCAAGGTTAGGGATCCAATTTGTAGGTGGAGGACTCACCGTCCATGAAATCAGGCAAATAGACCGTGCATGGGACGCGGCTGGCATAGGCATCGGCGAGGGCGCGGGTGTTGGGCAGCTTCCAGCCGAAAGCGTCCGAGACGATGACGACTATTCCCGTAGGCGCGATACCGGGCGGCGGTTGCACTACGTACGTGGGCAGGCCGTGGATGACTTTCTCGGTGCCTCGAAGGGTGACCTCGCTGATACGCAGGTCCCCTGAGATGCAGTCGCGGCAGAATGGCGCTTGCATTTTGGTAATGAACTGATATTTCCAGGTTCACAACTTTGGTTGTTTAAGCAATGATGCTAAGGAGGAGGAGAGGGGTTCAGCTGCCTCTCACGTTTCAACTAGGCTGGGTCGGAGGAATGCAAGGTTTCGGATTACGCCTCCCATGAGCACTCGTGACTCGATTCCATGTTCAACTTGCTGCAAGCCGGTTCTTTGAAGTCGGCCTCTACCCCGGGCAAGCCGCCGTTTGCAGCCTGATGTCCAACGCGGACGAATCAAACACCGCATCTCTGTTCTTTCACAGACCCTTTCATTCATAGTGGCACTTACAATACTATTGACCCCGATTCCTTCTAAGTTCTAGACATGCATCACTCTCTCCTTCACTGTCAGCAACGGAAGCGTTAAGTCAGACCGTTCAACACTGAAGAGGCATGTAATTTAGGTAGTAGGGAACTGGCAGCCAAAAGTAGCTTGATTTGATGTACTGTACAGTACAGCCTCGCGCGGTTTACTTCTGCAAGGGCCAAGGAATTCACTGGTATTTCATATACCGTGCGTCCAGGACATAGAGACATTCAGTTGCTCAGGGACTTCGCCATGTTTTCAGATTACGACGACAAACCGCCGCGTAATGCAGCTCTTGTTGCACAAGAACCCTTTTCATGGTCCAGGAGAGGTATGGCTATGGTGACGGGACATGCATTGATCTTGGTATAGAATCGAAACAATCCAGTCCAAGCATAGAAGAGACAGACAAGTGGGGCTGGAGATACTGTAGGAGGACTAGGAGGTCATGACGGCAAGGGGCGGGTTCTTCTAGCATACTACCGAGTCGAGGCATAGAACAGTGCCACAAGGACAGCAGTCAATTTCAGGCCGCGCTTAGTGACACTGCAGTGATCTTGTGCAAACTATATGGCTGACCGGCTGTTACAATAAGTACGGAAGCAGGCCGCCGTCACAATACAGTAAGGTCGCATGCCATTAATCAACGGCCTTGGCACTTTATCAAGTAGCCATGACAAGAATAGTGCCTAATATCGAAACCCAGTCTCTTACCCAGCCAGTAGAGATCTTAACTTGTTCGCTTCCTACCTTGGTACCATCGTTATTTCTAGCCTCGATTAATGAACCCAGAATCTTTCGAAGTCATGAGGTCGTCTTTCCAAGGGTTACCGAGTCCGGTGAGGAATGCAGTAGCATCATCCAGATCTCGGAGGAGCAAAGACGGACGTCCAGTGCACAGGATTGATATATAAGGAGGGGGGACTTTCGAGGCGATCCCAGAGACCTCTAGCATGTTATTGGATTACTATCTCATTGCATTGAAACCAGCTGTAGTTACTCTCCCCAATGAAGACACTTTGCCTCGCAGCGCTCGTGTCGGGTGTGGTGAGCCACAGTATGTCTTTCATACCAGGAAGAATCGTGGACGCTGCAAAAACATACTTGATGGCTACGTATAATTGCTGATACTTTTACGGCCAGATATCCATGGAATCCTTCTCGTGAATGGTACCGAGACGCCAGAGTGGAAATATGTCCTGTAAGTCTAGTACCAGTAAAGGGACTCATGTATGTACAGTACAACAACTGACATCCTGATGCAGCGATATCTCTGGCATATACACTCACGGACCCTACGATTATCCGCCGGGATACCAGGGCTACAAGCTAGACCCCATTATTGGAGCCGACAACCCGAACATCACCTGCGGCAGAAGTGCATTCGATTCGGCGCCGCACACCGAGACAATCGATATCCTCGCCGGCTCCGAGGTGGGCTTCCGGGTCTCTGCTGACGGCAACGGAAACAGACACGAGCCGTATCGTGCGAGCCGCGGCCCAAACTTTTGGCATGCAGGCCCAGGTATCATTTACCTCTCGCGCGCGCCGAACGGTGACCTCCTGAACTACAAAGGTGACGGTGACTGGTTCAAGATTGCGTATGCTGGTCCGCTTGATGACACCCACTGGTCGCTTTGGCCTGGTGTTGGTGATGTACGTCTTACACTGGCTCCTTTCCCTTCATTCTGACCTACCTACCTATTTTGCGCCTTGAGTCCCGTCCAAACAAGTTCATATAATCAGGGCTGACATACATGAACTCCATGACATAGTTCAACTTCACCATCCCTAAAACCACTCCGCCAGGGAAATACCTCATGCGCATTGAGAATTTCATGCCCACTGCTAGTACCGGGTACTTACAGTTCTACGTTAACTGTGCCTTTGTCGACATCATCGGTTCCGGCGGGGGCACCCCGACCGAGTTTGTTAGGTTCCCTGGCACGTATCAGAACGATGATCCTGGTAAGACGCACTCATTATCTATCTATGGACCTACCTTACCTTCCCTTCTGAGTATGCCTCAAAGAATAAAGCAAGAGATATACTGACCATTTCACACCTAGGCTTCCTGGTGCCGGATGACCAGGAATACTTGGGTGGGAGAGTTCCAACGGACGAGTTGAAACTAATGAACTATAAGCCGCCCGGGCCTGCTGTTTGGACTGGCTGATTTCTGGGTCATTCGGCAATTCCATTGCAGTCCTGGAAGGTGTGGATTGCTGAGGCTCGAATCATCTTCCTGGGGTTGCATTCTATGTTCCAGGGCATGGTCCTGGAACAGAATAGACCGACGGTGGAGACGTATCGCCAATGAAAGGCCATGTTCCTTTACATAACCAAAGCAATGATAAGTGACATAGTTTTGGGTAATACTAGTCAAATAGAAGTTCGGACAGACGCTTCTGCGCTTCTTCTGGTTCCCAATTCACGATAACTCGTTCCTTTGCCTCCTCCAATTTCCTCTCCACAAATGGCTCCATGGCGGCCCTCTCCTGGTCCGTCAACAAGTCTATCCTCGTCTTCCACAAGTCCTCCTTTAAGACACCGTCCGGCCGCTTGCCAAAGAACCTCTCATCCAAAAATCTCCAATACGCCATATCAAAAGCCCAGCTCTTTCTCGCGCCGTAGCTGAGCCAGAACCGGCCCGTTTCCCAGCTCTCGCGCATGTATGTAGACAGGGGTGCTGGCAGAGCACCTTCCTGACCCGCAGCAGCGCCTGATAAGCTGTCCTCAGCTCGTTTCACAGCAGCGATCCAGGTCTCTAGGCGAGTTTCGTAAGTCCGCACCCAATCATCAATCCCCTCCTCCCATGTCTCGGCTGTATCAAGGAGCAGCCACCAGGGTGCGTCAAGAATGAACTGTGCTGGTGCAGCATACGTGAACTCCCAATCGATCGCGGCGACCAGGTCGTCGGCCTTGTTGAGGAGCATATTTCCGGCGCGGAAATCGTCGCTCCAGAGCCTGAAGTTGCAGGTCCCCTCTGGAGCAGGGCAGAGAGTAGCCGGACTGTCCACTGTCTTGATCGCGCGTGACTGAGCAGACCAATCATCCTCGGCGAACCCAAAAGAGGACAACTTCCCCTCCTTTGCCAGCCGCCGAAAGACCTGACGCGCGACGTATTTGTTCCGGCAGTCGTCAGCCGACTGCACGGCGTCGTTGTGCTGGAAGACGAGCTGCGCAAGATGCATCTCGGCCAGCGCGGCATACCACTCGTCTGCGGTGGCGTATGTCTTTCCCTCGGGCGGTAGCACGGAGCGCGGGATGTTGGCGAGCCGGACCATGTCCGTCATGTTGTGTGTGATGGGACGGCCGGCGATGGTGTAAGACTTTGGTCCGTCGCTGTCAGCCTTGACTTCGACGAGAGCGCCAATCCGGGGAAAGGTGAGACGTGAGAGTTGGACGAGACACCTGGCTGCCTTGGCCCAGACGTCTTCCAGTAGGGTCTCGTCCACGGCTGGGTTGAGGACATGCTGCACACTCAAGTCTTCGTTGGGCGTTGTCAGCCGAGCCGACATACTTTCGCAGCTCTCAACATATTGGATGATGACGAACGGCCCAAGTTTTCTGTCTAGACCATGAAAAAAGTGGTGAGGGACGGGGATCTGCGTGTTGTCCGCGATGAATTGAGCTGTGGCGGTCTCCTGGGCGGTTTTCTCCTCCGCAAATGGGACGAGACTCGGATTTGGAAGCCGGACCATGACATCGGGCGTGGGAGGATCTCCCGCAAGTCGCAGTCTGTAGAGGACATTGAAGCCGCCAACGATCAAAGGAGACACGAGGGTTGCCTGCGTCCCGAACAGGGCTCCTGCCAGACGTTCTATCCCGCGGCAGGTCTTGGTGTGGCGCATTCGCATCAACGATTTGTGGGCGTCTTCATCGGTTTTGTCCCATACAAAGTTATCGAGCTCCTCTTGGAAGGCATACATCGTTCTTATCTGCGATAGCTGCTAGGAACAGTGATATAAAAGTGGTAATTTTCTGACGTGACATGTAAAGATTCCCAACAAGTTGTCGTTTGGAAGTTAGGCGGTGATGGTCGTCGATCGGGAGGACGCGGATTAAGGGGACAAATGTTGCAGGTGGTGGTTTGTCGCGTTCAACTCCTCCCTCGAAAGCAGAAGAGGGTACCTTAGGTACTAAGTGCATTGGGCGACGCTAGGGCCAGTGCCAAGCCGCGGCGGTGAAGCTAAGCACTAGGCCTACTACCTAAGCACCTAAGTCCTTAAGCACGCGCTTGTATGGAAATAGGCGCGCACCTAACGAATCCCGTAAAGCGACTGTGTCACGGACCACTTACCACATTCGGGTCAGGCCAAGCCATGCGCCACACACCCAAATTTTGCAGGGACCAACATCGAAGTACCTGAACTTGGTTATGCGCAGAACACCTAGCCTGCACCAACCCTCCACACATAACTCTCACCCACCGCTCCTAACTCTCCACCCATCTTCCTCCCACCTATCTTTGCAGGTACGTCAGTGGCAGCTACCTGCGCAGGGCAGCAGGAAGGGCGGTGTAATTGGGCAGTATCTCTGCGTGCGATTTGCTTTCGATGCATCTTAATTTTATTGTGTTTTTGAGCGATTTAGCCTAGGGCTCGCCTGTGGGCGAATTGATAGATCTTTGGAATTGTCAGTTTGACTGCATGCAAGTCTAGTACTTCGGTGTTGCGCCCTGCAAAATTTGGGTGTGTGGCGCATGGCTTGGCCTGACCCGAATGTGGTAAGTGGTCCGTGACACAGTCGCTTTACGGGACTCGGCACCTAAGGTAACTTCGGGCCTAATTTGCCTATTGGCGCCAACCAGAGCCATCGACCATCTTGCGGCCTTGCCAGCCACGCGTGTGATAACGCCTAAGTTCCAATCACCAACACAACGTTTCATTCCCGACTAGCGGTCACAACGGATGTGCATACTGTCGTGGCCGCCCAAGGTGATTAGGCCAGGAAGCGCTCGCTTGCTTGCGCGGTGCGCCGGGCCTTTAGACAGACCTCAGCAGGCTCAGCTACTTAGCACACGACTTAGCACACGATGAAATGCTGTGAAGTGGCTGTGAGCAGGTCACCCTAGCGGCACCATTGAGTCTTCCTTGATCAACGCGCTCTGTGTTATCGCGCGCGTTCGTAGCGGCCTCTAGAGGCATCTGGTGATCTCTGACCACTTATTTTTCCAGCAGTTGGTGGATTTGCTACCAACAACCCATATATGAGTCCTCAGTAGGCAATTATGGAGGCCAGGCATAATCTCGGTGGCATCATCACAAGACTCATACAGTCAATGTGTTGTAGCTTAGAAATTAACCCGGCGAATCTGTGCGGCCTTGACTTGGCTGGGTCGAACTGATGGTCCGTTTTCAGGTCGTGATAGTCTTAGCGCAAGGCTGACAAGCCGAGAAAGCAACGCACTCAGAGGCAGCCATGGTCCATCCAGGGCCAAAGACTCATGATGCATATTGTTCACTGTCCGACTATAAGTTAAGGGTTTTTCCCCCGGGTCCCAGGGTCAGTTGAGAGTATCTACCATCCAAACCACACACTCAAGTTGCAATTCATCCCAGATCCCAAACAACTCATCGCAGAGCACTGACACTCCAGTTGGAATTCATCCCAAATCCCAAATTCCAAACAACTCAGCTGAGAATCATTTCGCTGCATCCGTCCGAGTCCTACAAGAGGTGAGTTCCATCGTGGATCGGACGCGATTTGACCCATCATTTGTACGGTACCTTACCTTAGCTAATCTTGCTCTAGAACTTCTATCACTCTCACGACACAATGGCCTACTACAGCGACAGTGACAACAGCCTCGAACGGGAGTTTGATTACGAAGACATCACAATGGCGGCTGGACAAACCAGCATGACTCGGCGTGACCCGGACTCGGATAGAAGGAGGAGGGAAGATTACGAAAACATCACAATCACAACTGGACAGAGCAGCAGGACTCGGCGTGACACGGACAGAAGGAGGAGGGAAGAAGAGAACAGAAGGAGGGAAGAACAAGAGAGAAGAAGGAGGGAGGAAGAGAGAAGACGGAGGGAAGAAGAGCGACGGAGGGAAGAAGAGCGACGAAGGTGGGAAGAAGAGAGACGGAGGGAAGAAGAGAGAAGATGGAGGGAAGAAGAGAGAAGGAGGGCCGAGGAGGAAAGAAGGCAGGCCGACATGAAGGAAGTGATGTTTAGGACCGGGGAGAACAGCGCGACCAGGCGCCGGAGGGGGGGTCGAGGCTACTAAAGGGGGCTGGAAGCAGCACAGCAGCCCACGCAGCACTGCGGGCGCGGTTTGAAGGTTTGTTTCCAGGTTGCGGAAGGGCTCTGTCTCTCGGTCGTTTCGATCTAATGCTTGTGGATCTCTGTTTGTTGTTTCTAGAAGGTCTCTGTTTGTTGTTTCCGGAGGGTCTCTATCTGTGGGTGGATTTGATCTTTGTGCAGGGTGCGATATGCTTCAAGTTTTGTACTCTAGATAGCCGTAGATAGAAATTAGAAACGCTGGGAGAGCATTGCCCCCAGGCTACCATAGCTACTCCAGACTTTGGGGTCAAATTCGGGAATAACGCTTTTCTCACAATGTTTTCCATTTGAGATGGGACCATCGTCTACCTTAATGATGTAGTTGAAATCAAGGATCCAATCCTCCAAGGGGCTTGCACGTGGCGCAGCCACAACTATTCTAGGCAGGTAGCAGCAAACCGGTCGATTCAGGTAGGTTGTCAAGCCGACGTCGTGTGCGAGTGAGCTTTATTAACTGCCAACTAGACCTTAGGTTCACCCAATACATTGAATACCATCTTCCTAACTCTGTCCTCTTAGGATTTCGCTCCGCAACTCTCCATGCGACTAAAACAACGACGGCTGTCTTTTCTAAACGTTACCACATCACAGCATGCATTCTTCCGGTGACTCGGAATGGTGCGAGCACTACCGGGTAGAGTACCAGTCCCTCCCGCGGACTGTTGTTGAAACGTGCGATGCCCTTTACCAAACCCCTGCAGTGATTGATCATTGCTGTCCGTGTTCAGTGTTTGGTGCCGGCAGCTAGGGTACTGTAACCAAACCTAACTCTGCATCCCGACCAGACTACTCTGCCTCTTCACCTTAGCCTCCTACATACCGCAGTATCTCAGCTTCGTCCGGCACGGCACCCGCGGCGTATCGTCGCGCTACATCCTCTTCCACAGCCTCTTCGCCACGCTCACGCTCGGTTTGCGGCTGCAACATCCAATCTTCTACAACTCCTTCAACTGCGTCAACGGCGGACCCTATCGCGGATGGAAGGCCTACTCGTCGCTGCTCGGTTTCATCCAGGCAGCCGTGCAGTTTGTCGCTGCCATGATTCAGTCAGTTCTTCCGTCTTCCCCCCCACCCCTTTGTCTGCCATGGCTGTTCTGACACCAAGCAACCCACCACAAAAGACTCGCGCTATACCTTCAACACCGTACACCATCAACTCCAGATGACCCCACCGAGTCCCCCGAGCCAGGCATCTCCTCCACAACCCTCAAAGCAACCGTCATCACCGTGGCACTCACCGTGCTACCAGTATCTCTCGCATTCCTATGGTACAACTCTAGCCCCTTGTTTGATCAAGACGACCCCACGAAACTGGGCAACTACATCGCCGTATACATCATTGGCCTCAGCGTGTGGATGTGCCTGCTGATCCCCGCCAACAGCGCCTTTATGCTTCTCCAGTTTCTGTACGCGATCCAGACGGTGCGTGCCGGGCTGCAGACCCACGACGGCAACGGCACGCTTAGTCTTGTGGAGTTGCTGTTGCAGGCCGCGGCGTTTCTTTGGCTTGCGGTTGCGCAGACGCTTAGGTCGTGGAGCAAGATCCTGTGGCCAGATCCTGGCTCATGCCGGTCGGTTGGGCGGTTCTTGGAGTGGTTTTTGGCTTTTTACGGGACTATAAATACGCATGTGGCGTACTTTGTTGCTGGGGTTGGCTATCTGGTGCTTTTTTGTGTTGATTTGCTTGACAGTCGCGATAGAATTAGACTCTAAGCTTCCCGAGGTCCGAGTTTAACATGAAGTCAGCACTTCTATAAAGGATGAAAAGAAGTATGGTAGAAACAATTGCCCGTTCTGTGAAGAGAAATCGTCCGTTGAGACTCGGTTATAGATCTTGAACTTTTGAAGTCTATCGACTGCACCCTAAGCTCCTAAAGCCGAATCTCCCCAACTCTTGCTAGGATCTTCTCTACAAACCTCACACCCACTGTGATGCCGTCGTCTCCTCCATTCTCCTCCAGACCCGCAAAGTCGTCATTCCCTTCGTCCAAGCACGTCAGACAACTCACTACAATATCCGTATACATCTCCCCCATTCTCGCGGGCAACAACTCCCTAGACATAGCCACAAGGCCCTCCTTCACCCACAGCGTCCCCCCTTTATTGAGATGTACCCTCTCAAACACCCGATCCGTCAACGGCATACTCAATTGAAGACAGTCTCCCGGCCTAGGCACGTGTAGTCCCCCGCCCGTCACAACCTCAGCCCCAACCACACCCTCGTTCTCCCAGTCCATGTCCCCATTCAGCCTGGTATTGCCACTATCGAGAGACTGATATGAAACAAACGACTTCCACAGCCCAATCTCCAACAAGCACACACCGAGCGAGTAAATATCGTGCTGCATAATGTACTCATTGAAAATTTCCAGCCCCTGGCGAGCGGGGTGACGGTACAGGTTGCGGTGCCAGGCCGAGTCGCCGTAGAGGTTTGTCTCGTGCGTGATGGAGCGGAAGTGCGTGCACCCGAGAAGGTAGGCGGTGCCGATGGGGTTTCTGGGGTTGGTGGACGGGGGAAAGAGAATGACGTTCTCTGGGCGGATGTTTTTGTGGACGAAGTCGCTGTTTTTGTATATTCCATTGTCAGCGGAGTCTACGGTGCGTAAGGTATTGTAGTTTTACGAGGGGAATTTGACGTACCAAGCGTGGATGTAGCTCACTGAGGTGACGAGTTGCTTGGCAAGGTTGACAACAGCAGTGAGACTGACTTCCTGCTGGTTCAAGAGGAGTTGCCGGAGTGTGATTGGGGGTTGCTTGCAGCGTGGGGCGCGGTAAACAACATCTAGTGATGTAAGACGTCTGTTTTGGGGTTCTGTCAAACCCAGCAGCCCTTCACAACGAAGCAGACCGAACGTGTCGGGTTCGATGTGTTGCAGCCGTCGGGCTAGACTCTCAACATCGGCAATGCCCTGTCGGCTGGTTCCCAACGAGATGTCCACCGGCTCGACAATCAGGAGCTCCCCCTCGATCCAGCCTGGACAATGGCCTTTGTTGATGTGAAGTCCATAGTTAGTTCCTTCACGGGGACGATCTGGGTGACCTCAAGATAGAGTGTTCGCGGATCTTGAGCAGTACCCTCATCCTGCTCTTGTAAGGCTTTGCGAAGCGCAAGCATGTTTTCTAGCGGCCGAGCGTTGGAGTTCGAGTTTGAGACCTGCTCTCGGTCCCTCCAGGATTCAGCAAGAACAGGATCCAACACTTTGCTGGCAATGCGAGCAATAAGATACCAAGACGGATCAAATCGGCTCTGCCAAGCTTCTAGCTCCGTCATGAGAGCATTGAGTGCCTTGTTGGCGAGGGCGTATTTCCAGCGCCCGAACTTGCGGAATATGTTAGAGCTCTTGTCTTGAGACTCCATGGCCGATGCGGCCATTTCCAACCGCGAAACGGCTTGCAGCAGCGTCCCATGGAGTTGTTGGAGTAGTGCAAAGTGACAATCGGCCAATTCGTCGTTCCAGAGCCCCTGGTCCGACATTTGACAGACGACTTGCAGCTGCGCTTGCACTTTCGGCCATATCGACTCAACAATGACTATCTTCTTTTCGAGATCTGCCGGTGCATCTCTGTACGCCTTACACGTCGACAGGGCCTGGTTTGCGAGCCTGTGGGCGTTAGGGCTGTGTATTGAGAACCATGGAATGCGCATACTTACTGGATACAACCACCAGCCACGCCAACGATAGCGAGAATCAGTTCAGCAGACATGGCTTCGGGCCTCTTTGGAACGGAGATACCTACCGTACGTTTGAGAGTTTTGTGGGCTGGCACGACAAGGTCGTGTCTCTGGAGCTGGGTGTTGGCTGCCGCGAAGGACCAGGGCGCACCACGTCCATGGATTACCTGAGCTGAACCTCAGCTGTTGCGTCATCTGCGGCATTACTGACTTCCAGCGGCAGCTTCCGCTCCCTCATTCGTCTGGTCTGCATGACCAAGCCAGCCACAATGCATCCCAGGCGCATACTAGTAGCCGAGTAGCCAGGGGGAGCTAGGCACCAGGGGGACTTCCAAGCTTGGTGACACCTTAGGGTTCAGTGAATACAGAGAAAAAACGCAGTCAAAAAATTAGAATGACCCTAATTCCAAGCATCTCTACATACCTAGGTATCTTCATCGCAACACAACAACTTGAACTTGTACAAAAATGGAGGACGACTTGTCCGCACTCGTCGCTGCATCAAGGCTGGAGACTGTATTCCTCCCTTGGTGCGTGCAGCATTACTTCTACAATCCACAGTCCCCCGTCGCCACACGACATGAGATATGGGACGCCCAAGAGGAAATTGGGCGTGGCGCGTCGGGTGTGGTCCGCAAGGAGCAACTTAGAGCCACGCAATGCGAGGAGACACAGGTGCGAGCGGTGAAGCAGATGAGGAAGCACCGGGCAAACCAATCGCGGTCGACTCACAGAGACGAACTCACCGCTGTCATCAAGTTCTCGCAACCCGACGTACATCCCTCCTATGGCAAGCGAACCAAACGGTGCTGACAAAAGAACAGTATGCCCCGTATTTTGTCGGCATCTTCGGATGGTTTGAGAACGACGAGTCAATTTTCATCGCGATGGAGTATTTGCCGGCCGGTGACCTTGAGCAATACAGACTTGATTCAGGCCGGTTTTCTGAGTCGGATACCAGCTGTATCGTACGGCAGCTTGTGCACGGGGTTCGGCATATGCACGAAAATGGTTTCACACACCGGGACCTCAAGCCTGGTGTGAGTCATGGTGATATGCTCGAATTAGGAGTTCGCTAATCTACATACAGAACATCCTCTTATCAACCACTACTCCGACTTGGAGGATCAAGATTGCCGACTTTGGCATCAGCAAGCAGGTTCTCCATGGCGTCACGCACCAAAACACGGTAAACCTGTTTGGGACGGTTGGCTGCGCGGCGCCGGAGGCCCTGGGATACGGCAGCGAGGACGGCGTGACCATCACCTACACCGTGTCCGTTGATATGTGGGCCGTCGGCGTCATTGCCCTGACCTTGCTATTGGGACGTGTCGTCTTTCCAAACCCCGCGCGATATTCTGATTACGTTGAACGGAGAAGGCCACTCGACTTTTCGCGGGACGGGGACGACGAGTTGACTGAACTTTGTCGGGACTTCATCAGCAAGCTGCTGGCCCCAGATCCCATCCTCCGACCCACCGCCATCGCTACGCTTGCCCACCCATGGCTTAGAAGGGCTGTGACACCGTCACCCGGTCCCAATGCAATGTCTTATTCCCCCGAACCCAAAATTGAATATCCCTCGCCTGCAGTTGATGAACTCGGCATCAAAATTGAGGACGGGTGCCACATCAAAAGTGAGACCCAAGCAGATAATAGTCTTGATAACGTCCCAGAAAGACAGCCGTCGCGACCGGACACAAAGCCAGAAGTCAAGCAGGAGACCAAAGCAGGTCTAGATTTATACCCAACAAAGAATGAAGCCACAATCGAGCGAATCCACACCTGTCTTGCCCTCGATAGCATCCTCCTTAGCCGGAGATTTCGCGGGCTTTCCTTTGGCAAGGTACATACAGCATCTACATCACTCCAGTATCCCAACTTCAGTGGCGAGTCCAGGGGGCTAATTCAAGCCAGACTCGATACTTCGTGCTTCGCTCGGATAACGCCACCGACATCGAAACCAGTGCGGCCCACGGCGTGTGGACTTCCAGCCCGCGCGTAACAAGATCCTGGACAAGGCGTTCGCCCAATCCATGGGGAATGTAGTCATGTTTTTTTCAGTCATTCTAAGGTACAGTTTAGTCCAGTATTTAGCACCTTGATCCCAGCGTCACGAAAGAGACAAACCACTTAAACCGAATGTGACTACAATATTAGCCGAAAATTCTGCGGCGTTGCGCGCATGACCTCGCCCCTGGACTGGGTCAACACCGACCCGCACTGGATCGAAGACGTCTGGCAGGGGAGGTTCATGATGGAGTGGCTTAGCCACGCCGTGCTCTCATTTGACCTTGTCAAGCATGTGCCGGTTAAAGAGACTACGCCCAGGTTCAGGGCCATTGCGTGCTATGATGGCACTGAAATTTCGAGGGGCAGTGCGTGGGAGCTGTTGCGCGCTTATAGTGCGGAGGAGAGGCTAATGGGATTGTGATAGGAGGTTGGGTTTCCTCCCTATGTTATCTTTTCATGGAGAGTTTTGCACTGAAGTTTTCTAGCTGTTGAGGTTCAGTAGCAGGGACTAAAAGCCCTCGTTGTAACGGGTCGAAGTATAATTAATGCAATATATAGAGAAGCTGGGAATGGTGGAAATGGTAGGGAAGATCGCGGGAGCGCGAGGATCATGAGCGCTAGTCGATTGTTTAAGACGAAGTAAAGCGAGTAATGAAGCGTAATATCAGTGTGATTGTATGGCCGATCGACTACCCTTCCATCAGTCCATTCACCACCATAGTACGTGATGAAAATAAATCATACCTACCTTACCTGTTGCCGACACTCCTTGCGAATCTTGAAGGTATCCCCTGTTTGGTGTTAAGAAGAGAAGAACGCGGGATAATTCTCCAGCAACTTTTCATACTCATCATCAGCATTCGACCACTCCCACGCCCCAGTTTGTCCGCTCGCTGCCACCCTGAACCCATAAACATCTGTGAACCTCCACCCCTCTTCCTGACATTTCGTCTTCTCCGTTCCGCCTCTTCCAGAGTCTTGTTGTGGCACGATTCTCCAAGTAATCCAAACCACAGCGCTTTCCCTACCCACCGCTTCAATTCGGTTCGTCTCGTACCGGAAATCCGTTCCTAGTCCGCTTTTATTGTACTTCACTAGGCTCTCCTCAACTGCCGCGCGCGAAAATGCCTTGTCAGGGAAGAGAGTGATGGTTCCCAGCGTGAAGCTCGTGAAATTGGCGTGGTAGAGCTCTGCCATGGCTGCCGCGGTAGTGGAGTAGGGGATCGAGGAATTGCCAGCCTGGGTGACGGCATATGCATAGGCCGCTACGGCCGTTTTGGCGGCGGGTATGACGTTGACCATGTTGCTTACGATTTGTCGCGCAATCACGGAGAGCGACGCATCAGATTTTGGCGACGTCTAGTAACACAGAGTCGCTGATGTGGCCTCTTATCAACGTTCAGAGCTAGTAGCGTGCGGATGAAAGGTGGAGGTGTAGTTGGGGGCGGGGGATGACGGGATGTATGTACTTGTATGTACATAACACCCACACATTCACAATTACACACTGTCACACTCACAAAACTGCAAGACCCCGCCCGGGTTATGGGCGTCCTAATGTCAACTTGAACCGGGAGACGGGATAAAATCATGTTCCACTGCAAATCCATCCTTTGGAAAATCATAAGCATACTCTATCAAGGCCGGAAAACGTACAACCTGTAAAGTTATATCTAGCGTAACTTCACTTCAAGCCTAGCTATTAGCAGATATAAATTTGTGAGAGCACGGCGGTATGGAAACCGTGGCCGTTCCCGCAGATCCGAGTTGGATATACAGAATACTAGAACAACTTACATTGGTGAGACAAGGTATTTTGATTAGGTACTTTCATGCACTCGAGGATCCAAGACTTACAAGTAGTGCTGGACCGGTAATCTACGTCTATTGCCCCGGAACAGGGTGGTTAGCGAGCGAAGACATGTCGAAGCTCCCAGAAGAGAGCGAGCGAGCGGTGCAGCAGGTGCCTAGCGCTTGTCTGCCGCCCGCATGTGCTTGAACTGTTAGCGAGATGCTTCGCTGCGCCTGTCACTCGACATCCGGACTCGGGGCCCAGGTGATGCGGTGCTGTTGAAATCGCCGTCATTTCAGGGTATAATTCGCCACCCAAGTGTCAGATTGCTGCTTGTGGGAGAAGACATTTGGGATATTTAGCCTGGATGCCTCCTGGGCTTCAAATCCGGCATCATGAGTTGTTGAACGCTTCAAGGCTGTGTTGCCCGGGCAACCGCTATGGATACCAAGCCCCTTTCTATGAGCTTACCCCCTATTCCAGGATCACCCGACCCCACAATGTCGCTAGACCACGACTGCGCCGAGTGAAAGGCGAAAAATTCAATAAAGACCATATTGTATTCTGGTAAGGTGTTCTTGATATCTTCGAGTCTTGAACTTAGGTAGTCTGCACGCAACTATGATGATGTTCCCCCAACCCCACAAGTCAAACGGCCTACACAGCAACGGGATTGAGACCCAATTGAGGCGCAACAGACTCCACATCAGCTTTGTTTCTAACATGAAACCCACCGTCCGAGAGAGACTTCTCCCTCATCTTCCTGAGCGCCTTGAACCCACCCTTAAGACTATCCGCCTCGTGTCCCTCGGCCCTGAGAACGCTCGTCGCCACCCTCGCGCTATCCCCATCATAGCAGACAAGTAAGACACGTCTGCCCTGCAGCAGATGCAGCAGCTCGGCACTAGGCGCCTTGAAGGTCTCCTCCAGCCTCTTCCAGAGAGATTCGAGAACATCAGGTTCGGAGAAGGGACTGGGCGTATCCTCATGGACAAAGGGCACGTTGACCGAGCCCGGGAGGTGGAAGTCGTTGAAGTCGAGGGGCTGCCGGAGGTCGATGATGGACGTTTGCGGCTGGGGCTTGACCTTGGACGTGATGGGCACCAGCGCGCTTGCCAGGGCGTCGTCCTGCGTGAAGAACAAGTCGAGCGCCTCGGCGGGCTCCTTCTCCCATCTGTCGTCGTACCTGTAGAGGTCCACCTTGGTCAAGTGCTGAAACTAGGTTAGTATTTCCTTAGGCCGACCGGGACTGTTGTGCACCCACCTCGTTATGGATCGTGGGGAAATACTCGGGGCCCAGCTTATCAAAGTACTCGTTGATGTACTGGTACGGCAGATCACAGCACAGGAAAACGCAATGGATCTCGCCGTCCTCGCCCGCGAGCTGGGCGAGCGACCCGTCGGCCTTGCGCGCGGCGAGGAACTGGTACAGGCCCTTGAGGTTGAAGCCGGACGATGGGCCGCAGACGAGGCCCTCGCGGCAGAGGCTCAGCGACAACGAGAAGGAGTCGTGCGAGCCGACCTCTTCGATGTGGTCCACGGACGACTTCCAGGGGAACTGGACGGGGGCCAGCAGTGCGTGCGAGCGCGGACCGGGGACGCGGTCACCGGGGGCGGTGCATACCCTGTATTCTGTCAGCGCGCTCCCCATGTCCCCTGAAGGGCTCGGGAGAAGCGGATATGACTGGACATACCCAACACGGTACACACTAGGCTTGGTGTTCTTGAAGTACGTGCCCAACCCAGTCATGGTTCCTACGATGCTTGGTTAAACTTTAGGGCCTAGTCCTCTAACACTGAGCGCGCCTACCTGATGTTCCCATTCCCGCGCAGAGCACGTTAATCTCGGGCAGCTGGGCGAGGATCTGCGGGCCCGTCCACCGGACGTGCGCCTTCCAGTTCTACATAGTTGCATGTCTCGGCGTCAGCAGGGGTCCATGTCGGTAAGACTTGATCTTGACCATGTCTCTCTAGGGAATGGAACTAACGTTGTCATTGTGATACTGGTTCGGATTGATCTTGGAGTCGTCTTCCTTGGCTTGCCTCTCGGCAGCCCGGATTCCTCCGCGCTCGTCATCGGGCTCGGGCTGCGACGGACCGCCAAAGAGTGTTCTGCATGTGCCCACGGCGTTAGTTCAGTGTATACCATCTTTGTGGACTCGCTGGCAGTTCCAGTCATCATACATGTCGAGGCCAAAAAATTGCATCAAGCGGAGCTTGGCCGGGGATGTCTTGTTGCTCAAGTAGGCGCGCACGTCGGTCAGATTGTGAAAGACGCGGGCAATCAATGACATGGAGATGACGGTGGATCCTGAGCTGTACTCGATTACGGTGCGCGTCTTTGCCTTGTCCACGCTGTTCTCGAGGAGATTCAGAGCAGGCATCGACTTGACATTGTTTGCGGGATGCATCGACATCATCTTTGCGTAGATGTGGACGCCATCTCGGCGGTACGGGTTGAGGCAGTCGGGTATCTCGACCAGGGGGAGCGGCGGTGACGACTCGGGGTGGAAGTAGTTGCGGACCGAGTCGGGTCCTCTGTAGACGTTCAAGGGATTTGCCATGGTTATGGTTCAAGTCTCGGAGCTGTTGATCTACCCACTATGTGAGAAGGTTTCGCAACATCACTGGGTCATGTCATGAGCTTTTATATGAGGAACGGGTCCTCCAGGAAGGAGATTTAAGACTGGGTAGCACATGTTAGATTGTCGATCTCGACCCAAAGGATCGTCATGTTTGCGAAGATGGACATGTCTCCTGCACAAGGTATGGCGCCTGGAAACATGATGATGAAGGAGGCTGATGCCCACCCCCTTACTGCCTTGGAATCGCATGAAGCTAAGCAACTTCTTGACACCGAATCTCGCCCTAGAGGCACCTTTCGAGCCCGATGATCACGTCAAGACTCAATATAACTCCCCCACGCCAACGTTGATCACTCATGGTTCTATGAGCCAGGCAACCTGAATCTGGATTCCGAGCATATGTTGCATACACGTATACCAGTCATGCCCCTTTTTTTTCATCCTTTGAGTGTTCAACATGTCCCATCCCTGGCTGCTCAAGCCTTGCCTCTTGAAACAAGACAGGGCTATCCGGGTGTAGGTACATGTGATCTTGACCGGCAAGAATGCAAGAATCATGGTTACGGCTGGCAGCGTAAACCTTGATTGCTGCCAGGCAATCGACATCACAGTTACACAGCAAGGATCCCATTGATAAGAATCTAGGTACTCACAAGTAAGTAGGCAAGGTACCCATCCCACTTGTATCACTGCACACCGAATTGCGCTCTACTTTACATTACCATCATCCATAAGGTAACTATTTCACCACGATCAGGATTTGTCCAACGCCACATTAGCCACCCTGAGTTTTGGGTGCCAACTTTCCATCATAGAACACCAACGGAAGAAAATTATCTCGTCGGCACCATGGAGATTTGCTGGGTTATGATACTCGACTGGTCGTAATATCTGCAAAATCCGGCTGGGAAAGAACAGCTTGCTGACTGAGGCCACTGTCTGCTAAGCCTTGGCGATATGTCTCTTCTGAGCGGCTCATTTAAGTGTTGAGGTTGCTTGTGGAGCCCTAAAGTTCTGTGATTCGATACTACTGACGGTGATTAAATCCTATCCTACGGATGATAGTAGTTTGAGCACCCTGAGCCGCAGAGCCTCCGGCAGTCACCAGTTTGCGTTGATCGGCACTTAGGCATATAATAAGCTTATCCCAGCAACATTGAATCTTCACGTCGATCCCTGGCCGTCAAGGTGCATACCCGGCCCCCGCTCAAGGGGCTCCCTACCGCCCACCCGGAAACATCACAGTCATTGAGGTGCTCAAACGCCTCGAAGGGCTTGGCAAGAAGGGAAAGTGGGGGAGGAAGAGGGGAGTCGACTGGATTTTTATACACGATTCTCTCTTTGCCTTGTTGGCTGTGTTGATCTCGGGGTCATCAAGGGACACGCTTCACACTTCATGTCTATTTTGGCTTGCCATTAGCTAAGCCAAGCCTTTCTTCCCATGAGATGCGTGGGACATGTACAAGCAGGAGCAGTACAGCGACATTTTCCCTCAAAGACCGGCTCAGTCGAAAACAAATCAGGAGTCGCGGGCGTTTTCTCGTTTTTCAAGGAAGGAGAAGGAGGCAAGAATCGACTGTCTGAATCTTGGTTCTTGCCAGCCAGCATCAGTCACATAATGGACAGGGACGCTAACATCGCCGACGTAGACGGGGTCTTGCGTTCAGCGGAGAAGTACAATGCGACCGACACGAGCACTACGTCGAATGATGCCGGCAAGCCCCACGAGTTCAATGAGCAGACCAACTATGTCCCAAAGAGAACCATCATTACGGTATGTTCATGTTGTATACATGCATGGTTCTGCCCGCCCCTGTCATTCAACGGTCTCAACAGAACTGACGCGGACAATGACAATGACAGATCTTTCTCGCCTGCGCCAGCGTCGACCTTCTAGCCCTCATAGACCAGACGACGCTCGCAACCAGTTTGTACATCATCGGCAACGACTTGGGGTCAACCTCGCAGGTCTCGTGGATCGCCAACGGCTACTTCATGTATGTGTTCTTCCTTTACGTCTTGCAATCCTCCGCCCAGCAGTAACCATCGACACACACGCAGAACCTCGACGGTCGGGCAGCTGCTGTACGGTCGGTTGTCCGACATATGGTCGCGCAAGGTGATACTCCTGACGGGCCTCGCCATCTTCTTTGTCGGGTCCCTAGCCTCGTCGCTAGCGCAGTCGGTATTGCAGCTGACCGTGTTCCGCGCTTTTACGGGCATCGGCGGCGGCGGGCTCATGACGGTTGCGCAGCTGATCGTGAGCGACGTGGTGCCCTTGAGAGAGAGGGGCAAGTACCAGGGCATTATCGTGAGTATTCCATTCGTATACCGATCTAGGTCGACTTGATGATACCTAACATACAATAAAAAGGGCGCTGTGGTGGCCATCGCCAATGGCATCGGCCCCGTGATCGGCGGTGCGTTGTCGTCCCTGTCCGAGGACTCGTGGCGGTGGATTTTCCGCATCAACATGCCCCTGACTGTGGTGACAACCCTGGCCGTGGTCTTCTTCATGCCGCTGAAAAAGGTCCAGGGTGACTGGAAATTGTGAGTGCCTGAGAGCTGGTAACTTGTGTGTATGTGTATATGTGATGCGCTAACCGACCCTTAGGAAACTCAATGCGGTGGATTTCATCGGCATCCTTGTAGCATTGGCGGGTACAATCGTCCTGATGTTGGGGCTCACTTGGGGCGGAGGCGAGTATCCCTGGGAATCGGACCATGTCATCGCAACGCTAGTTGTCGGCTTCGCCGTGTGCGTGGCCTTTGTATTGTGGCAGTGGAAGGGTCCTCGGTACCCTCTTGTTCCCCGTGCGTCTTTCCTCCATTTGCCCTTGGAAGACATGTTTCCTAACACGCCACTCACCTGCCGGCAGTCCACATCTTCAAGTCCAAGATTGTCAACGGGGCTTGCATCACCATGGCCATCAACGGCTGGAACTTTGTCGTGCAGGTCTACTACATCCCGTCTTTCTACCAACTGGTGTACGAGTACTCCGCGACCAGGGCCGGGGCCATGCTGCTCCCCATCACACTGGTCCAGACGGCAAGCAGCACCCTGTCCGGCCTTGTGGTACACTGGGTCGGCCGCTACCGCGAGTCCATCCTCTTTGGCTGGGCTTGCTGGGCAGTTGGCCTGGGCTTGATGTCGACTCTAGACGAGACGACGGGCATTGGCAAGCAGATCGGGTACTCGGTCCTCATCGGAGTAGGCGTGGGTAACACGTTGCAGCCGTAAGTCCTATCCAGTCCGTGTGTGGCCCGCTGTTGGCTCAACCACTCTGACAATTGATCCACTACAAGCGCCTTGATTGCCATCCAGGCCGGCGTGGTTAGGCGTGACATGGCGGTTGTCACTTCATTCCGCAAGTACGTCAGGGGTACGTAAGCCCAGACAAACGCGCCTTGTACTTACCGGTCCATGCAGTTTCGTCAGAAACCTTGGCGCCACCATTGGCCTCGCTGTTTGTGGAACAATCATGTAAGTTTATGCTTGGTGTTGTCCTTGAATACCTATAATGCTAATGCAATCATGCCTGTAGCAACAATGTTTTGCTGGGCTCCTTGGAGTCCCTCGACATCGACCATAACGCATCCAAGGCTTTTCTCAGGAGCCCAGAGACGTATCTCGGGACCGTCTCCGGAGCTGAAGCCGACAGAATCCGGCGCGTCCTGATTCCCGCGTATAGAAAGGGATTCCGTATCATATTCACCACCGGGGCAGCTCTGTGCGTACTAGCCTTCGCCATTGCCTTCTTCATGCTACCCCAGGTCGAATTGTCTCGCCCGGATGATGAGAAGCTCAAGGAGGAGGGGCGCAAAGCGTATCGGGATAAAACGAGACAGGAGTCACTGGACACAGCATAGACAATTTCTTGATAGGCACATTGTTCTGGCAATCCTAGTGCCCACTCCCTGGAATTATAGCATGCAGCCACAGCAGCTTCCTTTGAGTCCGGCTGGAAACATGTTTGGAAATTTTGCATGTAC